GAATTATTTCCCAATGGTATATAAAACTTGCTAAAAAGTGATGAATGATTTTTTGTTTTTTGCATCTTCCAACAATATCAGAGATAATTTAAAAATGCCTGAAATAGTCGATTTTGTCTGATTTCATAATAATGGAATCTTTGTTAGGTTCGCCCGCAGAAGCTTTACGATTTTATGCCGATATTGGTTATCCTATACCGGCTTACACTAATTCGGCTGATTTCTTCATTCAAACATTAGCAATTGTTCCGGGCGATGAGATAAAATGTATTAAACGTGCTAATCGAATTATTAATGAGGTATTTAAAATTTCAATATACAGAAATAATATTAAAATATTTTTGATTAAAATTTTTTATCACACTTTGATAATATGACAACAAAAGTAATTTTGATAAGAGATAATGATAAAAATGAAAATGAATGGATAAGAGATAATGATAAAAATGAAAATGAATGGATAAGAGATAATGATAAAAATGTATAAGCTTTATAAGACTTTGAAATGATTAAAGTGTAAGATTAAAAAATTTTTATTTACAGTTTATGAAATCTAAATATAAATTAAGAATGCGTGAATATTTACAACTTAGCAATAAACATTTTCATTCACAACTTATCGAACATTCTCGAGCATCCATTCCAACTCTTATTTATGCCTTATTTATAAGGTATATGTTGAAATGTCTTTTATCATTTAAATTTCATTTTAATGAAAAAAGAAACATAAATTAGTTATGCAATATTTTTTGAGATGAAATTTGAAACATCAAAAAATTTAGAATAATAATTTGAATTAAATTTCAATTATTAGCTTATGAATAAATTTCTAATTTACTAATAGTTTATTTGTAAGTAATTTTTATTATCATTATTCAATATATAAATCAAATTAAAAAATTTAAGTTTATTTTAAAAATATCGATTTATAGATTATTTATTCGATTAGCAAGAAAATCGCTTAAATATCGATTTATAGGTTATTAGCAAGAAAATCGCTTAAATATCGATTTATAGGTTATTAGTAAGAAAATCGCTTAAATATCGATTTATAGGTTATTAGCAAGAAAATCGCTTAAATATCGATTTATAGGTTATTAGCAGGAAAATCGCTTAGTACCTGAAATAAGCAAATAGGTTTAATAACTTTAATAAATCTATTTTCTTTTGTTTCAAAATCATCCTTTTATATCTGATAAATGATAATGCATATCATATAAGCAAATGTAATCATAAGTGTAATATCACGTTATCTATTTTTCCTTTTGTTTTTATTGCAATGAAATTAAATTAATTTACTTTAAAAAGAAAATATTTGTCATTTAATTTTTAACAAAAAATTTACAAATATTTTATTTAAATCTAACAAAAGAGAAAAATAAGCGAAACAATAATTAAGTATGAAATAATAATAAAAAAAGATAATTAATTATATTTGAAATAATAGCAAATTAAAATTCTTTTGTTTTTCTTTTTTTTTGAGATCATTTAAGCAAAATCTAAGAAATCCAACATTTTTATGGGCAAAACTTATCCAGAAAATTGTTATGGGAACATTTTTGGGTACATTATATTTACGAACTAAAATGAATCAGGTTAGCTAATTAGTTAATTAATTAGTTAGTTAATTTTTCATTCAATTTTCAAAAGAAGAAACTTTACAAAAATTTTAGTTTTATCAGAAAAAAACGACAAAGTTGAATTTTTGTTTATAAAATTTAATATTTTAATTTAATTATAGGATGGTATTATTAATATTAAAGGAGCTTTATTTTATTACACCTCCGAGTTAACATATTCAACCGTATTCGGTATTCAAACATTCTTACCATCTGATTTTCCGTTATTAGTACGAGAATATCATGATGGCATATATCCTGTTATATGTTATTACTTATCATTGGTTCCTAAATTGCTATATATATAAATTTTTTGTCTTATCATTTTCGATTTTGTTATCATTTCCAAAATATGAGCTATCACCTGTTATATGATTTCTGAAATAGGAATTTATCATTTTGATATTTTCTATTATCACTTGCAAAATAGAAATGAGTTGTCTTTATCATCGTTATATTTATTAATTTTCCTTATTTTTTTCGTTGAATTTTCTCTTAGAAGGATAGTTAATTATAAAATTAAGTTTATAGCATAAGACTGATAACGGTTAAGCATTCTTTTTTTTTAGAGATAAATAAAGTTGAATTGATAATTTCACTCTAATTAATGAACATTGAATTTATTCCTAATCATACACCGTTATTTGTTCAATATTCTTATATTAAACAAAATTATTTCAAATCTCTCCCTCTCTCTCTCTCACTCTCTCTTTCACTTCAATAAGTATAGCAGAAGGTATGAATAAGATATTTGACAGATAATGTCATATTTACCAATTTTTACGATCGATGGTATGTGTATGGTATGTATTAGTTACTATCTGATCGGTCTTTATCCAACATCTACAACATTTCTGACAACTTTACTTATTTGCATATTAATTGAATGGTCTGCTCTTAGTGTTGGCATTATGTTAAGTTCGGTAAGTAAATAAATTCACTTAAATTATTTTACAAAAACATTTTATTTAGAATCTTTCATTACATCCGATTAAAATTAAATTTAGTTATTAGTGACTTATTAGTGATAAATTATTATTTTTAATTATCATTGCTAATTATTATTATTATTATTATTATTATTATTACTATTATTATTATTATTATTATTATTATTATTATTATCATTATTATTATTATTATTAATTATTATTTTTATTGTCATTATATTTTTTTTAAATAATAATAATAATGATTAAACTTAATTTTGATCGAATGTAATAAAAGATTCTAAATAAAATATTTTGATCACAATAAAAATAAAAAATTAATTATAATATCATTAATAATAGTAATAATAATAATATTATTATTATTTATTATTATTATTAGTTGTTATTATTGTTATTATTTGATTAATTTCCAGATTTCTCCATCATATGCAATAGCTATATCGATATCGGGGCCTTTACTAACCGTGTTTTCGATTACCGGTGGTCTTTATAGCAATATAATAACGATCAGTAAATCGATACGATGGATTCAGTATTTCAGTTGATAAGTTTAAATCTCAACATTAATCATTTGTTCTCAGGAAGTCCATGCATGTATCCTGTTTCATATACCAATAGTAAATCTATTAAATTAATTAACTGTAGTAGCAGTTAATTAACTGTAGTTGAATTAATTAACTGTAGTTGCATTAATTAACTGTAGTAGTGTTCTGTAGTAGCAGTTACAGTAATACAATTAACTTAATTTTTAAAAAAAAATAAGGAAGTAAATTAAATTTTTTAATTTGTCAAAAATGAATTTAATTTCATTGAATTAATTGCTTCCGTTTTCAGGTTTCGTTTTGGCTATGAATCATTGATAATAAACGAATTTTCTCATTACGACAATATTAGTTGTTTATTATCAAGTGGACAGGTAAAAGTTATTGATTTGAATTTTATTCAAATTTTTGATAGAGAGAATTCGAACTAGGAATTAATTTTCAGGAATAAATTAAGATAGGGAATTTCATATTGAGGGATTAAATTTCGAGAATAGATTGGAATGAAAGATTTCAACTATTAAAGTATCTAAAGGGGGATAGATAAACAAGAATGATTAAGCATTAAAGTTGGAATTTATGACGAAAATAATATCGAAAATTATCCGATCTTTGAAATCGAATTTTTTTCTTAAAATTCTTTTGTTTTTATTTTCTTTCATTATTCATTTCAATTCTATTCTGTAATTAAGTAATTAAATGCCAAAAAGTTGTCATTTCATGCATTAAATGAAAATTTCTTTAGCATGCAGCAATTTGTGAAGATAGCGGAAAATCGGTAATTAATAACTTAAGTTTTGAAGAAAGTAATATGTATATGAATATGGCCGTTATGCTAATTTATATTTTATGTGTTTTCATTATTGGTTATAGTGGCCTTGTATTACGTGTACAGCTTGCTCGTTAATTTTACGAAAAATTTCAATTGAAAATATTTCACAAATAAATTTTCAACTTTAACAATATTTCATTAATTGTAATTATCTGAAAGAATTATTTCATATTGAACTTCCTTTTATATTATAATGATATTTTCGAGAAATTTTTATTGAGTCTTCTTTCTTAAATTCAGGTTGATTTATACTTTATAAAATAAATTGCTTGCATAAAATTCAGCATGATAATGAAATTCAGCATGATAGGTAGAGATAATTAAATTAATTAGTCCATTTGTTTTATCATTTAGCTATTCTTGATATATAAATGACATTTATATTATTTTATGATTTGTGGATTACAAAACTGATCCAAATTTTTTGCCGTAGAAAGAATGAAATTTAAAATCAAAAATTTTGAGTGTTAAGATTTGACGTAAAATATTTTAATTAATTAAATTTGCTATTAAATGGGAGAGAAGGGAGAAAAAGAGGACGAGAATAAACATGGGATAATGCATGCATGCAATTCAACATTGTTGTAATACAAAGCTGAAATGCAAACTGCATGCTCAATAATTTAGTCAATCATTATAAATGTACTACAATAAAGAAATGCTACTTTGAAAATGCTGTGATAATACAGTAATGCTTGAAATATACTGTGTTAATAAATGATACCATGAACGAGCTATAATACAGAAATGATAAACTGTAGTAACGATACGATATTTGGAATATATTGCAATAAAAAAATGATACTATGAATGAATTGACTAAAAATTGATGCCATGTCTCGAATATACTGTAGTAAAGAAATGATACTGTAAGTGGATTATGACGAGAAAATTATATCAAAAGCAAAAATGATATTGCAAATAAGCTATTGTACCAACTTCTACAGTAGACAATGAAGTAATTATTTTAGCAAAATGTTTCATTGAGAATTCATAATTTTTCGACTACAACAAACTGTTTTAATCGATAAAAAAATTTGGAATAAATAAACGATAAACGATGAAGCTGTCTATTGCAATGATAAAATTCAAATTTAAAATTAAAAATTACAAATATTCTGAGAATATTATTTTATTTAAAATAATTTCATGAATTCATTTGTATAGTAAGCATAATTAATTTAATTATGCTTAGTAAGCATAATTAAATTATAATTAGGAATTAAATTCAGAAGAGAAGCAAATTATCGTAATTGAAAATGAAAAACAACAAATAAGCTGTAAAGTAATGAATGCAAACAATTTATTGTTGAATGTAATTTACTGATAGAATTTAATTACTGATATAATTGGAATTTTTTTTCTTATATTTAATAATGAGTAACGAAATAGTGATTATTGATTTTAGAAATGATTAATCCATTTGTGGTATCGATAATGGTATAGGCTCAATGGGTGGCCGAACATTTGTCACTTTTATTTCTTCGATATATTTGCGTGGTTCGATAATTTTTCGAAGCAATTCCAATTCTTCATTTTCTGTACGTCCCCATTCAGGTGGTGGTCGTGCGGTACCATGAACGATCGGTAACGGTTTTTCAACCGGAGGCTATAATAGTGATAAGTAACAACAGTTTGATATAGATGAGACAGAGATTTTTGCAAAGAAATATATATTCAATTTTGGAAATGAATAAAATTTCGATCTCAAAAAGTTGATTATTTGATTGAAGCAAACATTCGATGATAGCAATAAAAAATATTTTTTAAATTTTAGGAAAGTTCTAAGCGAATTTAATTTGTGTCATTAATTTAAGTTGAAATATATATATTGAAATATGCATACTGTATATGTATTGATTTAAATTGAAATATAATACTTTTTTATATATGTAATTTAAAAAAGTAACATATCAGAGATATTTTTTAAAATTTAATACTTACCTTTTTGTGAAACCAATAATGCTAATTAATTAAAAAGTTAAAATAAAAAGTCTACTTAAAAATAATTAATTTATTTCATTTAAAAATATGTATATTAAATTAAAAAATAAAAATAAAATTAATAATATTTCGTCATTTTTTTTCTTATGATATATATTGAATAAACGATGAGAAAGTTTACTTTTTCAAATATTATTCGACGATCATCATAGGATCGGCGATCGAATTGTCGATCAAATTTGGATGATACATTAATTTTCGGCTAAAAATTCAGAAAAATTCAATAGAAAATATATGAATGATACAATATGAATTGAAATGGGTAATTAGGCATAATTAAAGTAAGACAAAGAAAACAAAAAAAGAAATTCCAACTTATCAAAATAAAATTTCACAAATCTAAAATAAATTTGCTTTATATGAAAAATATCACTGCTAATTTATTAAATTTTCATTTAAAACAATAATTTATAAGAAGTTTAAAAATTTAAAAATTTTAAAGTTCAAAAATTTTTGTTTAGTACAGGTATATATGTTTAGTAGTACAGGTATACATATATACCTGTACTAAACAAAAAATCTTCAAAATTAAAGACTATAGTAAAAATTTAGAAAGATAAAAAGAAATTGAATTATAAAAGAATTAAAGAAATAACAGGATGTGGTGATGCTGCTGCTTCATTCGGATCAAGTCCACGTTGAAGCGCTCGATGTCGTGCTACTTGCTTTTCACGTTCATGTAATTCTTTTAACTGAAATTTACCAATGATTTAAAACGTTGATATTATGTGAAGCGCTTGATGTCGTGCTACTTGCTTTTCACATTCATTTTCAGTTAGAAGAATTTAACAATGATTTAAAACGATGATATACACGTATTATGTATATGTGTAGAAATTTATCCATACATATACATAATGCGTATATAATCGGAAATGCGTAAATAACCGGAAAATCGGAAATTACAATTGCAATATTTACATCATAAAGTTGTCGTTCGTGCCGTTTTTCGAGATCATATTTGAATGCTTCCAATTTGCAAATACGTGAATATAATTCGTGAATTTTTATTTTCAAATCATTTATCAGTAAATTGGAAATATCCGGTTTTTGATTTACTATTATCATATAAGCACGTTTAGCTTCTTCTCTTTCTTCTCTTCCTTTATCATTTTTCTGAAAGTAAAATTTAAAAAGTAACCAACAAAAAACCATTTTAGGAAAAGCGTAAAACAAAAATGAAAATTAAAAGTATATCTTTTTTTGGAATTAAATTTGAAGTAATTAATAAAAGAAATTATTTAAATTGTTTTAGTCATAAGTTTTGTTCTATTTAAATAAACATTTTTCATATATCAAACTTACGTTTCGTTCTAATTTTTCGCGTTTTTGAATGACAAAATTAGGATTACCGTTGTTACCGGATGAAACAATACCGGCTAATGAACCGGCAAGCATTGCTTGCTTTTTACATCGTTCTTCTTCCCTTTTCCGTTTTTGTGCTTCTATTCGAGCTTTACTTTCTTCCTGAAAATAAATTTTTAATTTCATTTGAAATTAATTTTACTGTTCATTTTATCGATAATAAATGAAAAGAACTATTTGATAAGAAAGTGTTGTATATTTGTTAAATATTTTGCATTGAAAAAATTTTGTAACAAAAAAATTTGAAAATTTTAATTAAAACAAAAGAGTTTTAATTGAAATTATTTTAATGAAAAAAACAACAATAGATTTTATGAAACATTCAATTAGTCATAGTTTGTGATAAAGAAATGAAAATAGAAAATTTTGTTATCAAAAATTGATAAACATTTTTTAAGAAATTATTTCATTGAAATAACAACAAAAGATTTCCTATATTTTATCACCACGCGACTAAAGTAAATCTTCGACATCTTATCGTTGTATGCATTGTAGAAGAATTGATAACAAATGATAATAAATTTTTCTTCTTTTAAAAATAAAACTTATTTCTTCTTGACGATGTTTCTCTTCAGCTAAACGTATTTTCTCCGCTAATTCTTTTTCTTCTTGTTCACGTTTACGTCGACGTCTTTCTTGTTTTTCACGTAAACTTCTTAATTCTTGCTCTACACGTTCACATTCCTCTTTTCGACGTGCTTCATACTGTAAGCGATATTCCTCTTCTTGTCGTTTTTTTGCAGCCTAAATTTTCAAAAATAATAATTTATAATTAATAAACATATTTTATACTAATTATATAATTGACATTAAAAAGGGAAAAAAGGCAATAAATAGAAATTCAAAAATTCAAATGTAACTTACTAAAACTGCTTTCGTTGCTTCTGTCATTCCACTGCATTCTTTATCAATTTTTACCCTTTAAAATTTAATCAAATTAAAACAATCAATAATTAATCGCTTTTGTTTTTTAAATTTTTTTAGAATAAAAATTAGAAAAAAAAGTTAAGAAATTTATGAAATTTGATAAAAACATTTTTAATAGATTTAAAATTTTGATAATTTTGTGCTATTTGCTAACTTTAATGACATATTTAAATTATTTATTAATTACTTTTAACAATAACAAAACAATGCTTTCGATGTAATTATCATTTCCTCTATTAAAAAATAAATAAACAATCAAATTTAGAATTGATAATTATTCCTATTAATAGAATTAATTAATTCTATTAAAAAATTTCTTACAATTCAGTTTCAATTTTCAAAACTTCATGTTGTTGTTCATTTTCTTCACTTTCATCTTCCACCTCTTCATTCTCATCATTATCATCATCTTCCTCATCTTCAACTTCCACTTCTTCCTCCTCGTCTATTTCCTCATCCTCATCTTCATCATCCTTATTTGGTCTGCAACATTGATAATTGTTAAATTTAAATTTAAATTTAAATTTAAATTTTATTCACAAAATAAAATTAATCGAATAATCATTCCCTTTTTCAACAAAAAGGAAAGGAAAATATTTGATCGTAAAAGTTTTGTGAAATTTATTATATTATCAGAAATGGTTAATAATTAAAGATAAACTTACAATTCTGTTATCTTTTCAACCATAGCGCTGTTGTTGTTGCTGTTTGAAGGTGATAAAAGATTTCTGCAATTTATTAATAACTTTATCATTAATTAATTGTTTTATCATTAATTATTTATCATTAATTGCCTGAATTTTTATGATTAATAATAATTAATTTAATTTTAATTTTAGTTATCAAAAAATATTTCAATATCTCAATAGAAGAATTGAAAATATAGTGGAAATTTTAACAATACCGTTTTTATTAGTTATATTAATAATACGTAAAGATAATAAGCAAATATTTCTTTTATCACCTGATCTTATCAAATTCATTAAATGATTAATTAAGAAATAAATTAAACAAAAATAAATTTAAAAGTCTAAATTATGCAGAAATTTTTGCGTTGAGAATAAAATTTATACTATTAGAAAAAGAGAAATTGATAAATTGATAAGCAAAAATAGAAAATCAAAATAATTTTGATAATGCAAATAATTTAATCAACGCGTAATTAATTAATTCAATAAAGAAAATATCAAAAATTTTTTCAACTATTTTAAAATTTAATTAATTTAAAATTAAATCAAAATAAAAAGAGAAGAGAGAGAACATTAGTTAGCTAAATAGTACTAATTAGCTAAGCAAAATATTTCAACTATTTTAAAATTTAACTAATTTGAAATTAAATCAAAATAAAAAGCGAAGGGAGAAAACGTTAATTAGCTAAATAATACTAATTAGCTAAGCATTTATTGGCTTAAATAACTGAAGTGAAAGGAAAAAAGCGAAAGAAATTGTAATAGTTTAGAAGAGAAGAAAAAGATTAGCTTAACAAAATGGAAAATTAAACTAATATAAATTTTTCGAATGAATAGATCAGATGAGGCGCAGATGTCTCAATGGATAGATATACTGGTATTAAGAATACATCCATCCCTTTACAATTAAAATGTAAAGTTATTTGAGGAAGTGAGAAGCTATTTTTATGCAAATTCTACGAATCAACAGACTACTCTTTTCTATTTCTCTCTCTCTCTCTCTCTCTCTCTCTCTCTCTGTCCCTCTTTTCGACATTTATAAGATATTCATTACACTATTATTACACTTAAATCGATCAGATAAGCATTTCGTTGAACATTCAACAATATTTGAAAATTCATTTCATCAAATTTAACTTTTATTGTGAAATACATATTTTTAAGTTTAATTAAAATTTTATTAATGAAATGAAAAAACAAAAGTAAGCTAAAATCATATAAACTTTTCTTGTTAATTTATAATAAAAGTTGAATTATTTCAAATAGTATAGAAAGTATAAATTAAAATATATTAATGGAATTTATATATAATTTATACATATTTATTTATTTTTGTTCTAAAATAATTGGTAGTAATATAATAAAAGTTTTATATACGAAATACTATGCTATGATATATTTATCAAATACTTAAATGATGCAACAATAATTAATCAATACTGATAATAATAAATATTACTGATAATAATAAGTAATCACTACTATTCTTTTTTATTCATTATTCATATTTCAATTAGTAATTAATCGATTTCATATTTAGATTATTCGATCTCATATTATACTTTTCGAAACTTCTATCAATCTATTATCATTGCTGCTAATACTCTCTATGAAATACAATTACTCAGATTTATATTAATTGTTTATCAGTAAGTTTATTACTCATACTTATATATTAATTGTTTATCAGTAAGTTTACTACTCATATTTATATTAATTATTTATCAGTTTATTAATTGTTCATTGATATCACTCATATTTATATTAATTACCAGTTTGTTATCAGTATATATTAATTGTTTATCAGTTAATCTTAGTTTATTATTCATACTCGTATTTATCAGTTTATCTAATCTTACTGAAATACTTAATTACTGAAATTATCATAGACACATTTATTTGGTGTATTTTCTGATTTTATTTATGCTAAAATATCATTTCAATCCTGTTTTGAATCATTCTGTAAAAATTTGTTGGTAAAAGATGGCATGGAAAATTATACAAAAATATTTTTTATTGAGCATTTTAATTTTCAATTACATTTATATAAAATTATTATAACAAACAATTTCATAACAAATAGTGACGGATTATAATAAAATGTCTAACAAAATATAAATATAATTTTTGATCGAAAAAAAATTTCAAATTTCAAATTTGAATTTTAATAAAATACACAAAAATAGCATTCATAAATGTTAGAACTAAAAACTTTAACCATCTAATAGTGTAAAAAAAATATAAAATCAAAAACTTAAAATGCTAATATTTTATTAATTAAATGAAATGAAAAAATAATTAAATAAGAATTTGAAATTGAAATAATTATCAATACCTATTTATTACATGCGATATATATTAATGGAAAGATTGAGATCGCTTAGATCAATATATTACCAGTTGAAATTCTTTTTAAACTAAAAGAAATGAAAGAAAAAAAGAAAGGATGAAATAATGCTAACAAATAATAATATAATATTATCATTATCATTATCATTATTCATATCAATTATTATTAGCAGAAGCTACATATGATGCTGGAAATCGTCCAATTTTATTTATTTTCGATTTTACAGTATCATTTATATCAATCATTTGATTATTAGAAATAATTTGTCCAATCATCCAATCATTACCAATTTTACCTTCCACTAAAACGCAATCACCTGCGTGAACATCTAATTCATCATGTGTTTTAGCTGTAAAATCATAGAGGACACGATAGATTCGTTTAATTGTTTCACTATTACTGGTACACGTTGATGATGATGTATTTTGCATATGTTGTAATTCATCGTATATTATTGAACGTGGTGCAGCATATTGTTCTAATGGTTCACGTGTATCACTAACAATCTACAAAAAGAAAAATTTATTTTACATTTTACGTCAACTTCGGGTAAACACATCACTTTAGCAATAAAGTTTTACGTTTAATTATCAGCGCTATAACATTTATCGTGTTTCATTAAGAAATAAGTTAATTGAATTGGATTAAAATATTAGCATACGATAGTTAAAATATATCATTCTATATCATATTCCCACACAATTCTTTTATCACCTACGAAATCATAACTTTTCGAAATTTACAAATTTCATAAATTTTATTATTTCACGTAAGATTTTTTGAAAAATAAAATCCTACACGTAACTTTTACGTATAAATAAAATAAAATAAATTTTCATCCTCCTATCTGTTTATTTTCCTTTTTGCTTCCTCTTACTAAATAACAAAAATAATTAATTACTAAAATAATTAATTACTAAAATGGAAAAATACTTACTGGTTCAATTTCATCTTCTAAACTTGATGTTGTTGGTAAACTTGGCGCAGATGGTTTTTCACCATTTTCAAATTCATCCAACGGTATTGTCAATACTGTCTGTACCAAACCCTGTATTACAAAAAAAAATTAGTAAAAATTTTATAATTAAAATTTAAATTTGAAAGAAATTATTTCACGTATTCTTTTTCGCTTCCATTTTTCTCTCTCTCTTTCTTTTATTTCTCAAATTTAAAATTCGTTACTATAACTATAAAATTCTTTGCTATAACTATCTTTACTATAACCTTTTAAATTCAATTCTTTACTATAAAATGAAAAAAAAGAAATAATATAAATTTAACCATTTTATCTTTAAGTTTTTGTTGAAAACGCGCTAATCGATGATATTCTCTATTTTGTGCGCCATCGATACTTTTCAATGCTTCGTTTATTTTATAAATTAAATATTCCAAAAATTCGACATAACTCTGAAATGGAATAAAATCATTTTAAAAAAAGAAAAGTTTAATAAATTTTAAAATTTTAACAAATTGATGATATCATCTATTTTGTGCACTATCGATACTACGTTTGATAACATTAACATTAATTAATGCTAATTGATGAATGGTATGATAAGTTAAAGTTCATATGTAAATTGATAAATGATATGATAAGTTAAAGTTCATATGTAAATTAATGAATGATATGATAAGTTAAACATATCGAATGGATAATTTATTAAATTTAATTTAACTTAACTTTTATTGTAACTTTCTCTTCCTTTTTTCTTCTTACCACATTTTGTTTAATATCACTTTTAATCTTTCATTAATTATTTTTGATTTTTAAAATGAACAGTAATTGGTTTTAAAAACAATTCAACATCACTTTTAAAACAATTTATCAAATTTTTTTTTAGAAATTAGCAGCAAATTTCACCAATCATTTTGATCCTAAAATTACTTCCAAACCCAAAATTAATTCAAATTCGTCTACGATATTTATGATCGTACATATACATGATACATATATGATACATATACAAAACATTTATGTTACACATCAACAAATACAATCAGTGATTAGTATTTTTAAAAAGAAATTAAGTTTAATCTTTTCCGCAAACAATCATCAAAAAGAAAGAATTAATACAAACGTACAAAATTTGAAATATTAGCCGATGATAGTAAGATTGAATTTGTTTCCACCACTTGACTACGCTTTAAATATTCATTAAGTACCGCATTAATTCTTTCTAATGTCCAACGTCGCCGTTGTCCACCTATTATTTCAGCAAAATTTTCCGCCTAGAAATAAATAAATCACATAAAATACAATATCATAGTTGATCCAGTAGGTAATTATTTTTCATTTATTCATTAGTAAAAAATATTTCATTGTTTACACTTCTGATATAATACAAAATTATTGATTAATTTTATAATTAATTAATTGATAATTATTGATACAATAATCATTTTCTTCTTATCAATCTTATATATCTATCGCTAATAACATATATAATTTAAAATAATAAATTATTGTTATTATAATAAAATTAATTTATAAGAAATTATTATGTTACAAATAAAAAAAAAGAATTAAATTAAATTAAATTTAAAAAATCAACTAACTAACATGAAAATCACATAAATAGATTGTATGAATTGTTGAAGAAGCTGGCGTTAACATTGAAATTTGATCGTTTGGTTCAGCATTTATAGCATCATTTAACGCATTCATACAACGTTCAAACATCTATAAAATCAATTCATTAACATCTTTAATTTTAATAATTTCTAAATTTTAATAAATAATAAATTTTTATTTAAAAAAAACAAAAGAATTGTGCATTAATTAATGATAGATAATATGTTTTTAGTAAAAGAAAAAACCCTTTTAAAAATTATTAGCTTGAATGACCTCTACATTAATTGAAATGACCTTCGGCATTCTCTTCAATTTTATGCATGCTTTTAAAATATTGCACTCATTATTTTTTTTTGAATGATTTTGTGCATAATAAAATAATTTACTAATTTAACCTTTTAGTTCATAAAGAATAAAATGAGAGAAGAGGAAGAAGATATTCAAAATATTTTATTTTGAAATTTTAAATTAATTATTAAATTTAGGTTAAAATGATTGAATAATAAATGAGTAATTTATCATTATGATAATGAATTATTAAAAATTTTTTATAATTATTTTTACTCGTAATTAGTAATTAGAAAATGGAATTAATTCAATTAAATTTTTCTTTTACTTTATTTTAACAAATAAATTAATTAAAATTAGACATGCATGGTAGTATCAATTTAAATTAATAAAATTTAATAATGTCAAAAATATTTTACCATATTTAAATTTGGTCCTAATTGAGAAATTTTTCGTTGAAATCGTCCAAGTGCTGTTTGACAATGTGCTAAACGTTGTTTTTCAACAACTTCCAAATATTCAACACCTTTCCGGAGTACGCCATCTGTTACACGTCGTTGACGTTCAGTTGCTATCGTTTCCTCAATATATGCCTGTTCCTGTTTCGTTACTTGTTCCAATAATTTTCGTTTTCTTACTGATAACTAAAAATAAAAATAATGGAAAACAAAAGAGGAAATAATTAATGGGTAATTAATTAATTGGAAATTAAAATTTTAATAATTTTTCTGTTTTATTGAAAAAAAGTTCATTACCTTTTTTTATGTCAAATTAAAAATTGTTTCAAAAAAAAACGAAGAAAAAATTTAGGTCAAATATACTGATTTTCCATGATCATTACTACGATTAATTTCTTGTTATTGTTTTTTTACGCTTCAAATTCTTTAAAAAAAATTGGGACAGAAAAATTCAGAAGATAAAGTGTAATTTGATAAGATGAAATTACAAAATTATTTGTTTCACTTCCGATAATTAATTAATGATATCGATAATGAAGGAAGCATATTCCGATAATCAATTAATGATATTGATAATAAAAGAAGCATTAGTTGAAATTATCAATGTTTTCATTATTATTATTATTATTATTATTATTATTATTATTATTATTATTATTATTATTATTATTATTACTGTCATTATTTTTAGTATTATTTATTATTATTATTATTACAATTTATTATCCATTTTATTATTGCTATTATGACTAATTACTATTATTTATTATTCCGATTAAAGAAATGATAAAATCATAAACCTTGATATTTGACATATGATCATTATCAATGAGCTGTTCAACCTTTTCAAGATCACGATTGGAGCTGTACAACAAACGTTTAATTTTCGATAATTCATCACGTTTGGAGGTCAAAAAACGCATTTCACGATTTGCTAACTGTTCCGTCTGTAATGAATAAATGATATTTCAGAAAAGAAAAAAAGATACGATAAATAATAAATTAGTTTCAAATTCGTTTCCAAATATATTGCTAATTATAGAACAAAAGAAAAGGAAACGATTTTGGAAATTTTAAAATTAAAAAAATAATTAATTAATTATTTAATCACTTGTTTATTTTATAATTAATCTGATAATTTAATAAAATTTGCTTGAATTTTTCCTAATTCTTTCATCGAATACAATAGTTGTAATTGGAATAAATAAGAATTGAAATGAGAAAAATTATGCGAACAGAAGAATTCTATGATATACTAAAAATTTTTGCAATTAAAATAAGGTAAATAGAAAATTGACTAGATATCGAAGATATTGAAGACTCGAATTTTAATAATTAAATATGAAAAATTGATTAGATCCGATAGATAATGAAGAGTTGAATTTTAATAATTAATTATGATATAATACAATAAATAAAATAGAAAATTGATTAGATATTGAATATATTGAAGACTTGATTTTTAATCATTAAATATGAAAAATTGATTAGATCCGATAGATAATGAAGACTTAAATTTTAGTAATTAAATATAATACGATGATAAGAAACAAAATAGTAAATTGATTAGATATTGAATATAATGAAGACTTGAATTTTAATAATTAAATATGAAAAATTGATTAGATCCGATAGATAATGAAGACTTAAATTTTAGTAATTAAATATGATACGATGATAAGAAACAAAATAGTAGATTGATTAGATATTGGATATAATGAAGACTTGAATTTTAATAATTAGTTGTGATACAATGATAATAAACAAAATAGAAAATTTGATTAGATATTGAATATATTGAAAACTTGAATTTCAATAATTAAATATAACACAATGATCGTAAAACAAAATTTAGAAGATATATTATCCTCTAACTTTAGAGGATATATTATCCAGTAAAAAACGGTATGATACTGTGAATTTACTTTACTATGATATGTAAATAATACTGAAAAAATGGAATGAATATAATTATATAAATCATACGGCACGAATTGTCTTTTGTTGAGAATTAAAAATGGCTCGAAGTGGTTGTACAATATCATCGGTTATAGCTGAACCAAGATTACTGCAAAGTATTATAAGTTCCAATTAATATATTAATATTTTCAATTATGTAAATGATTTCTTATTTTTAGTATTTATATTATAAGCCTATAATTGATCAAAAATTTAGCAAATCATTTTCTTATTCTATCCTAATTTTAATTAAAATAATTTATCGAATTGAAATTTGTTTTCCTTTTTCTTTTGGTAGAAATAAACATAAAATAATCTATTTAAAAATTAATTACTACTCATTAAATAAAGACAATATGAATTTGATGTTATATTTACATAATAATTTAGTAAAACAATTATTTGCTATTATAAAAATTGAATAATTAAATATTCGATAAAATTTTAATTTACCTATGTATACTGGCTTGAGCATCAAATTGATCAGCAACATAATTCCATGCACGATCAATAATCCTTCAAAAAATAATTTCATTTCATTTATTGATTTTATTTATGTGAGAAATCAATAATTGCAAAGTTTTTTGCTTTACAAACATTATTTTAAATATATATCAGATGGTTATAATCTTCCGGAATGATAATTTTCCTCTCGAACAAATATTGTTTGTTGATAATCTTCCGGAATGATAATTCTCCTCGTACAAATACTGTTTGTTTATAATCTTCCGGAATAATAATTTTCCTCGTGCAAATATTATTTGTTGATAATCTTCCAGAATGATAATTCTCCTCGTACAAATACTGTTTGTTTATAATCTTCCGGAATGATAATTTTCCTCGTGCAAATATTATTTGTTGATAATCTTCCGGAATGATAATTCTCCTCGTTTGTAATGAAAATTCTTTTAAGAAAAAATTTAAATTAAAATTAAAGAAAACGAAATTACCCAGGTGATTTTGCTGAAACTTTATGCAATCTTGCAGATAATTTTTGCATCGTTTTTGAATATGCAAAATCCAATGAAGCTCTGCAAATTATAATAATAATTTCAAATATTTTAATTAAAAATATCGATTAGCTCTCTTTTTCTTTTCCTTTAAATTTTTTGTGAAATAAAATTAATGCAAAATTTTTAATATAATTTTTAAAAAAGAAAAAGAAAATACCTTTCATCAAAGATTGAAATAATTTCTCGCAATATTTCATTATTTGTATGAACAAGCTGTCGCAATTGTGGAAATGCCGCTGGCGTCTAAATTAAATTATTCAAAAAATGAAAAACTTCCACATTTTCCAATCATTAATTAATTTCAAATTATATTGCCAATTTTTACCTTTAGCAAGCTATTATTAATTTTTACCTTTAATAAGCTATTATCGATTTTTACCACTAACAAGCTATTATCAATTTTTACCTTTAATAAGTTAATAATGAAAAATGTATTGATGTATTCATCCATTTCTAATTATACAAAATAATTTAATAAAATTAAATTGGTGTAAATTTTAATAAATATGCAAAAATCTTATATTAATTAAAATTAATTATATATTTATATAATGTTAAAATTTTATTTTTTTTTTTTTTGGAAAGCGTTTTATGACAAAATTTTAAACAATCAAAATTATTCATTAATTTTGCTAAAATTTTTTACTTCTCTTTTTCTCTTTTTCTCTTTTTCTCCTTTCCTCTTTTTCTCTTTTTCCCTTTCTCTCATTTCAATTTGGCAAAATATGAAATTTTACCAAAAAAATTTCATTTCAATTTTGGAAAGAAAAATATTTTTTCAATGATATAATTATTGGTTGAATTAAAAATATAAACGAGCGTTTTGTCGTATTTTCAATTTTTTAATGATAATAATTTTTAATAATTACCTGAAAATATGCCATAGAAAAGGTAATTTTGTATTTTAAATGAAGAAGAAATTGTCATTTAAAAATGTTTCAATTAAATATTTCAATTTAGTAATATAAAAGCTAAAGAGAGAGAGAGAGAGAGAGAGAGAGAAAGAGAGAGAGAGGGAGAGAGAAATAATATCAAAGTTTCAAATATATATTTCAAAATTTAATTCGGTACAAATAAAATATATAAACAATTTCATATGATGATAAATTTGATCAATCGATTTAATTCATTTGACTAATTTAGGATATTAATCAATTAATATTTAAGATAATAAATTGAAATAAATTTCATTTATCATTAAATTAATATAATTAATATCTTCTTCAATTCTCTACAATTTTAATATTATAAATTTATTCAATTTTATTTAATTCATTAATATTTCAATCAATTTTATCAATTCTTATCAAATGATATGATCAATATCAAAATCGAAGGAAAAGAAGAATGGAGGAAATGGCAAAGGAAATTTCAATGAAAAACGATAAATTCAATCCCTAACATAAGCTGAATAAATAAACGGTTCATATTGCTCGTTTTATTTTTCATCCATTAAAATATCAAAAAGTAATAAAACTAAAAAACAGTTATATCGATTAATAATTTCGAATAATTTTATTAATTTGCAAATGATTTTAGGCTAAAATAATAGTAAACAACTAATAATAATGATAATAACAATTAATAATTGATAATAATAATCGATAATAATAGTTATCTTTATTATTATTATTATTATTATTACGATGGAAATATCAGAAAGCTAAATATCTGCCTAAGGTGATTTGGTTTTTTGGATTTAAATACTATCAAGAAATTATAGTATTTAAAGGAAATGGAGAGAAAGGAAGGAAAAAGGAAAGAAATTTTAAATTTCAATTACTATCAATCATTTTACTGAAAATAAAATCTTATTCTTTTTATATAATCGTTTTCAATGATATGTTGCAATTTCCTCAAAATACTATCAAATTCCGGTTTATTTTACTAACTCAAATGGACCAGTTGAATATTCCGGAATAACGTATATCTGTGAATCGGGTTTTCCTCTCATTCCTGGATTAATTATTGAATATATACCAACGGTAATTTATTGTCACCCACTGTAATAATACCAATACCATCTTAACCCACATTTAATGTTTTGGGTCACAAAAATATTATTCACTTGAAATTGGGAAACTCAATACTTTAATTGAACCTATCCACTTTACCAAATGATATTGAAATATTGTCAATAAAATAATTCATTAATTCATTTCCAATAATACAACAACAATTACATCTTAATTTCTCGTTCAAATAAAGGAAGCCGTAAAAGAAAGGATAAATAGAAAAACAAAAATTTAAATAATATTTAAAAATATAAATAAAAATTAAATCATTTGAATGAGTTAATGCAATAAGACTTTCTTCGAATATTAGAAACAATAACAAAATAAAATTAACTTTAAATTAACTAAATTAACTAATAATAACAAATTATTATTAGAAATAATAACAAAATCTATTAACTTTATCCAAAGCTTTCGTTAATTAATGTAATTAAAAAAACTACAATTTTTAACTCTTTTATTTTCGTTCTTATCAAAATTCATTTCCCACAATAAACTCATTGTATTTCGCACAATAAACTCTATCATTTTATCAATATATTTTACCCACAATAAATTCTATCATTTTATTAATATAGAATATTAAATTATAGAATAAAATAAGTAAAACCATTTAGCAATCACAATCTCATATGATAAAAGATTACATCTAAATGATAAAATGGATCAATCAAATTTAATTTAATACTTCACTTGGAAATATGATAAAAGATAAAATCTAAATGATAAAATGGATTAATCAAAATTTACTTTAATACTTTAAAGATGAAACTTACAGAAAACTTTCCTGTTAGCATAGATTGTTGATGTAATGTTGGTAAATCAACCAGTGATAATTGTGATTTTGATAAGCCATTAAATAGTGATCCACGTGAAAGAGAGCGTCGTAAACGTGACATACGACTATGCATTCTGACCAAATTTTCTCTTTCACTTTTCTCTTATACCAATCATCAAAAAGTTGACTCCTTTTATTCCTTTAATAATTCATTGCAAAATTATGCAAAAACAAAAGGAATGAAAAAAATTCAAATTAAATTTTAATCAATAAATTAACCTCCTATTATTTTAATCAATAAATTAACCTCCTATTATTTTAATCAATAAATTAACCTCCTATTATTATAATCAATAAATTAATCTCGTATTATTTTAATCAATAAATTAATCTCGTATTATTTACAGGATCAATAATCGATAAATAATGATTAATTATCGATTAGAATGGAGTAGAATATTCGTTGTATATTAGCCAAAAGAAAATTTTTTTAAGGCTATAAATTTAATACAATAAAGAAATGTATTACGAACAAAAGAATAAATATATGTATAAATAAATAGAATAGATTATTTTTTACATATAAATAAATATAAAGAAGAAGAATATAATAGGAATAAATTATAAAATAATTATATAATATATTAAAATATATGATAACATGGAATAGATTTTAGAATGAAAAAGTTTGCCTATTTGTAGGATAATTTAAAATCGGACAAAGTGAAGTTTGTCTATTTCATTCTTTTCTGACCCGATCGCTTAACAATCTTTCTCCGATCTCTTCCACCTCTTCCTCTTCCTCCTCCTCCTCTTCCTCCTCCTCCGCCTTCTTTTAACAACCAGCAAATTGACATATGCGCATTTGTTGTTGATGGTATCTTCTCAATGTCCACCCTTCGTCCGACCTTTTATAAGTTTACAACAACAGTTATAACTTCATGCCAAAATAACACAAACTCACTTTCACACCTTTCTTGCTCTCATTTAACTGTAGAATTTAATTGGATAAAAAAATATTAATAAACAAATAAACAAATATATATATATATGTTAGGGATAATATAATATAATTAAATATTATAAATGATATATGTATCTTACAGAAGAGATTTATGATTCAACGAAAAAAGTTGCCAAATAATTCTTTTTTGTTTCGCTTCAATTTACTCTATGATATTGATTTGATATGATCATTTCTTTAGGCTAACAACTGATAAAAGTAAATTCAATCATCCTATGTGAATATAGACAATAACTTATGGTATTACTGTATTATTATTATTATTATTATCACTACTATTATTGTGATTGTTAATAATATCCTAGTAATATTAATCGTAATTGTATAGAATCATAGTAATAATGTTATTATGATATATCATAATAATCTATCAATTGGTTATTTGTGATATTATCGTAATAATCCAATATCAAATGCTAAAGTTTCCATTACTATCATTAATGATCTAATATTGATATATGATTTATTGCTTCAAATTTCCATATTAAGAAGTAACAATAATTCATCATTTTAAATTATCAATGTTATATAAAATTAGAAAATATAAAATTAGAAGAGAAAGTCAAATGTTAAATATTATACGATATGACCCTTAAACTAAAGAGACGAAATGAATCATTTGATAATAGAAAATGAATAAATGAAATCCTAAAATTTAAATAACGATATACTCATTAAAGATGGATAGCATAGCATATTGGTTGATGACAGGCAGTAGTCTCATACGACCGTCAGTCACATAAACGAATGAAAACCAATTGAAATCGATGGTAAACATTTTCGAATTACCCACCATCATGACTACCATTGTCATCAACATCATTATTATTATTATCATCAACATTATTATTATCACCATCATTGTTATCATCATCATTTTTAATCATCATCATCATCATCATCATCAACATTGTCATCTTCAATATTGTTATTAGTATTATTAACATTCCCTATCCCTTTCTGTTTTTTGTTTCTTTTTTTCGTCACATCATATTTTCAAAACAGAGGAAAATGAAGAAGAGGAGCAAAATTAGCATATGACAGCTGTTAATCATATCAGAAAATGAAATAACCTTTTTACCAACCATTTGCATAGTTCATTCGAATTTAAGTTATACATTTCTCATTTTAAACATTACTACTTGTTGTTATCATAAAATAATAATGATAATAATAACAATAATAATGACAGCAATAATATTAATGAAATTATTTTAAAAGAAAAACGAAAGTACAAAATTTGATAAAGAAAACCAATAAAAGATTTTTATCAATAATAACAATAATAATAACAATAATAATAATAATAATAATAACAATAATAATAATAATAATAACAATAATAATAGCAGCAATAATATTAATGAAATTATTTTAAAAGAAAAATGAAAGTACAAAATTTGATAAAGAAAACCAAAAAAGATTTTCAAAATTAAAAATTTCCAAATTTATGCAATTTTCAAATTGAAAATTATTTTTCCTTTCTTTCTCTTCCTCTCTTTTCCCTCTCTACTACCAATATTTTTTATTTAATTTTGTAATTAGCATTTTATTTCGAAATTTCAAACAGATAATATATTTGGTTATTATTCCTTTCATATAATTACTACTATCGTTAATTTTTCCTTCTTAATGTTTTGTTGAATTAAATAAGTAAAGTGTTGCAACCACCCGTCAAACAATATAAGTTGTAATATAAGGTAGGAATACGAAAACTTGTTCCTATTTTTTCAATTTTAGAAGAAATAAATTCTTCAAATTTTCCTTTGTTTATTTTTTCTTTATATTATGCCGAAATCTATCGTTATTTTATTCTTATTTGAATGATAGATATTTCGTTATGATAATTCTCAATATCCTGTATATCCAAATAAAGGATGAATATCATCGAATATTTCAACTTTTATTTAATAGAATAAAGTTGTTGGAAAAAGAGGAATTGTTATTTTCTTTTATTTTGCATATTTATCTTAATTACTTGTACCTAACCTATATTTATGCTTTTGTTTTGACAGTTTCTTTTTGGTTCATTCTGTCATATTTCTTTATTTGTTTATATTTTGAATATTATGGTACTTTCTTTTTATTTTGTTTAATAAATGTTTCTGTGTATTTTGTATTGTTTAGTATTTTTAATGAAATTAAGAATAAAAAATTATCCCTAAATTGCATTTAATGCGGCCCATTTTTGATAGATTGTAAAAAGTGAAAAATATTATTCCCTCTTTTTTTTAGAAAAAAAGTCGATATCATTTATTTATAAATGTATGATACTTTATTTTTATTATTTGTTTACAGTTTACTATAACAGTTGATTATTTTACAATCAAAGGTATCACATAATTTGATGAATAATTAAATTAGGAAAAATATTGGTAATCAAAGATACCATATAATTTAATCAACAACAATTGGGAAAAATATTGATGATCAAAGGTAACAGATGATCAATAATTAAATTAGTAAAAATATTGATAATCAAAGGTAATCAGACAGTTGATGAATAATTAAATTAGGAAAAATATTAATAATCAAAGGTACCATATAATTTAATCAATAACAATTAGGAAAAATATTGATGGTCAAAGGTACCATGTAATTTGATCAATAATTAAATTAGGAAAAATATTAATGATCAAAGGTATCACATAGTTTGTTCAATAATTCAATTAGAAAAAATATTTGTCAATATTTTATAAGTTATCATATAGTTAATGCAAAAATGGATAATTTTATAAACAATGATATTTTAATAAAAATCAACAAAAAAATACCAAAAAATAAAAAACTCTTATAATTTTTGTTTTTCTAAAATTTTATTTAATTTTCAAAGTATATGATTTATTTAAGGCTAAGTTCAAATTATTTTATATATGATTAATTAATGATTTAAAATTTTGGTAAGATAAAAAAAAGGACTGTAAGAGAAAAAAAGATGAAATTAGAACAAAATTAATGAGATAAAATGCAAGGTCATTTTAGGGCAAAGATTGAATTTTAGTCAATTTTACCAATGTGCCAATAAGAAGAGATATATGTAAGATCGATCAGAGAATTGATTGCAATCTTATCGTTAAAGAAAAAGATAAGGGAAAATATTTTCAAATAATATTACGATTGGCAGTAAATTAATTACATAATAAATATAAAGTTATGATATAGTTAATATAACAATAACGGGAAAATAAAATAAATAACTTTAATTTTAAAATTTTCAATAAAAAAGTGCAAATTATTTTGATTAATTAGCGTTTTCATATGTTAAAGCATACAAATTATTGATTGATATGACTTTTTGTATGATAAAACATACAAATTATTGATTTTTAACTACAGTTATATTGATCATTTGTAAAGCATATGAATTACTGCAATTAAATCATTACTTGATTAAATTTTCTCAATAACTATAAAAAATTAATCCAATTTATTTATTTTAATTAGACTTAAAACAATTAAACGATATTTCATTCTATTATTTACTCTTTGAATGAAATTTCTTCAATAAGCCAGAAATTTTCCACCGTATGAAATTATATCCTTTAAGCAATATTACAGTTATTTTAAAAACAAAAGAACAAATGTAATGATTGAAATGAAGGAGAAGAAAAATCAACTTTACAAACTGTTTAAACTAACAGAATTAATGACAATCAATTGATCTATTCGAAAATATCAAACATTGAAGTTAGGGAATTGTTTTAAAGAAATGATGATATCATGAAATTATCAATCACATACATATTTTAAAACGAAATCATACCATTTTGAAACATTCGAATCATTCATATTTTTTTAGATTAATTAAGTTTAAATAATAAATGCTTGATTATCATTTGCTATTTGTTTAAGTTAAATATTATATTATATAAAGAATTTCATCGAAATTTAGATAAAAGCTTAATAGCAGTAATAATCATGATAATAGTAGTAATAACAATAATGATGATAGTAATAAATAACAATAGTTATAATAACGATAATAATAAATAATAACAATGATAATAATAACAATATTAATAATAATAATGATAATAATAACAGCAATAATAATTATTAATAACAATGATAATAGTAATAATAGTAATAATAATAATAATAATAATAGTAATAATAATAATAATAATAACAGTAATAATTAATGATAATAATATTACAATAATGATTGATAATAATAATAATGATAAATGATGATGATGACAATTATGATAGTAATTACAATGATAATAATAAATAATAGTAATAATAATAATAATAATAATAATAATAATTATGATAGCTGTTTGATGTTGCTATGAAAAAGAAAAGAGTGAAAAGATTGAATAACGTTGGTGCATGAAATAACATTTCTGTTGGAAAGGTTCTTTTATTGTTAATTACAGGAAAGTTTTGAGGAACGATGAATGTTAAAACAACTCATTGCAACCAACCCAACCCGTTCCATACATTTTGTTCTATCAATTATATGAGATGCTAAAAATATTTTCTGTACCAAAGAAGGACGATGAAAACGATGAAAAATTGTATAGTGAATTTTTGCAGCAAAATTTCATCAATAATTATAATTTTTAAAATTTACACAGAAAATGTTCATATAAAGAGAATGATAAAAAAATAAGCGACAGTTCTCGATATAATGATATCATATTTAATAATAATAATAATAGTGAAATGATTACTGATAATGATAACAATAGAATAATGATAATAGATATTAAAGCGATAATAATAATGATAATAATAATGGTTATTTAAATTTCTCCTTTTTTAAAATTAAAAAAATTATAAATTTATGCTAATCCATTTTTAATTTATGCTTTAAATATAAATGTAAATGTTTTATAATTTCTATGCATAAATTATACCAATATAAAATGCTTAAAAATTGAATTTGTAAAATCATTGTTATATTAATTTAAGTGTTAGTAAGTGTTTGGTGTTGCAATTCTTCAACGAAAGCTTTTTAAAAATGGGCGAGCAAAGTTAGTACCATAGTTATGGAACAATTGATTTTAATATTGTTGAATTTAAATTTTCCTGAAATTAGGAAAGAATTATTTAAATAATGGCAAAAAAAACAATGAATAAACTTTCATTAATTATTACATCAATTTGTTGGTATTCTACAAAATATGAATGAATCAATAAATATCATAAATTTTAAATTAAAAAACAAACTTTTGATAAAATTTAAATCCAAAAAAATAATAACAATGCAAAAAGAAAGATAGAAGAAAATTAGAATTGAAAAAGAAAGTTACAAACAAAAAGAAAAATTAATTATAATAATTAACCAAAAATATTTGTCCAACAATCATTTTCAAAAAACAAATAAATATTTGCTCATTTGAGAAACTGGTGGTATCCGACGATTTTGGTCAAAATTTGGTGATCGATCGAGTGGCTTAGAAAAAACACAAATGAGTCAGGAATTTTTTGAACTCACTAAAAATTATGATACTTACAAAGAGAGCAATGATTCTCTTGTGGAAAAGCTGGAAGCATGCATTCAACAAAATAAGAATACCATTGCTAATGGGAAAGTATGTCATTTTCCTTTTTGATCTTTTAATTTTCATTTTTCATTTTTCGTTCCTAAAAGTTAAGAAGTAGAAAAATGGTTGATTTAGCGAATTGAGAATTTATAAATTAAATATTTATTTTGATAGAACAAATGTTTATTAATCTGTCAAATAATCAAATAATAATTAAAGTAATAATTAATAATTAAAGTATAATAATTAAAGTTTAACAATTAAAGTTAATAAAAATAACTATACATTGAATAAAGTATCATAAAAATCCATTTTAATTATATTACTAATAAATATTATATTATATTATAGATTGTTGATATTCCAAATGAGAATCCCTATGAAAAACTTTCAAATGCATTCTTTTTGTTATACAATTGTTTATCAACTGATAAAATTCCAAATATTCAATCGCTGATATCAATCACACAAAATTTAGCTAAAATACAACGTGAAAATCAAGTAAATTACTTTTTCCCATTTTTTTTTCAACAAATATATTTTGGTTGTACAATTCCATTAGATGTTACAAAAAGGAATTTTTCATTTCCGTAAATATCCGGTTGAATATTTTAATTTCAACAATTTTCTACTTCTATGAATACAAATTCAATAGAACGATCCCTGTTGAATTTTAACAATTATTATTCCTGAATCTTTTATTCTTCCGCCGATTATTGTTGCCAAATGAATCATCTTCAATATTAATAAATCTTACTGTATTAATAATTTCAACCAATATAATTATACAATTCTTTTTTGAATCATCATTTTTATCCGGATTATCATATATAATTATGACTCACTTCATAATCGATTTCAATAATTTAAATGACTTTGAAGGAAAACAAAAATGTAATTTAAATCGATCACAAATATATGCAAAATATAATATCAATATTTTAACAACCATCTCATAACTATTTCCTTCGTTTTATTCGCTTAAATCTTTCTTGCTTCTTTTAAACTTTCCTTCTAAAATAAGTAATGTTCTTTTGAAGAAATTCATTTCGGTAAATTTTGATAAATTTTAGAAAATATTATCGTTCAAAATAAATTTCTGTTTTACTCCTTAAAAAAAGATTTTTTAATGAATTGAACAGTTAATGAGTTAATGAGTCAATGAATTAATGAGTTAGCAGTTAATAAGTCAATGAGTCAATTAATGAGTTAGCAGTTAATGAGTTAACGAGTCAATGAATTAATCAGCTAACAACTAATGAATTAATAAGATAACGAGTTAATGAGTTAATGAATTAATGAGTTAACGAGTCAATGAATTAATGAGTTAACGAATTAATGAGTTAATGATTTATTACATCTTTTAGTTTAGTTAAATGGACGTCGAGCAATTCGACATTTACGACGATTTTTCATAGCCGAATATAAAGAATTAATGGATGAAAGAGCAAAACTGGAAAAGTATGTCAGCAAATCGATTTATTAATATGTTGTGATCATACGAGAAATTATACCAATTTAATTTTTGAAAAAAATAGATATAAAAAGATTATATTAATAAATGATATGATTTGATTGTAATTGATGTATAATAGGATATTCTTTTCTTACGTTGTTACCATTAAAAAAAATTATTTTAAAATTTAAAAATTTTAAATTATTATATATTCACATTGATCGTTCATTATCTGTTTAGTGATAATTTAGTGATAATGAAATTATTATCTGTTTACTGATTTTTTTTAAGTGATAAATGAAGATATGTAAAAATTATTCAATAATTAATTCAAACAATATTTACTAATTACTTTATTTTTAATAATTCAATCACATTTATCATATGATATTATTAAATTAATTATTACATTAGTGAAATACAAATTAATATGAATGTAGAAATTACATGATCGTTTTCTTCTCTTTTGTCTTCTTTCAGAGTACGTACAGATATGGATCGTATGAAACATGAGGTAAAAATAGCGAATACAACAGAAAAAATTGAAAAATATGCTATACTTTATGAGCAAGCTGTTGAGGAATTTGATGGACAAGCACAACGTACGATCATTTTACTCAATGAATTACCCAAAATTAAAACGATTCATTTGGTATGATTTCTTTCCTTTATAAATAATTAAAATAATAGAAATAATGTAATTAAAGAAAATTAATAAAATTCTTTCTATATATGCTTATATATAATAAATTTAGTTTAATAATTTAATAAATAATACTAATTATTATTTCTGATTAATTAAGATAAAAATTAGAAATGATATAAATATTTTGGAATAATTTTTAGAAAGATATTGTGGAATTTTGGTCAATTCTTCATGGATATCATGAAGAATGCGTAAAATGTATCGATATAAAATCAATAGAATAAATGATTAATTAATGAATTATAATGAATGTTTCAAAAATTTTTTGCCTTTTTAAAAAAAAAAACTGTAAATATTATGATGATAAAAAATTTTAAATAATCTGTGCATTTTAGAAGTATATTTTATATGTAACATAGAGCATATAATAACAAAAAGTGTGAGAAGAGAGAAAAACTGAAAAGTGTATTTTCATTTTGTTAAAACAAAAATTTAATCAGAATTAAAACGATTGATCAAACGACTAAAATTCTATAAACAGAAATTTGAAATGATTTGTTAAAATTAAAAACTTTACTTATATACATAAAATGTTTGCGAAATTTACGCATCACACACATATTGGAATGTGCTAAATTTGAACTTAATCAGGTATTGAGAAATGTAGAAACACTGTCTACATATAATTTGGCGATTTAAATTATACGTTCGAAATGGAAGACTTTCTACAAGGAATCTCCTAAAGAAAATCGTGACTTAATGGAACTTTATTAACTGATCAGAATAAATTAAAAATTCAGAAAGATCCGCATGAAAACAATCAACGCTTCCTTCTGAGTTTCAGAAACTGTTATCTATCAATGTACAACAGTGAAAGGCATTGATAATTTTAGTCTTGACATACATTTATGGCTCGCAAAGTCTTATCAGTCCTGGTATTTCAGCAATCATATCACTGGCTGTCGAAGATCTTCCATTCCTTTCAAAAGATACTTTTGCAGCCCATCGAATAAGTTGACTTGCGGCAATACCAGCGGAAATCATTGGTTTCAAATCATTCTTGCTAAGAAAAATAAATTATAAACTTGAAAAATACTTAATAATATTTCAAGTTTACTTTCAAACGTGATGTCACAATCAATAGCTTTTCAAGGCTGCTGATTGTTGAGAGTTTCGAATGACTTGCCCAGTATTTTATGGTTTCTTATTGTTAGCATAGAAGACTTTTGTTTTTTTAGTCACACTGGGAAAAATGAAAAAGAAAATGATCAAGGACTTATGCTACGCAATTCTCAATTAAAAAATCAAACTAATTACCAACATTGTAACGTATTACAGCGCTTCATAAAATAATGAGAATAATAATTACCGGATAGCCCAATATGAGAAAATCGCTAATGCACCATTAAGCAAATCTCCCTGCCCACCACAACGCCTCGGTGAACCAACTGATTCTTCTCGATAAACTGAAACAAAAATACATTTTTTCAAACTCAATTTAATTAAAAACGGTTTTTATTATAGATAATTTCAGTTATTTAATGCAGTAGATGCCACAAAAGCAATGCAACAGTATTCTAGTTATCAACTTTAGATGTTTTACTAGCTCTGTTTAAGGCTTGCGTTGTTTCTGTTATCAATGACTTGGATTTCTAGACACTCTACGACACATCTACAAGATATGGTTTTGATTAATAGTAACCTGAAATTCTTCTTAAAATTGATATTTAAATCCAACTTCTTGAAAAATTATTTCTTAAGTTTATATTTAAAAGAAAACAACTATTCCAAACCCTCTACACTGCTTAAATTTCAAACTTAAGGAATTTAAAAATCGTTGAAAGGATTGGACGAAATGATTTACTTACGTTCCTCTCCATTGGTAATCACATCGTGAGGCCCTTTTTGAAGTATTGTACAGCCAATATGATTAGCCAATTCACATGCTGCTTCACCTGACTCAATTTTTGTTCTATCAATTTTGTCTACTTTGAAGGCTGATTGATAGAGACGATTGAATTCCGAGTGATTTGGAGTCAATATTGCTTGCTCGTAACCTTGGATAATATTCAAATTCTTGGCGAGCAAAAACAAAGCATCCTAAATTTGAGGAAAAAAATAATGATTTCAATTTGATGGTTTGATTAAATGCACTAATTAATCAGTAGTTAACTTGTTTAAAATTGATAAAACGAAAGATCGTTGATCATTTATGTACGGTAAAAAACGGAAAATAAGATTAACTAAAAGATAGAAAATTAAAGCATCACTAAAGGCATTCGTTGAATAAGTTTTATTACACTAAAAATTCCAAAGAAAAAATGCTTATTAGCTAAGCAGAAATAAATTACTGATTATAAGACAATGGACTTTCTAAAAAAACAAACTAATTGCCCATATCGAGAAAGCATAAGGTAGATCAGATATTGAAGTACTAATGTTCGGAAAGATCCATTTTTGCCTTATTCATCTTATTGCCAGTAATTTATTACATAAACAAATAAGTTTCATAACATCATTCCGAAAATAAAAGCTACTAACAGTCATTGTTGCTTTATGAGCTAAAAGAATAAATTCCAAATCAATCCACTAATGTTGCTCTATTGAGCAAAAACATACCGCATCCACAATGACAGGTATATTCTTTTTTCTAGCCGATTCAATTACAAATTCCACAACCGATAACGTCTTTTCCTCTCTTCCAAGACCTGGCCCTAGGATAAATGCATCTACACGGTGTAATGATTCTGCAATTGCATCTTTATCATAGGATGGATGTACCATTAATTCTGGACTATATCCTTTAATTACGTTTGCTGCTTCAGCTGGACAAAATACATGTACCATATCACACCCCTAAAAAACAAAAAATTTCAACATTTTCACTTTCACTCAATCAATTGAAACGGAATGAAAAAAACTTAACAAAATAAGGTAGAAATCAAAAGTATGAAAAGTGAAAAATAGAATTGAAACATTTAATTTAAAACAAGTACACTTGAAATGAATGCAATTCCTCCTTTAATTCAAGTAAAAATGCGAAAGTCCAAATCCTTGAATTTCATATACTATATGTGAAGGGGAAGCCGAGAACAGAAAAGTTATGAAAGATGTAATTTTATCTTCTTATTTATTGGGATTTTGAAATGTCTCCTCTCTATGTCCTAAATGACCTCTCTCAATAAACTTGAACTTATCTTGTTAATGAATAGAAACAGAATAGACTATTATTAATAATCAATACATGAAAACATCTGAAAAGGTGAAAAAAAAGAGATCTAAATAAGAATGAGAAAAAAAAATGAAGTAGTAAATGAAGAAAACGGTAAGTAATTAAATGGAGTTGACTAAGCAAACAAAGTATGCAGGTTTAATAAAAGAAACTGAATAAGTTATTAAATAAGTAAATATATGTACAAAGGTATACAAAATGGTACGGTACCACTTTTAGCGCAGTAATAGCCGAAAAATACGGTGCTCCGGTATAAATCATTGAGCCACCAACAACACCAATACGTCCACATTCACCCTTCTTTAGACTACTATTCAGTGATGGAAGAAGTTCTTGTACTGATGTCAGAGCTGCTGAAAAAATTCAAGAATTATCATACGTTTTCAAGTTCAAATTTTTTTGCCCAAAACTTTCCCTCGATTTCACCAAGAAATGATAACATCTTAATTTCAAATAATAACAACAACAGTTTCTACGAAATATTATTTAAAATAGAAATTAAGACCCTAACAATGATATTTCGTATATAATCGCTGGATGAAAATTTTTGAAATTGAAATTGTGATACCGAACATTGAAAAACTTGATCAAATTTGAAATAAAGCCATCCCTTTTAAATTATTTATTTAATTCAAATTATTGAAACACATACAAACTTACATGTAACATTTAGATGTTTCAAAGTTTTCGGAACGTGATATGGCAGCATCGGCATTGCGTTGAAAACTTGATACAAATTTTCTTCTCCAAAATTATTCACTATACGACTGATAACCGATTCTTTCTTAATAATTTGAAATTTCCATCAAATTATATGCACTTCATAGTATGTATAAGTTAGAGAGTACGGAAAAAAATCGGGAAAATTCAAACTCTAAATAAAATCTTTTGGATGAATCATTTAGGAATTAATATACTGGAGTAATTAATGAATTCTAACATATTTTCCTAATTAAATGAACACAAATCATTGATCAAACTATAAAAGCATGCCAGTTAAATAGAAAGAATCAAAGTTCTTGTTTTAATTCAAAAGAATTTAATAGTCATAACTCTTTCGAAATGACTGCACAGAATACTGTTCCATTCATTCATGAACGGAATGGCTGATGAGAACTTTAATCTCAGATTTGAAAAACCTTCAAACTATCTTAGAAACCCCTCAATCGATTATGATGATAAATTGTCGTTACTTTTATTCTTTTATTCTTTGTGATCTCTTTTTTCCAATCATATTGCCGTATCTCCTACTTCTTACATGACATTTTCACTAAATTTATTTGTTTTTGAATAATGACTAGTAGTACCAGTATTACAGATTAGTATTTTATATTAAACTGTTTCTTGGGAATTTTTTTTTGCTACCTGAACTTAATAGGTAGGAAGATAAAAGATAATTTGTTTACATAATTTACAAATACAAATTCACTCCATAACTAATAAGCAAAATAATTAAACGGTTTATTACCTGTTAGTGTATTTTATAATCACGAAATTCTAAATAATTGATTATATTTATGCAAATAGCAAAATGTTAGATTCAAATAGAAATATACTTCCAGAGTATAGCAATCAATGATACTAAGATACTGTTACATGGAGCTGATTTTTCATTTAATGGTAACCGTCAGCTGTCAGATTTCCAGATCATTAACGACTTTCATCTTCAAAAACGGAGGATGTAAAACAAAATAATTCTGGTAAAAAAATTTTTAAAAAATACAACAAGAAAGCTTTACAAGACGGATCAACAATAAAGTTTAACAGAGCATTTAACCAAACAATGATGAAAAAGGCATACATTTCAAACTGCAAAATAAATCACAATTTGCTTTTTTCCCTTTCAACATCGATTATATTTCCATTTCCGAAGATATTCTATAATCAAAAGAATTTTTAAATTCTATACATTTGAGACACTGAAATTTTAGGTGAGAAAAATTTCGACAACTCTCGAACATTATTAAAATATTCCTACAGGGCATACATACCTTAGGATCAAGTTTCTCTTTTAGTGCTCTAATTGCTAATAATCCAGTATCGCCAACACTGGCAGGATACCAATGCTTCCGCAATTTTCCGATACCATGATGATGCGATATACTTCCACCACAAGCAATAATCTCATCACGAGCAGCTTTCTGAAAAAAGAAAAAACCAAATGGATAAGAAATAGTTCACGATAACTAAATGTTTTTTTCTTTTAAAATAATTTATAATCGAACGAAAATTCAAAAGCTTCCATAACTGAATGGTTTTTAAGTTCAAGAAAAAGATATTATTTTCAAATTAACTTCTCGTTTGGATTATGCAAAAAATACCTCAATTTGATCGCATAATAATATAGGATTAGGTATGCCACCGTAATTGAATGCATAATAAAAGTATACGCAGACACCTGAATCATAAATCTGTGTCACCCTGGAAAAAAGAATTCCAAAATTGATGCAATTAATTCCCAAATTGTAAAAAAATTAAAAAGAAATGATATATCTAAAAAGAACACGTTTTTTTGGAAATAGTATTTCGATTTAATATCCTATATAGCTCAATGTTAGGATGGTTCCGTTACTTTTATGAAACATAACTTTATAATTGTGTCTTGTAAACATAATGATTGTAACAATATCAAAAGGAGAGAAACATTTGAAGTAAATATAATGCAACGTGAGGGAAATATGAAGCAAATTTCATACATTTGCCACGCAACATATGAAATTTAACATTTACTTAAACTTAAAGAAGATCGGAAAAGTAAAACTACTGTAAAATCACACTAAAAAATATGATATATTTAATGCTACATATTTAATCTGAGTAAAACATTTTCAGACGATTCGGTTTTATTCTTCCAACGAAAAAGCAAAAACAACTTTATTTAAATCCATAATCTAGTTTTGCTGATTGAAACAGTAAATATTACACCATAAACGCTTACAATCATAGTAGTTCTTTCTGCTTTGAGCAGTTTATTGAGCTTAAATAGCCTTAAAGATATCTAGCTAGAATTTATTGGAATAATTACCGACAGGTTGCAAGAGGTGGTAGTATCGTACCGCGTGTTATTCCTTCTTGTCTGATCACTTCTTTCACATTTCGACATAAAAATAACACTTTATCCCACGGAACAGATGTTTCAAACGATTCGCCCATTATCGAGAATTGCATACCAAAATCCTTTAAAATATAACGCTTAAAACCGGATGAACAACTTGAAACTACTGATACTGCAATAAATTCGTATAACAATTACATAAAACATACCCTTAAAATAAAAATTTATTACTTGAATACAAATTAGAGAGTAAACAGAAAAGAAATGCCAGTGAAAACAGAAAACGAATAACAATTAAAGTTAGATACAAAACTATTTTCTTCTGTTCGATGAAAGCTCCACAAATTTTTTTCTGTGCTGTGCAGGAAATTTCCCAAGTGTAAAAACTGAAGAGAAACGCGCAACAATTGGGTGGTGATCCAATTGTTGCGCGTTTCTCTTTAGTTTTCTCTCGCTTAATCTAACAGTTCTGATTCAGTTAGACGATAAAAAATACGGCAGTAACTAGCTTAACAAGAGCGAATGACATTGAACAAGAACAAAAATGAAAAAAGGTCATTTGCTAGATGGAAAACATGCTAACAAGCCAAGCTTAACAATGACATAAGATTTTGTCAGGTATAAAAAAACAAAGCGATTAGTAAGAACTATAAAAAAGAGCCATATGAAGCCAAAAAGAAAAAATATCGTCCGATTAGAAAATATGCTTGCTAATTTAATCCTTTTTTACGATTAGAAATTATTATGAAAGCTTACTCTAAGATATGCAATGGCAAAAGTTAATCGATAACCATACTCTCCGTTATCAGCACCACCATTTATACCACCCATACTTTCCGCCAAAGTGGTAAGTTTCCGCTCTTCACTATTGACTTCTTCTCTTGTCCCTTCATAAACGCATGTTGCTGCCACAATTTCATTCAACTTAAATACTTTTTTTGAAATCTATTTTTTTCACAAAAAAAACGATAAACATATTAAGTCACTTGGTAATGAATATCAACGTGTGTTGAAATTCATAAACTGGAAAATAAACGGCGTAAATAACTATTACACGTAGTTTGAGAAAACAGAATTTTAAAGAATTTCATATACAGTTGCACACACTTCCTAGTCCCCTTTTCATTATTCTATATAAAAAAGTAGTTTTTGTCCTATATTTTGAACAACAAAACATACTTAAACTAACAACATATCCTGTTTATAAAAAAAGCTCTTGTACTTCGAAATATTCTTAAATTCTTTTCCCGACTGACTACGAACAAGTTTTCTGGCTTTTCTTTCCAAAACTCAACCACAAGATTTTATCATTAAAAACCCTTCATTAAGTTTGGTATTTCAAAAGAAGTGCAAACATATTATTTTATTTATGAGAATGATAAAATGAACGATTTTGCAATATATAAAATCATAACCTCAAAATTTTTCCATTTTGTAATGTATAAATTTTCCAAAGTATGTTTTAAACCTTTCAACAACGAGCCATTGTAAGTCTTCAATGCTTGTCCCATCAAGAATTGTTCGTTGTCAACCAATCGTAATGATGCACATTGACAGCGCTGCAGTGAATGGAACAAATTTGTCATGAAGCTTTGCAGAAGAAATTTTTTTCAATAAATGAGAAATTTCATGCTGTAAAAGATCTAACATATTTTCCTATATCTTTTCCCGTCCAGATTATTTAAATTCATAAGTCATTTTGAAGGAATTAAACAAACCTGCTTTGCGACTTCACGAAAGAAATTTACACCTTCTTCAAAAGTTCGAAAAACGAATGAACCATATTTCTTCATTTTTGGTTTCGGGAAAATTTTCACTGTTGCTTCGGTCACCACTCCCAAAATTCCTTCAGAGCCAAGAATCATTTGCTGCAAATCCGGTCCACCGGATATTCGAGGAACCTAAGCAAAGTGAAAAACTTTTAAGAAACACAATAATGTTATTTTTAACAAATTTCATTATAGAAAAAGTAAATAACACAAACTAACTTGACACTGTCTACGAATAATTCCTCTCGGAGTGGCAAGCGAAACATGAACTAATAAGTCTTCAATATTGCCATATTTGTTTTTTTTCATTCCTGAAAAACATTACTCCTTATCTGTCAATAGTTCCGTTTCATCAATCTTACTAGCCTGATTGCACTACGTAAGTAACACCAATCAATAAGTTTATTAATGAATAACAGAGCAGTAAACCAAACGTGTGAACTACCTTGGCAAAACACAACCGCGTGCTCGTTTTCATCTTCTTTAACTTTTCTCTACAAAGCAGTTGGTAATAATTCAATAGTAAGATGATGTTTTTCAATTATTGGCTATTATGGATAAAAAAGACAAATTTGATATCAAGAAAAAATATGGTAAACTTATTTATGACACATACCTGATGCTCTTGTTGAAATCCACCCGCCAAGTGTGCTGAATTCCACAGAATCTGGCTCATGTCCACAAGTATAACCCTTTTCATTTAATTGTCTTTCCAAATTTTGTCCAATTATGCCAGCCTAAAAAATTGCCATGAAATAATAAATTGCTTTCAAAGAAATTTATTTAGCAAAAACAAAAGAAAATAAAAATTTGGTCTTGCAAAAAAATTTGAAATTGACGTCTTACAAATCTTTACATATAGATTTACTGAAATTGAAACACGCAATTTACATCGAAGTGTTCCAAATTTATGGATTCCTTTTTTATAACAACTTGAATGCAATATCAATAAATAAAATATAATAAGAAATCAGCATTACTTCAGCTCGACAAAGAAGGTTCTCATCATCAATATAAATAATTGAATTCATCAGTGTCATATCTAAAGAACAAATACTCCGTGCTTCCTCACTTGGACATTGCAGCGCACCTGTTACTGAAGTTCCACCACCGATCGGTATTATGACAACATTAAATTTCTTAGCACCATCAATAACCTGACATGTAACAATCTAATATTTTAGGCATTTCCAGATAAATATAAATAAGCATTTCGAGAAAAGTTGATAATGTATTAATTAAACAAGAGAAACCAAAAGAAGAAGTCATTTTAAATTTTCAGTCTTTTTTCATAACTTCTTGAATTACTGATCTCTTACCTTCATAACTTCTTGAATTACTGATCTCTTACCTTCATAACTTCTTCCTCACTTTTAGGCCATACGATAATATCAGGAATGCGTCCAACATTACCACTTCGCAAATTAGCAATATCATGTACTGAATATAAACCAATTATAAATGAAAAATAATTGAAAATTCAACAAAACTTTGAAGTCAGAGGGATTTTACTTCATTACATTTGATGAAATAAGTGAGGAAAAGCAAATGAAATATATATTTTTCGGGTTTTCTTTTTATATATATATTTCTTGGTTTTCTTTTCCAAAAAATATAGGAATATAAATTAAGCAAAAACTGGATATGTAAAAAATATCAACGTCACGAAGCAAAATGTATCAAATGGCGATAAACAGCCATTTACGATTTCTTTAGAAAACTTAAATAAATTGATAATTGAATTAGAAATGAAAATATGAGCAAGTAGGAATTAGTGTGAAAAAAAACGAACCTGTATGTCCATGAGATCGAACTAATCGATAATTAGATTTATTAGAGAAGGATATATTGTTTGATAGCAAAAAATTGATAAAGTCTTGATTATCAAATGGAACTGGAATGACTAAGTCATCATAACGTACACTTGGAGTTTGGATATCAACGTGGACACCAAATTTCCCTTCCATGTATTTGATGAGATAAGGCAATGTTTGACCCGATAAATTATACCTGAAACATAAGATCATTATGACAATAAGATCATTTTACTTTCTCTAAAAACTAAATTCAAATTATAAACTAAAATTATCCTCAACAATGCACATAGAAATAAATTCTTCTTTTTACCCTCTCATACATATGACTGTCAAACGATAACATCAGTTGATAGATATAAACATTTTTTTTTAATTTTTAACTAAGTAAATAATTTATATAATCTACGCCATACCATCTATACAAAAATTGAAATCATACAAAACATAACAGAAAAAAGCAAACAATCAAATCATAACTAATAGAAAAAAAGTAACAGTAAAATCTACCTATTACCCGTGAGAACAGCATTAGTATAATTCCTAATTACAAAAGATGAATCCGCATATCCCCATCCATTCCATTTCAATATTCGATCTCTGCAATCTATCCGTTTTTTTTATAAATACAATAATAATAAACATTACAGGTAATATGTTTTTTTCATACATCACGACTACTTATACACACCTGAAAATATCAATTAATAAAATCGAAGCAGAAAGAAAAACAAACTATATCGATACTAAGTGTAAATAAATAATATATCAACAAAAAATCAATATAAATAATTGCAAATATCTAATGCTTAATAAAGAATATAACTTTTTTCGCAACGTCTAATTAGATGAAATACACCATTGATATACCTTTTTTAGAGAAACGAAAGTTATTAAAGCAGGAAATTAGATGAAAAAGTGTAAGAATAAAATGCAAATAAACCGAAGAAATACAACAAAATACCGATCAGTATCCGGAACACTATTTTCTTGTACAGTATAATCATTCCTTCCGTTCATTTCGGATGTTTGCAACAAATTCTCTTGATTGCCTACAAATTCAACAAATCTGAAATAATTTGTTTCGTTTAGAAATTTCTTGAAATAAATAAACAAATTTTCGGAGAACAAGAAAACAAAGAAAAATTACGAAAAAGAAGAAAGATCAACAAAAAATATATATATCAATAATGCTTTCCTTTCGTTGCACTTTTAAATTCATAACCTTCTCTATAATAGTGAAGGTAGAGAAAGGAAGAAAGAGAGAGAGAAAGACAAATGGCTGTTTTTGAATGCTAATGAAATTTGAAAACAACTAAATAGTGATTTAAAGAAAAATATTATGATTTTAACCATTCAAACGATTACTTCTACATCAAATTAATAATCAGGAAATTAATTCAAAAAAAATATTTCATTAAACTATAATTAAAAACAAATTCTATCAATGATCTATTTTCAATTTTAGAATCCAAATAATACAATATAAAATAATCATTTATATAAAACTTAAAATGTAAATTTCCCTCTAACCTTTTTAGTTTCTTCCATCTATTCTAAGAACTGCTGAACATACATACCACTACCAAAATTCACTATTTACTCAATATTTCCCTTTTGTTCAGAGATCAATTTTGTCATCACAAAATTTTCTACTTCCACTAATGACAGCGTAATCAATCAAATTCGAAGCAATTTTTTATTGACTTTTAACAGTCAAGAATGAAAAAAGAATGCGTTAACAGTGAAACTTATTTCCATCCTCTTCATATATTAACCTTTCCCTTTCAATTTGACCCATCCATTACAGATGCTTTTTCAATTCTTAAAAAGAGTATAACCAATACCAAAAAGACTTAATGAAAATTATTTCGCTGAACGATGAACCCTCGATTGCTAAAAATAGATCACTAAACGGAATATATACACCTCCCTTTTATCTGACCTTTCTAACTCTCCTGCAATAGCAGCATATACCTTTTACTCACTACTTGCAGACCTCAAAAACCTTCAGCAAAATTTCTTAGTACTATACCAAATACCCCACCAATTTATAAAGGCAATCTATGAATGGCGAGGATAGCTCCACTCAAACATCATCTCAAACGTGCTATTGCATTGCTTATTAGAATGCACTCCAAGCTATCACATCCCATCAGGACCCTAACACCAAGAACGCTATAATACACAGTAAAACACACTCCATTACCAGAAAAATACAGGCATTTCCCGTGTATTCGACACTTGCATCTTTCAAACCACAAAATTGCTATGTATACCGCATTTTCTGAAACTGCGCAATATTGTCAAGCCAGTCACCTCAATCTGAATGCGTAGTTACAAGAAACGTTGTACAAAACCCAACATTTATTCAGAAAAAATTCAATTTCAAACAACACATAAAAAGACAACGAAAAATCGAAAACACATCCGCCACTTAATCTTCTGGAATGACGATGTCGCCACTACGTATGGCATCAACTATATCATGCGGATGCTGTCCATTCACTGTGCAACCAACCGATTGGGCTGTACCTGTAAACCATAAATAAGAAACTCGACTCCATGAGAACTTATACCGAAAAACGCACACTAATAACCATTATACGCAAAATTTTAATGCACTGTCCCAAACTTTTTGCGCGGACACTGCTTACCGAAAAACACATACCCAGTATTTCCTTTACAGTGCCTTCTAACTTCTTCGCCATTGAACGCGGTCGCATTTGCCGTGCAATGTTGATAACTTGTTCCACTGTGAGATCACCACTGTGTTTTACTGAAACTTTGTTATTCAACTACAAGACTAGCTACATTCATCACGAGACAAAACATGAAAAATATGTTTACTAGAAAATGTAAAACGAATAAAGAGGATAAAAAATAACTTTTAATGTTTTATTATTTATATGTACTTTAGACAATGCCGAATCCAACTTAAAAGAATCCACATCTTTTTCTAATTCATCTCTTTTTCTTTTCATATCCTGCCGATCTAAGAAATTCAACCCACCCCTTGAATCTAACAAACATCTACGAATCCACAGGTAGAAAGCAAAGATTGATTTCAGCTTCTATTATTTTTTACTTATTTAAAATCGGCTTGCTTAAAACTGTTTGAATCTCTGGATCCACAAAGTTCATCTTCAAAAAATATTTCGAAACCGAAATTGGCCCCCTCCTCCACGCTTATTTATTAGCTTTTATTTATAATCATCGTATATGTGCGCTCGCCGAAATATTTTATAATTTCTTCAGTTTATAATAGATAATGTTGCTTGGGGGCTTACCGAATTCGTTGTTGGCCCAAAAAACGGTTACCAGTCTTTTCAATTGCAAAGCCTACACAAAGACTGCAATAACCGAAAATGACTGGGGGATGGGGACCGTGCGTTGGTCACCCGACCCTCCGCCTATAGATAGATGGACAAATATATACCATCATGACAACAACGCGTTGATTCCTGTTTGTCTCTACTTTTCCCTTTCCCTATTTCCTTTTTCAATTGCATATTAACATGATGTGTTGTCGCATACCGTTTTTAACCTTTTTCCGATCTCGTGCAGGTTCTTTCAACTCTTTGATAAGTAGCGATGCTGCGCTCGGTACTACATCTATTTTGGCTACACGATTCTGGATCGTCAGCTTGCACGTTACCTTTAGACCTTTCCAATCTTGTGTTGCTTTCGCTATATCATCACCAATTTTCTTCGGTGACTGAAAAATTAGAACATATTAAAAACAAGAAGTCGAACTCCAACCTAATATATAACTAAAACTTCTGCCCTCAAAAACTTTAATATGAAAACGAGAAAAGTTCCACAAACAAACAAACGAAAAACTTAAACCGCGAAACTGTACCTACTGATTTGAAGCTAAATAAAGAAGCAAGAAATTTTATCAAAATCCTTGCCAAAGTTTGTTTCATCTCTAATAGATGTTTGTTTCAATCTCTACGAAATAAACATCTATTAGAGATGAAACAAACATTAAGCAACAGTCGCAATTTCAATTTCTGGTCTAATTAATTTCAGTACAAGAAAAAAGCAAAGAGTCCTTTACCAGGCCAAGTGGTCCAACCTTCGGCGCCAAAGCTGATGTAGCACCAACCTCACCGCCAACACAACGCAGATAAACTGCAAGCAAAATGTAGATTATTCATTTTCTATTTAAAGTTTGAGTTCTAAAGAGCAGAAACCTATAAAAACACCACACTTAGGTGGCCACACACAAACATACATGCACATATGCGCATACATATTGCAAGCACTTTGATTTTCCTAAATAAATCATTTTAACCTATTAAAAACTAAGCCTGACCTCGAATGAAGTAAGGACATCAAAAATTAAAACTATCATAACAGTACCAGATTTGAATTAAGTGCAGCCTGCAACTTCAATTATATTACCTTCCAACGCTCAATTTGAACAAATCAAACATGAGTCTAAATCGAACTAAGCCAATCGAGACTTCTTGACAAACCTCACACTTACCAATTTTAATTTCGCTTGGGTCAAATTTAGGCGGCATCCTTCAGCAAACACTTCGGCAAACAAATCAACCCAAAACTGATCTCTTTTAGCAGCCTAAAACTGTATATCGTCATGGACCTCAATGCAACTTGTGCGTCCCAGCGATAATTCGTTGACCGTTCCGCCCCCCTTCGACAATCTCACGCTTATCAATTTTAATTTCGTTTGAGTTGGCACGTTCTGGGTCATAATTTTATTTGGGTTAAAGTTAGGCGGCACGTTTTGAGCATATTTTCGTTTGGGTTAAAGTAAAGTCTAACGAACGCACTGGCAACTAAATCACCCCAGAAATAATCTCTGATATGACACTCCTGCGTCATATTCCAGTGAGAAATAATAGTTTTCATTTGGCTGGCTGCAGTAACCCTCACCCCGAGTCCCACAGCTGCAGAGAAATTTATTGCAGGATAAAACCTCAAAACCTTCGTATTTATGATAATTTCCAAAATCCCAGCCTCGCAATCCCATCAAAACAATAAACCATGCACACCGACCAGAGGAATTATATTTTTATAGATCAAGTTCGTTTTGGTCAGCGATATTCTGCCACTGAGAATTTTACCAGCGGATTTTCTGAATCAAAGATATGGGTTGTCAATTGTTAAAATGAACTGGAATATGAAGAAATTTCCAGCTCATAACTTCTACTTTTATACTGGTTCATAATCACATGGTCTCCCAATCTCCGTTGCACAGAATGATACATGCCCAGGAAGTCCAAAGATTACACCTGCAGCGATACGACCAATTGCACGAATGGACCTTCTCATTTTCGATTGCAACATTTTCCCGTTACATCAAATGAGGAACATTCTTTTATCAGTCACTTTCATTCGATTGCCAATCATTGAAATATATCATTTCTGAGAATCGCAATTAATAGCCACTGGATCAAAAAAGAAAATACAATTTGAATACAATACACAAAATTCTTCCTTTTTTAAATCTTGCAAGTAAACAATGCGTTATTTACATTTGTAAACAAACACTACAATTCGACAAGTTCCCAAAGAAGCTTCCAAGGCAATAATATTTTAGCAACTCAAATAAAGAGGTTATTATGCTGCTTCCAATGTCGACGGTTGCTGTGGTTCGGGAGTTGGTGATGTGTCTGTCACCGGCACAAATGGTGCACCTGATGAGAGTGTATTCCCAAGACCATACAAATGTCCTTCGACTGTTGGCGCAACCTAAAGTGATACCATCTGCTATTGCTAATCAACCAGTCAAGAACAACTGATAGAAAAAATGACGAGCATAGTCGTAGCGCGATAGTATAAGAAAATAAATTATATTATACCATCAGTCCATCATGACGTTAACTGTTTTTCTAGGTGATGTAATAATATTGCAAACAAATGTTAGCATTTTCATCGATTAATGTTATCGTAGAATTTCGTTTTGTCCTCTTCATTGGTTATGAGACTGCTTTTATCGTGAACATTACACTTGATAAGAAAAAATCACCTGATCCCATGTATCCTCAAAAAACCGCTCCTTGATTTTGAAAAATGTTTGCGCAGTAAGTAATGAATCAGAGCCCGCTTGATGTTGCTGTCCTTTCCGAATTACTTTCAGTTGATCAGCAAGCTGAAAATTATTTAGCAAAGCTAAAATAAGTAAGAATTATGAAATGATTCCACAAAGTCCTAGTCACTTGCATTTTGAAAAGCCTAAAAAATTGAAAAGAAAGTGAATTCTAAAGTAAAGTGACTCGTTTCACTGATGCAAACAGATTTCATATAGAATTGAATGGTTTACAGCCTGAGTAAAGAAGCATAATCACTGTCTTTATTATCAAGTAGCACGGAATTGAAGTTTTCGAAAATATTTCCTTTACCGTAAGCAAGTAGTGCTATATCAAAGTGAGTTAAGTATTGCTAACTCAGCCAACGTCATTCACAAATAAAAAAAAGTGAAACAGAAAGAAAAAACAAAAAATTAGCAGTCACAGATAAATGGACAAACCTCTTGCAAACCGCCTCTCAGTTTTGCATTCACTAAGCCCGGATGTTTCAACAGCATTTTCAGATCGTAACTACATGGAAAAAGTTTACGATGATATTGAAAGAACTGAGATTCTTCTTTGGGTAATTCCGAAAGCAGAATAGAACGCATGAGGTATCCAAAATCATAACCACTATGAAACGTTAACCAGGTGACGTGCTCGTCAACAATTAATCCTGAGGTCGTAAGCAGTTCACCAAAATCCGCCATCCGTATTCCTTCAACCTACAAATACATAAATGCGCATATACGTTTGTGTGTGACTACTTGAATCTGAAATATTTCTGAATGACTTGAAAACTATTGCAATAAAAGTCTCATGTCTTATAAAATACGTGCCGTAAAGAGTTAGCTACGTCGAATGAAATGATGATTTGAATTGTACAGCGCTTATTATTAATACGTAAATATATAACTTATCGGATATATGGTTATATCAACGTTCAGAAACACTATTCTATTCTTCTCTGTCCATGCTAGGATGTAGAAAGGATAACATTCTAGCAAGCTATGTTGAAGCAACCAAATCAAAGTTTTCTTCCAACCATATTTAAGATAATAACCAAAAATTAACCTCATTAACTTTGTCACATTAAAAGCTTACCTGATGCCGTCCAAAATCTATACCAGCATTACGTAACAAGTCGACGCTGTCTTGGGAATACATATCGTCATTTAAGGAAAACTGAAAGTTAAATTGCCATACATCACCCGTTGGTGGCACGTTACCATCTTTATCTAACAAAGCGAATCCAACTTGGATAAGTTTTAACATATTTACATTGCAGGAAACCTGAAAAAAAAGCGAATGAAGTTTTAGTTATGAATATATTATATAATAAAAGCAAATACTTCGAAAATAATTAACGAAAATCAGAGGAAAAATTAAGATGGTAATTACCTGCTGATAGTTGAAATCTTCCTTACTCTTGAACTGTCCCAAGGGTGTAGCAACTACACCTGGAAATTCCGTATCCATCGCAACAAATGGGTAATTTTTAACTATATCTCGTATTCGTTTGAACTCCTGTAAAAATTTTTATATGTTATGTTATGTACAACAACACTTAAAATCTTTTTGAAAAATAATAATAATGCCATGAAATAATTAAATGAAAAGTTTTATATGCAGAACCTTACCTCTTCAAGGTTGTTCGCCCAGACATCGTGAATCTTCACCTCGGGATCGTTCATTCATGCGAACTTTTCAGTTTTTAAAAATTTTCCGCTCAGTAAAAATTAATTTTCTGCAATTACGTATCAAAGATTATCTCACCTTCCCTATTTCCGAATGTCTTTTTTGCGACATTACAACCTTATATTTGTAATGCAAAGCGAAACCGCAACCTTGTACCCTTATACTTGTCAACCATTCCCTACCATTAAAATATATCAAACATACGACTATCACACCAATAGACTCAACGTTCTTATTGACTAAAAACATAACTAAAGCAACAACAGGGAGTAAATTTTCAATGGAATATTGAAAGAATTATGTGAAAGCCTTAACCTATTTAAGCATTGTATGGTAATTTGTAAACAAAGGTTCCTGCATAAATCAAAACATCGGTATTTGTAAAACTAAATTACATAACCTAAGCTTGCTATCAAATAATGTCAATGTTTCCGTGATTATCTTTACCGAAGGAGAAATGCCGTGAATTTCTAAAATACATAAAAATACTTCCAAAACGATTTTAACCGTAAATTTAATTTCAAAGCTAATTAACGAAGATTTTATACATAAAACAACAGCTCAAATTCGATAAAACTTCAAACTTTCAATTTGAAATATAATTTGATAACCAATAACGAAACAAAGAACCCGTAAAGTATGCAAAAAATTTCAATAAAGACGAAAAATATCCTATACAGCATGTTTATATAACTTCCGCAAAGCGAGGATGAAATTTGCAATCAAGAGTGTCGTTCCATATATCAAAGTCATTCGTTTAATAAATCGTCGTCTCCTAAACAGGCCAATAAAAATAATTTCATTTTTTTCAGTTCGATAAGATTAACGAATAAATGCAAAAAAGGTTTTCAAAAATAGTGAACTAATAGTTTCTTATGCATTTGAATTACAATTCTTGCAATTAAGGCTGAAAACTTTTTCAAATTCGACAGCAACAAAATAAAACATGCTGTAAGAAGTTTAGAAAGCATAATAAGCTTCAAAAATATTAATGCTTGCTTTTATTTCTTTCTGTAATTTTTACCCTAGAAATTCATGTTATTCAAATCGCATCATGAACGATTCACATCAAAGATCTAAAGGTTTTAAACATAACTAATGGACTACTTGGATATTGCAGTTAAATTTTCGATTTTTCAGCACATAATAACTTTGACTTTTCAACACATTTTTTTAACTTTGTGAATTTGTTTTTAACTAAGATTGAGTTGAATGGAAAACCTCGGTCTGAGCTTACTGAACATGAAGTCCACAAAATTCGAGCAAATATATTGCCCATCAAGATAAACGCAAGGTGCCGCGTTGATAACAGCAAAAGCTAAAAAAATAAAGAAAAATTACTGAATTCACCAATTTTAAATATTTGTTGTCAGTTCAATGGAAAATTCACACGGTTAAAACTTCCCAAATAAAAACAAACCGAATGAGAATGTGAAGAGATACTTTGCCACAAGCTCAATTAAGTAAGGTATCACTGCTGACGATATTGGTAACCGTGGCACGTAATTACTCACTTGCACATCAAATTCCAACTATAAAAATATGAGTTTCTTCGAAAATAAAATCATCTATTAAATTGTATAAGCTTTCATTATAAAATATTTCTATATCAAAATTCCCAGAATACACTGCTTTTCAAGTAAAAGACTTGATATTTATCTCTAATTTGAACCCAGTCCAAAAGTGGTGAACTATCTGCAATACATTAAATTAATACTATCATTATTCTTATTTGAATACTTCCTTTGCGACAGTTCTAATATGAAACCAATAAACGTGATTAATGTTTCGATAAAAAACTGGGTTTTAATTGTGCGTGTTCGTCATCCTATTCGTAAAAACTATCCAATTTTCTACAGAAATTATAGGAACGTCATATTCAAGCAACTACCTCCTTAACGTAGCCTACATAGAGAACTATTCGCGATGCATTTCCAATTGAAATTTTCATGAATGACATGCTACCCAGAAGAGCAGGAAAAACGCAAGATGAATGGGTGGTTTCCAAAGTTAGACTTGTATTTGTGCAATTATCAGTAGAACTGCAAGACGGTAAATCTGCAAAACTTCAGTCTTAGATGATTCGATTTTCAAGGGTTCTACTAAAAATCTTCAAAACTTGAACGTTTCTTTTTTTCTCATAAATTTTAAAATCCTGCTACATACCTCGCTGTGTTGATAAATTCTCGAAGCTGTTTAAATTGATAAAAAGTTGCTCTCAACGAACCTGTTACATACCTCGCTGGCAAACATGCGCATATTTTCGCCGAAAAATACTCCAACAATTCATGACTTTGTCTTTTAGCTAAATTTTACAAATATTAAAAGGCAACGTAAAAAAATATATGGAGAATTTTGCCACATCTGTCCCAAAGTAGATAAAAAGAACATGAAATAGATGTTTTTATAACTAAACTGTAACAAACTAACTTCAAGTAAGACTCAGTCGATCTTACCGCCAGGATCACGAATAGAAACAAATATCGCATATAAGGTAAAATCAAAACATACGGAAGTTGTGCATCCAATCACGTACATAAAAGCACATATGTGAAGCTGAATTATTCCATGTTGAATTGTGGCAACAGTCTAATTCATTCTCCACCAACTGCATCTAAAATGCTCAAGTTTTCTCGCATACTATCACGATAACTTAAACAACTCTTTCAACCGTGCAAATTAAATCTATATTTTTTCCACTACTTTCTCATTTTCAAACTTAACTAATAATAGTATTAAAAAAGACAGAAAAATGTGTTGTCGCATAATTTCAATAAGCAGCTATTTACAAGTAGTTTCTGCTGAGAAAAATTATATTTTCTGAGTTCAAAAGAGATAAGCTAACCAAAAAATCAAATAACAAAACATCCCATAGTTGTCAGCTACCATGGTTCAAAAAACACATCTAAAATCCGTTCCTTAACAATAATCAAACTAAATGACATATAAAAAGCTAATATGATAATAATCCAATAAAATCTGAAGCGACAAATAATTGAAAAACCTCATCTGCAATATTCTCTGCAATTACGTCGTCTGGCACGCAAAATCCCGAATTAGTATACTTCATTATCTTCAGACAGTGATTCCAATCGTTAATATTATTTACAGTACAACCATTTATTACTTGGATAACATTGCCCTTCTGTAAACCAAGTGGTCCCGATAGAGGAGAATCCCTTTGAATATCTAAAATCCACAACAACACTTCCATATAATCATTAAGTTAATTTACATAATCATAATATCTATCGAAACGTATATGATAAATGTTTACTTTCTTACACCAGCAGATAAATAAATGTTTACTTCCTTTTTACATCACTCATACTTTTGATGGAAACAGAATAATTCACTGGCTGACATCATAAAGCTCTCCAAAGAAAAATATTTAAGGTCATATATAGCGTATGGCTATCTCACTATTATTAAATCCACTGCAGTGATTGATTATTCATACCTATATCATTCAGTTAACACAACTTCAGCATCACGCTTATCTGATTTGGAAATAATGTAGTTCATTTTCATTGCAAAAATTAAAGAACCTCTAACGTAAACGCCCGCATCAGACATATACAATGGCAGAACAATAAAGGAAGTAGACTCGTAAAATATCCAAGCAAATAATGCAAGTACCAAATTATGCCATACACCCGCGCAACTAATTCTTAGTTTTTGTATAGAAGATAAACGTCCTAAACAGAATTAATGATGGTGCATCAAGTACACAGATTTAAATAATATTCAAATGACGAATACATTATCATCCAAGGTTTCTCCTTTTTTTAAAGTTTTGTTTTTGATTAAACGTATCTCTTTTTCATTTTCATATTCATATTTACATTGAAATTTGCGCAACTTCGTGAAACATGAGATTTCATAGTATGTTTTGAACCTATTTACTCATGCAACTTATAATGTATATATACAAAATTATCGACGATTTGAATAAATGAAAGTTTTTTAAAATAAACTAAAATTACTTTAAGGGGTAACTTTTCTCAAAATGCAAAATGCTCCTTACAATCAGTAAAAACTCACGCACTGCAGCAGCATCAATTTCAACGTAAGCACCAAAATATATGGCGAGAAGGATGAAACCCATACTTGTAACCGGAACATTAGTACTTGATGCCGCTAACATATGCCCCATTTCATGGATCAACGCTGCGATCAATAAAATTCCAACATATAACGGCACTTGTGTCCATGGAATATCCCAGCCAGGAATTACAAATTTCAAACCTTCTGAAGATAAAATGAATTCCTAGTATTCTATTAATATCCCATTAGTAATCTAGATAATCAGAGAATGCCACGGAAATAATCCTTGAGGTCATTGTAACTGCAACAAATACAGGCACCTACTGATTGACTGTTGTTGGGCACTACCAACAGTAATTAATCACTAATAAATCTTTATAAAACAATTCCTTATTGATCAAAGTCAATTCACGTCCTATTCCATAAAAGCATTACAAAAATTATAGATGATACAGTGAAGCATTTTTATTAAAATGAAACTGCTAACTGTCTTCTTCGATGAACTTCTTCCTAATTGTTGCAGCTTCCATCTGGTAAACATTCATAACTGAACCATCCGAAGATAATGAATGGAAATGTTCGAACCACCATGAACTTATTTCCATCATAAAACTACTTGAAAGATACAGGGTAATTCCAAATGAGCAAAATATGCCCAAAATAATCCCAATAGTAAACCAAATTGTAAGTAAATACGAGAGTGGGCTATTTTGTACAAGTGTTTTAAGTATCGTGTATGATGATCGAATAGGAACAAAACGAATCTGAAAAGTCATTTAAATTTTATTATTGAATAATAAAATGACTTCTAATAAAATGACTTTATCACTTAAAAAGCAATGCAACATACACCTCGCTGTTCGAGAATAAGAAAAATATTTCTATTGTTTCAATGTCCAAGCAAACAATAACTTATTGCTGCAGCACCGGGCCTAAGGACTTATTATCTAAATATTCCAAACTGTAAATTCATTTTCCAGTTGTCGTAAAATTCATCGAAACAATCTTACTATTCAGACATTTGGAAAATATGATTTATGATCTTTTAAACGGTAATTTCAAACGTAATCTCTAGCAAATGTACGAACTACATTAAAGCGTCAGCATTAAATATATATTAAGCAATATATCTTGTTCTGTTTTAGCATCACAACATATTGGACACATTTACAAGTTCACATTTATGAATTAAATTTAACCATCCTATTTCATTATTAACTAGCTAATCATTTCCTGCTTTAAAGAACTCAATTATTTATAGAAAAACATATTCATATAATGAAATGAATATGTGTAAATCTAAATCGATAAAAGTTATAAAATTGCTAACCTGGAAAAGTGTAACAACTAATTCATATCGCTCAACAAATGCCATATATATAGGTACACGAAATAAGCGAAGGAAATAATCCAATAAATTGATAGTACTCCAAAACGCCATAAACCACGCCAAAATGGTGAACAACATTTGGGATGCAAAAAGACGACAGTAATAAATGATAGATACCCATTAGCAACAGCAATCTATCAATAATGCAAATGTTGCCACTGTTTCACATCATCGTTTCCTAACTGGTCAGCAATATTTCGCATTTCTTTTTATTATTCACTGAATTTAATTTATAATGAAATTAAAATTAAATTGCTTAATTAAAATTTGGCTTAAAATAACCAAATACAAATTACATAAAAATGAATCCAACATTGATTCTCTCTCCCTTTTTGTCTAACACTCATCTCTCCCCCTCCTCCTCCTCCTCCTCCTCCTCCTCCTCCTCCTTCCACATCCATTCCCTGCTACCCATTTCCATATATTGTTACATCTTTCTATTCACTCATGCATCTACTCCCACACATCTCTCCCACATCTCATTTATTTCTTGCTTTGCCACGTTGACGATGTCACTATGTAATAGAGGTATGTCACGTTTTATTAGACGTTTCACGTTTTCCAAATTAAATTTCACGTTCCATCAAAAAATTTGCATCAATTTGTTTTTTTTTGAATTGATTTATATATTTTTGATAATTCGAATTGCTTCATATATTTCTTATGGATAACAAATTTGAGTTCTTTTCTTTCACATAAACATAGAACAATGACATTGATCAAGAAATGAATTTTTTTCATGTAAACAATGAGTCACGATTTAAAAGGTTTTGATTCAGTTAACCATAAATGAATAATAGCTATTTGTTGAGGTATAGAAGGGAAGGAAATGACAAAAAGTTATTTTGAATTAAATGAATAAAATATTAAGTTATTAACTTATATTACTCACTTCTTATTTAATCACTTATTATTTGCCTCTTAATTACTAACATAAAATTTTCAAAGTAAATACTATTATTTACATTACTGTATTTTTCAATGTTCTATTTTATTACTTTTTACTCGAAGCAATATTAAAAGTGAAAATTTATAAAGTTTTGGTGCTCAAAATATCCTTCGACTAAGAAGCTCAGTTTTTTTATTACTTCTGTTAATGTAATGGACGCATAATAGTGTTAAATAATATTTCATTAAATGCAGTATTTCACGGTTTGTTTAACATAATAATAACTGGCATGTGATTATCAATTGATGTGTAACGGTGAAAACATCGATTATAATCGTGTTATTAAGAAATGCGCATATTTGCAAAATAATCTTTCCATATTTAGAATCGATTATAATCGTGTTATTAAGAAATGCGCATATTTGCAAAATAATCTTTCCATATTTAGAATCGATTATAATCGTGTTATTAAGAAATGTGCATATTTGCAAAATAATCTTTCCATATTTAGAATCGATTATAATCGTGTTATTAAGAAATGCGCATATTTGTAAAATAATCTTTTCATATTTGAATAAATTTGATTTAGTAATTTTATATTTTCAGGGAAACATGCCATTGGAAAGTTGGAAGACACGGTCGTTTCTTATTGAGCTTAAACCACGAAGTGAATTTGCTTCAATTTTCTTAGATTGTCCGCTATCAGATGATAGTGAAGCAAGCTCCTGTAGTAATCAACAAATACAAAATGAAACTACAGGAAGGTAATTTATGAATAAATTATTGTTAGGACAGATATTTGTCATTTTTAGTTTGTTGAACTTTAAGTGTTATCAAAGTAAGGCAGGAGATTATGCATCATTTCACTAATTTTAACATTTCAACTGTTAGCCGAAGCATTTCAAAAGCTTAGCATAATGAAATTGTCAAACCTTGTAAGCGATGCACTCGTTAGCAATAGTAATAACAGAGGGAAGAAAGTAGAAAAAGATAATATTACTTTATGAATTTTTAATTCTACTTTAGATTTATGGAATTGGAAGATTTGATAGATTTTTTGGCATGTAATGTTATCATTTCCTACTTTATCCCTTTTTCTCTTCTTATTTAATTGTTTCTCCGCCATTAATTTGTTGGCATGATGCAACACTAACTTTTCAAAATCAATTGATTAGAATTCCTAATTTAAGATTTCGAAATTGCCTTCCTAAAAATCTGATGATGTACAATTCGACTTTTTCTTCTTTTATTTCTTCTCTTCTTCATATCTTTTTTTATCCATGAAGATTACTTATCACGTCCTACTTTGTATCTTTCTCCGTTGTGCTAAGAGACTTTAGGTTCTGAAATGAGCTTGCAAAATAGTCCCCTTTCATTATCCATCTCAATATCCGGGTAACCTAGAATAATTGATTTTTCAAATTCACAGTATATCTAACTATGTGAAATTGACATATGAAAAAAACAAAAAGCTATGTGAAAAAAAGTAAAAACCTTAGCACATGATGGCATATGATATGAGGAAGTATTATGTGTATAATATGCTATCCGTTTCACAGTTGATCGTTAATATTTTTTATTCTTTAATTGTTTTGAGATAAATTAATATGCAACACAATTAATAATATTATTTCAAAATACCATTGTTTGAAAAAAGTATCATCAATTCAACAGTATCATCTGGTGCATTTTTTTAGTAAGGAAACGGTGGAGCGGAAGGAAATGGTACATTTTCGTGAACATTCTATTGAAATGAGTTCAATAGTTCAACAGAGTAAAGATGGTGTCACCGAGATGTTGCCATCATGCTCTGCCAAATTTGGTGATCTTACCTTGTATCCAAATTCGGTTTGCGCACTTACTTGGGCTGACAATCGTCGGTTGTTTATGTGCAAAGTACGAGTCGCAGTTGGTGAATCTCCATTAGGTATTATTTTAATATCTAATCTTCATTTATTTCATACAGTGAGCTCTAGCTAAGCAACTAGATGTGTTGTTACATTTAAAATCTTGACTTAAATTGTGAATATTTATAAGGAAATTTTACCGTTTTTAAATTAGTAGGCAAATGATTCATTATTGCAAAGTAAATCATCTAAAAATTAGTATAATTTAGTCTTGTATTTGGCAGTAACTGTAAATTATTATTATATTATCTAATGATAGAAATTCACATGGTAGAAATAATATTTGTCTTAATTCAGGATAATTTTCAACTCTTGAATAAATAGAAACAATGCTGTTCGGTTCATGTTAGATTTTTCTCATCCATTTTCAGTACCGAAAACATTTCATGAATTAGCAGTTGGTATATTATCTGGGATGCTTCTGGATGAATATATCGAGAACGCTCAAGCACTTCCTGTGCAAGCGGAATGTGCGGAATGCTCAGCTACTTTGTTGAATTATCCGAAAGAGTTTGTTTAGTTCTTCTTTAAATCACTTTACTTATTTTTCAGACATTTTAACCCTTCTCCTTCCTCTTTGTCATCTTTTTTTCCATTTGCTGTTCTCTTTCTCTTCTTTCTTGACATTTGTTCCCATTATTAATATATTCCCACTAAATTTTAGCTTTTACAGTAGTTTAAAATTGCAATCGTTACCGGAAGATGGATGGTTGAATACTTCACCATCTATGGAATATTTTTGCCATGATACATGTGGCGCTGCGTCACATTCCCATAGGCATCGTGGTCCATATAGTTCAGATTTGACATGTGCCGATGATGCGCAGAAACAGTGGCTTCCAAATGAAAAACGAATAATCTTATCGGATTCGCATTTCCTAGTATTACGGAAGGTTTGTTATTTATTTCACAGCGATAAAGTTGCTACAGTATAAATGAGCTTACCATAGTACTAACATAATTTTTCAAAAAATGGAATAAATCGTAATCTGTGAGGCCAAAAGCAGAACTAGCGTACCACTCCTCATAAATAATATTTTAGTTCTGTTTTGTTAGTTTCTTAGGGTAAGAAGAAATGTGAATGAGTGGCTCGTTAATGTTCCCTGGATCTGTAAATAAAACAGTGATTGCACTGATTTATTTTTCTCTCACTTGTTACTCAGCGGAAATCCTATTCCGGTCTTTTTAATCATTATCTTAGAAAAGGAAACATACAAAATTGAACTAAAATATTCGTTCCATCAGCCATTAATTCATACTAACCACTCTAATTTTTCCAAGATGACGTAATATTTCTTCATGATTTGTTTTATCACTTTTGGATTTTTTTTGAAAAGAAAAATTAAGAATCGACATAAAAAATAGATATTCTTCAGATGATTACATCAGGTGCAGTGACCATTGAGGAGCCAAATATTGTGCTCTGTACCAAATGTTGTATGGAGATTGGAGTTATTCTCAAAAGTTCGTTATCCTGCTTTTTTATTCAATTAGTCTGTAGTTTCGGAGCTGATTGAGTTTTTTACAACAGTTCAAATGATGTACGACTTCTTCAACTTTGATTATCATTTTTGTTCTGTGTTGTGAGATTTGATATTTTTAATCTCGTCATACACCTGATGAATTACTCATAATCTGCTAAGCTTTCCATCTCATAAATGAAGTATGTCCCAATTCCGCGTATAGATATGTCAATTGCTCTGTTTGCAGTAATTATTAATCAGTTCCGATTGAAAGAAATCGATCGCTCAAGATTTTAAAATGGTTCTACTAGCGACAAACCTTGATTATCTTGTTACCTTTTATTTATTTCGAGTAAATATCCGTATTTTAGTTTCGATTTTAATGAGTTTTGGTTTTTGAAAATTTTCTATTATTGGAAATATTTTCAGGAAACACTGACGTTGTACAGTTTCATCATGTCATGTGCAATTTGATGATAACTGATAGCAGGGAAACTTATATTAATACCAGGTCAGTTCATCTCTGATACTATATTGTAGTGGAAAAGTTAAATCCCATTTTTCTCTTTTTCATTTTTTGGGCACTGAATTAACAAAACTTGCTAATCCCTATACTTAGTGGAATTATTTCATGATTAAATATGATAGAATGGCTCGATGTCTTTGGCAGACTTAGTGTGATAGGTAACATCCAAGATTTAATGATGTTATTGTGCATGTTATCGCTGTTAAATGATGTCGAAGTTTCCAGTAAGATCTTTATTGCTATTTCTTTTAAAGTTATTAAGTAATGTGCTGTGAAATGTTTTCATGGGCAGATTTGGCACGTTAGAGCACTTTTTCGCCTGGACGTTGCTATATCAGTGTGAGTCGCAGACATCAGGAAAACTTATCCTTCGATCTTACAATAAGCAACCACATTTACTGGTAACTGGTTTTTGTTGCTTTTGTAATATCGATGCAGAGATTTTATTTTTTCTATTTTTTCAATAAAGTTATTTTAATCTGAAGATTTGGTTATTGGATTCGTATGTTGTAATATCACAAGGCGAGTTGATCGAAGTTGAAGCTGAAGGAAATGATAAATTGGTTTATGCATTTCCAGCATTAAAAATGCTTTACAAGGTATCAATGAGACGCAAGCTAAATATTTTCTCTCAACATTGTAACTTCAATATTTTTTTCAAATTATTTTTAATTTCCATTTTATTTGTATTATTTCGAATGAGGACATTTTTTAGAGCGTAAGCATAACATCTGCATTCTAATAAAAGGAGAATTACTTGACGATTTAGTATTTTATGTCTTGTGGTTTCAAATTCATTTTTCATCATAAAATTTAAGATATTCGATATCGAATCGGCTAAAACGGATCCACGTGCTAACGGTGAGGATGCAAGTGTAGGTATACTAGATATACCATTAACATGTTGTGTGAAATTAACCGAAATGCTGCTTGAATCATCACTAGCTTTACCTCCAACAGGACGAAGTGTCGGCCAGTTTTACGTACGTGTTGATATCATTTATCATTTATAAATGTGTCGTTGATTTAAGATCCAAATCAAAATTTTCAACCTAAGTTTATTGTTAGTTATTTGGATTTAAACATTTTTCATATTTAAATTGTTCGTTTATTCTACTCTAGAATTTTTATGGATTTTCAGGTTGGGTTTTTAAAATTAAAGAATGCGATGGATTGATAAATTGAAAACAGCCACGATGCGGAATAAAGCAAATTTGTTTACAAAAAATCGTATGGTTCTCATTAATATATGTTTATACATAAGCGATAAACGACTAGTGTTATGAGTATAAAGTGACCAGTATTTATAATATAAAAGTTTAAGAAGCATTTCTGAGGACAGTTCTTATTTGCTGTTGAAATTTAGGTACTGATATTATCCTTGTAAAGGCTAATTTATTACTTGTACTTGTATTTTACCATTCCACGATTCATTGCTTCGGCGTGATAGCTTATCAAATAACTTGCCTCTCAGATCATTATACTCAAAAAGAAAAAGAGTGCTTGGGATTATTAACAGTTTCGAATCATCATTGACTAATCCAGTTTTGCAATTTCTTTTTAGCGGTAGTATTAGAATTTGAAGAATCTAATTTTGCTGGGAAAAATTTAACTTCTTATCATTTGGGTGAAGTTTAAAATGCTTTTTTTTGAATGGAAAATTGTGCTATGTAATTTATTGGAAAAAAGAAAATAGGTAGGGGAAAACTGAAAAAATTAAGAGTGGTACTTATTTATTTTTATTAATCTACAACTTCTTGACTTATTTTTCGAATTTATACCTCTCCATTTTGGTGCTTCTCGTTCTTTCAAAAATAAAATTTAAAAAACATATTTATTTTACGTACATTGTATTTGTAATGTAAATAAATTTTTTTTTAAATTACCGTGTGAACATGCAACTATATGAGATAAAATATGTCTCAAATATTTGGTATGACGAAACATGCCATAGTAAGATATTAAAAGGTTTAAAGGAGAATAGGTAATTCATCCGTTTTGAAATCAATATCACATAATTAAAAGATGGCATACACAGATCAAGGATACCTATTCTTTCATATTTGGATACCTTTCATATTTGTTCACAAATAATATTTTAATGAAAAAAACACAAAGTAATCTCAGCACTAAAAATTTAAACAAATTTAAAAAGCACTTCTAATATAAACGATGAAGAAGATATTTTTCTTTCAGAAGATGAGATGACTGGTGAAGATGGCAGATATTGTTGTTAATAAAGTAAATAAGATAGAACTTGTTAGTTGCCGACCTTTCTGAAAAAAAATTGTTCTTAAGTGTTAATTGCTAGAATTGGTTAAGCTATACCATCATTACTTTATCCTAAACATAACGATCACTTCTGTAATTAGATGAAGAATGTGATTTGAATGGGAAAAATCACAAAATATTTAATGTCATTGAAAATTCATCCAAAAGAAGTATGCACTGAATCTTCTTGCTAAACGAATGACAAGCTGAGAAGTGGTTCTGAAGGAGAAAGAAGTAGTTCTGAAGGGAATTCTATTAAGCCAAATTAATTATATGCAAATTACGGTATGAATATTTGAGCGAAAATATACCTTCGGTTCCATATGTATCCATGGATAGCCGTATTTGATAAATTGACAATTATCTGGTACTTGCCAACCGATATTATCCGGTAATGGAATTGGCGGTGGTAGTTCAGTACAATTTTTATAAACCCAGCATTTTAGTATATTTACAACCTATAATTCATGTAATTTAAGTTTCAGTCAATCGCTTTTCTTTGAATTATTTTCAAATATTTCTAAAAAAGAACAAACGGTAGATCTTTGCCACTTTCGGTAGATCTTTGCCACTTATTATAATAATTTCATCGAATTCTTTAATTACCATACAACAATTCTTTAATTTCCATATTTCGATCAAATTGTTGAGCTATTTCTATCAGACAATGAATTGACAGCAAGAAATAATAAAATATTTTATCGGATACTTTTTGGGAAATTTTTCGATTAAAATTAATTTATTCAATTTTTGATTTTGTTCTTTGCTAAAAAGAAGAAATCAACCTGAAATCGTTCATATGTTACAGATGGTGGATCACATGTATTAGGTGTACGTAAATCAAGATGATGTGCTGCATCTGATATTTGAAATATATAAACACCTTTTTTCATTGCATCCGTAATACCAGGTGAATTTTGATCAACACCACCACCAGACCATGGATCTAGCTTACCATTTCTAAATAATGATATAACAAGTAAACATTATTTAGATATGTTTCTTTTTTTTTTTTCAATTTTCAAATATTTTCATTAATTTACATTTACTATACAACAAATAATATTGTATAATATATTTGTTAAAAAAGAAATTTTATTATATAAATAATTAAAACTAACGAAAATATAATATTGCTTGTAGCATTATATTTCATTCCATAACGTATCATAACATCTTGAAATTTATAAAAATTACTATTATAACCAATTTCTTTCAATAATTCAGTACAATAATTGATATCACTATTAATTAAGTCATCTGGATTATCACCACAAGTATTCAGAAAGAAATCATTTTCATCACCACGATCACAATTTTGTACTGTTAATGATGTACAACACTGCAATAAAAAAAAAAAAACGAATTAAATTCTGATAAAATTATCTAATAGATAGAATTTCAGTTTTCTTATTGAATTTCATTTATTTATTTATTTTCATTTTTTACTTACCGAAATAAACTTTTTTATCATTTTACTAGGTAGAGTGAAAATTTTAAATCATTAAATTTACCTGCCAAGTCCAAGCAATATTTTCATCATCGTTTTGTAATGATGATAATTGTATGCAACTGTTTATGAAACAATGATAACGAAGTAGTCCTGTATAGTTGTAGAAAACATTGATAATATTATATAATTGTTCTGCCAATCCTTCATCATTTGTTTCAGCTTTCGTTGCATTTTGACAAACATACTAAAAGAAATGAAAAGAATTATTTAATTATCTAACAAAAAATTAAATTCTTATAATTTGTTAATTTATCTGAAAATGAAATATTTATAATTATTAAATTAAAAATAGAATTAATATTCGAAAATTATTTTATATTAAAACAAATAAAATTTACTAATTACAAATTGAAAAATTAAATAAAATTTTGAAACGATGTGGAAATTAACTTCAAACTAAGAAATATTTAGAAATTTTTATTATTCAAATATTATTGATATGTAGAATTGGTTGAATAGATATAACATTTGGTAATATAATATCAATTTTGGGGATTAAATTAATAGCTATATTATTGACCTTAACCGGATAACCAGGTAAAGGTGTAAAGAAATCAGCCGGATATGGATAATCAGTCATAGCCATATAAAAAATAGCAGAATAAATGTAGGAATAAAGACTTATAAAATCATTAAAGCTTTCCATTTCATAGCCTGGTTTTGAATGAAATATTCGATTTAATTTCGTTCGACCTTCTTCTGCAACACAACGATTTATCTTTCAATAATGTGTTAAATTTCTTTGTGACATTCAATAAATAATCAGTGGAAGCTTTAGAATGATAATGACTGCAGCTTGTTTTAATTTGAACTAATTAATTAATGAAGGAAGTAGATTCTTCTTGACTTATTGGAGCAAATTCCTAGGGATTTTTATGAGACAAATATATGGATTAAATATTTGAATCAAATATAGATGAGTCATCTTTAATATGAATTAAATATCTTTGTTTTAATATGAATAAAAAGATTCTTAAGAAGTACCATATAAAAAACTTCAAATACTTCCTAAGATACAGAGAATAGGGTATAAGAGTGATGAATACTGTATAAAAATAATGTGAAGAAATTCTCTTGTATGAGTGTTTCTGATGCACATAATACTTGATTCTTATATCGATGGATTCATTTGTTAATTGGAACTAATCAAATGACCTGTTTCTGATAAGTTCTTAATTGCAACGAATCCTTCTGAAAATACTTTCCGATCACATCCGCTACTTACATAAGTATTTGTTGTTATATTGCTCACATGATCCGGCTTTACATCTGTTCCGTAGAAATTTCTTAGCGGGGCTGATGATGCCCAAGCTCTGGAATACTTTCCAAAAAAAAAGATCATTGCTAAAAATTAATATTTTATTAAAGTTTTTGCAAATCTGTAAGTTTAGAAATCTGGGAAGTTTCGATAATTTATCAATAATAACTTACAGATTTGAAAAAACTTTAATAGAATTAAATTTTAATAGCAACTATTTAAGTAAAATTTCATTATCACTATATATTACTATTATCTATTATCACTATATATATATATATATATATATATATATATCACAAGGTCAAAAATGTTTTCTGTCAATAACGAAAATATAAATAAATTTCTTTCAACTTATACATATTACACAGATTGTATTAAATGATATTTCTTCACATGTCTTCACAATATTCCTCCATCATCTTCAAATTTGATCTTTTTGTGTAATGTAAAATAAGGAATGAAATAGCGAAAGATATAATAAGAAGAAATGCAAAAGAAAGAAATTTTATTACCCATCCACAATATGTGGATATTTAATGCGAAACCATGCAGCAAGCATACCACCATATGAACCACCAAATACGATAACCGGTATTTCAGTAGCAGCCGGACAAAAACCAAGTTCCTTTTTATTAGTTTTAAGGAACGAAATTAATTCTGCAAAATCAGCCAATGCTTGGATCTCATTTAAATATCCCAATCGTAAAACATCCTAAAATTTACCCATAAATCAAATAAAAATCGATATAAATCAGTTAATTATATATACCAGTTTCATTTTGTTCTTTGCAATACTGTATCCTAAAAATGAAATACTGTCACTCGGGATACTGTAATGCCTTTAATATGGCATACTGTAACTATTATAATCTAAAACTCAAAGACCAATTAAACTTCAAATAATTTAATAATGTACGAAAATATGTAAAAATTTGACATAATTGTTAATATCATTATAACAGTACCATATAACTTCGTTTTCCATATGGTTTCGATTCACCGTAGTATCGATGTTCTGCGAATACAATAGCAGCATGAAAGAGTGGCGCTAAATCCCACATAATACCCTATTAATTTTTATTAATTGTAAATTTATATATTGTCAGTAAATTTTCATGATTACATAAAAAAAATATATCAATTAACTAACTACATTAATTAATTGATTAATGTAAGCGCAAAAAAAGCCAAATTACCGTATTTTGCGCAAATATTTCAATGTTACCCTCATTGCCAGCGTAGAAAAATAGTGGTCCACCACAATCAAAATAGGAATAATTTGCTAAATACCTAAAAACATAAAGAAAATTTGCGCTTATTTTTTTTTAAAGAAGACAATATTAAGAAAATTTGTTGTTAAGAATTAATTGATCTAACAATTAAGAATTAATTGCTAGGAAAATTAAATGGTTTGAACATTGTGTTATATTATAACTAAGAAATTTGAGGAAAAGAATTAAAGAAATTAGAAATAAATTAACAAAATCAACAGGTAAGGATTTTTGCCAATGATATATCTATTGTAACTCAAATGGCTAATTTCATATATTTTCAACTTTTGAAATTTTATTTCTTACCAAATCATCTTATTAATGTAAGCGCAAAAAAAATCAAATTACCGTATTTTGCGCAAATATTATAATAAATAAAAAATAAAAGAAATAGAAATTCGTTTATAATTCGAAATCGCATATTATTCAAGAAATAATCTTTTACTAGCAAAATTAGAATGTTTTCTATTTTTGTGAAATTATCAAAATCGAAATTTTTATTTTACAATTTTTGCAATTACAAATATTACAATAACAGAAAACACTCTAAATTATTATCAGAATTTCTCGGGAATAATATCAAACGAATGATACAAATATTGTTGCATACCTAAGACTAAAAGTTTCAACATCTCGATAACTGAAATGATCAATCGGCATTAATCGATGCCATTTAACATCCCAACTATAATCCAATGATTCTATTACAACATCTGATGTATTACGAATGATATTCCGTGAAATTAAATTCATAAATGGAGGAAATTTATCAAATTTTCTAACATTATCATTAATGCTTATCACTTCTACTGTTAATAATTGTAGCAGTAGTAGAATTGGATAATGTTGAAGAAATGATACCATTTTCCTGAAAAGTTAATTACTACCAGAATTTCGCAGGAATAATATCAAACGAATGATATAATTTATACAAAAATATAAAATCTTATTCACATATATATTATTCTTATTCATATATAATTCATATATATAATTTATATAAAATCTTATTCATATATATATTATTTTTATTCATATATATCTTATTCATATATATAATTTATACAAAAATATAAAATCTTATTCATATATGTATATATATATATATAATCTGTTAATAAACAAAAATGAGAAAAATTTGTTATCGTATTAACATTAATCCTAAAAAAGAAAGTGTTAGCTTTATGTAATCAGAAATTTGGAAAATATATCCTTGCAAATTCATTTCAAATAAATTATTTAAATTTAGAAATTAATATTCTCAATTAGTTATAATTAATCTATCATAAATTAAAATCATTTAAATGAGCTTATGCACTAATATATTATATTAATGTTTAACTTATGCACTAACATAACTTATGCACTAATATATTATATTAATGTTTAACTTATGCACTAATATAACTTATGCACTAATATATTATATTAATGTTTAACTTATGCACTAATATAACTTATGCACTAATATATTATATTAATGTTAAATTTATGCGCTAATATAACTTATGCACTAATATATTATGAATGAAAAAATCTTATTCAACAAATGATGAAAAATAGAAAATGAATGCAAAAAATTTTTATATATTTGCATTATGCATTAAAATGGCAAGTGTTAAGATTATATAATATTTTAGGACAGAAAAAGACTGTAATGATAAGGAAAAAGTGATATTTATCAGTTTGTAAAGCTATGAAATGTCTCATTGATAACAATTATTCGTCAGCCGAAATAATTTGAAAACAAATGCAAAAATTATTTTATTTTATTTTTTAAAAAAATAAAGAATAAATTAAACAAAAATAATAAAATAACATTCCTTAATTTTTTTAAAGAAAGATAAAATTCAGTAAATAATTCAATTTCCGGTAAATAATTCAAGTAATTCAATTCAACGAATAATTCAAATAATTCAATTCAGTAAATAATTCAAATAATTTAATTCAGTAAATAATTCAAATAATTTAAGTCAGTAAATAATTCAAATAATTTAAGTCAGTAAATAATTCAAATAATTTAATTCAGTAAATAATTCAGTAAACAATTCAATTCAGTAAATAATTCAATTCAGTAAATAATTCGAATAATTACAAATTTAAAATGAAATTACTATAAAAAATAAAGAATCGAAATTGTAAAAATTAGCGAATTGAAATTTAAAAAATAAAACTTTCATTGATTCTTTCTTATTTTCAATTCTTTCTGCAATATTATTCAAATCAGAAATGTGCAAATTTTAATTGTTGAAATTTAATTAAAAAATTTTTCAATTATTATTTTTAAATGAATGTTTTGTTTGTTTTTTCATTTAACAAAGTAACTTAATGTTATAAATCTTTCTTCTCTTAAATTCTCAAATAATTTCAAATAATGAATTTATTTAACAATCGCATGAAATTGCATTTTCCAATAGTTTTTCTTAAGTCACTTATTAATTTTAAAATATTGTTTATGAATCTTTTCTCTGGCTTATTTAAGAATTATATAATGTAATATCAATTAATATAAATATGATATCAATTATATGATAAATAACATTATATACGTCGTAATATCACATCGAATTAATAATTAAATATGATATTAATTATAATACTCTGTCAGAAGTACTATATAATATTCAAATAAATAATATGATATGATAATATCAGCTATAATGCATTATCGAATTATTACATAAAGTCAATTCTAGATCCAATATCATAAATATCACATAACATGAAATGAATAATTGCAATACTTAGTTTTAGATAATAATTAAAGCATAAAAATAATTCCATATCTTATATAAACTATTTTTCACATGCATTCAAATATAATTTTCCATTTTATTATTTCATTCAAATCTAAAAATATAAAATGAAAACTTGCTATTGTTGTTTCTTTTTTTACTGTTTATCATCGATTCATTTGTTACGGTAGAAGACTGTCAATTTTCATTTTCAATTTGTACTTATACTGTCAATTTATACGTGTGAAATCGGGAAAAAATTATTTTATATCAAAGAACCGATACAATAGCAATATCAAATGAATACTTAATTATCAATGCATTTTTGTAGAATTTTCGTTTTGTAGAATTTGAAGCATATTTTTTGGAATCTATTACAAAATAAAGAATTTTTTCCCTTTTTTAAGGATTTGATTGCTAGAAAATTTAGCTATCATAAGAGCAAAATTTTTTACATTTTGAAACTATCCTAATTCGTACAATGAAATGCGCTATTTTCCATTTACATTATTAATACTTTCCAATAACAGAAATGAAAACTTTTTATTTAAAAAGAAAAAACAAATTGAAATGAAAATCGAACAATTAATTTTTCGAGTATTTCAATTTTGCTTGTTTCAACCAACGTTTGATATGTAATTTTTCCAATCGTCTTGCTTCTTTAACCGAATTCGTATCCAATTCATGTTTACCACGTAGATCGTAATGATGCGCTCCATCCTTAAAATATTCTTTTTCACTCTTTTTATCGAAATTCTTTACTTGTTTACTTAATTGCTTACTTAATACTACTTGTTTACTTGATAGCATACCACACTTTAATACCATATTATATTATATATATTTTTTCAATACCATATTATATTATAAAGGAATAAGTATTGTTTTATTTATCTTCATAAATTAAATATTTCGTGGAGTTTTTTTCAACTAGAAAATTGAAGCTAATATAAAAATAATTCCAAAATTTCAAAAAACTTCGTAATTAGCAACAAATAATTCCAACAAGCAATTAGGAAGAAGCTTTTAGAAACATTTCATTAAAATGATTTAAAAAGCTAACCTTAATGATAATGCTAATCAATGAACCCGTTACTTGTGATTTCAATGACCAACCGCCAGCAGACCATGGATCCAAATATCCGTTACTTCAATTTTTTATAATTCATTTAGAATTTTATTTGAAATTTACAAAACTAAGGGAATAAAAAATACTTCAATAATTCAACAGTTTAAATAGCTACCAACAAACTTGCACTTTGATTCAATTTTTATTTCAGGTTGAAATTAGTCTTTTTTCCTTTATTAATAAAACTAGTAACTATTGAAATGATCATTTTTTTTCTCCTGAAAAAATTACATCTCGATAGAATAAATAATAGTTGATAACATTTCGATCGGTGAATTTTCATCAAACTTGAAAATTTTACTGCTATTATCTAAAATTAACAATAAAACCTGTGCAAAGAATTAAATCTTCCATATTAATTTAAATTAAAGATTTGTCGCAACATCATTATAAATGCAATAACCTGAATACGATATTTGTAGCGGTTGGATATCGATCACCATAATTTAAAATACTCCAATGTGGTCGCATTAAAGATTTTGTATATCCAATTTTTCCAAAAACATTGATACAGTATGATTCTTGACCTAAATTTCTTGTAAAATTTTTTTCTAAAAATTTTCAATTCCTTAAAAATATTGTATTTTTTGATTAAAATAATATTAGTTCAAACAAACAAAGCTACACGTAGTATTATTTTGAAACTTTTATTCGAAAGTTTTCTTCTCTTAGAAAAGTTAACTTTACAGAATTCGTGAAAAAAGTATTACTAGCAGTTGAAAATTGATACTTATTATAAAGTAATTTGATTTATCACTGAAAAATTGGACTCATTTATCAAAAAAAAAGAAATTCTTAGTGGTGAAATAAATTAACGATAAAATGCACCTTCAAGGGTAAATGGACAATTCTTAATAAAGAAATCGTTAGGTGGGCCGCTGGAACATTGCTGCATTATCATTTCAGTACAGGACTTAAATAATTCCAATTAATTTGCTGATATCATCAGTAACGTGAAATAACTTTATAATATAAAAATATTTGCATAATCAAATTATTGCTGCATTTGTGAAATTAATATTATAATGTCGATAATAAAGCTTCTCCATCAAATTATTAAGCCTTCACTACATGTTGACTGTGCTAAACCAAAGTTTTCCCAAAACAAAAAATGCACAACAAATAATGAGTTTTGAAGAATAGAAATCAAATCATTAAAAGCAAAACCAATAATTTTAAAATGTTTAAAATGATTCTGATTAATGATTCCCAGTTTATATATTTTCATGATTACTGATTTACATACAGTATTACTATCAAAACAGGTGAACAATATTCTTTTCCGATAATTACATGATGATGAAAATTATGGAACAACAAAAATTTAATATCACAAGTTTTTTTCCTCATACGTTTGTTTCTCTTATTTAAATTTTTATAAATTTTACGTTTTCTTTCTCTACTTGTTTGCTTACTAAAAGCTTTTTCTTCCTCTCTAATTCCATTTCTTTCATTTCAAATTCTAATCTAAACTTTCTGATATTCATACCTGCCATGTCCAACCAAATGTATCACCAAGTGCTTCATAGGCGGAATCGTTACACACTTCTGGCTTTATACAAAATGTTTCCCGTTTACCTGTGTAATTATAATAAAGATTCATTATTCCAAACATACTTTCCGCATATTCTTCGTTAGTGCTTTTGCTGCTATTGAAGAATTGGCATGCAACCTTAAATGTAATAATAATAAGAGTGAATGTATTATTTGAGATTTGGAATATCTTAGGTTTCTTAAAGTGATAAATTATTTTTTATACTGATTTATCAAGGTAAATAAGATAGCATATATTATAGAGGATATCTCAGGATTTAGCATAAGAATATTTTTGAATTAGCATAACAATTAAATCATAATTTTCGACCTCTGTTAGGAAATGGAAGAAATATCAAACAAACTTTTTGTTCTCTTATTCTTCTATTATTAATCATAAAAGTGAAATTATTTGCATGGAAACACCTTGCTTAACAAAAAAAGAAGCAAACTAAAATATGCTAAAATGCAAGTAAGTTTTACTTTTGTAAACAATAAAAGAACAAAAAGCAAGAAATTTTTGTTGGATTAAATACATTTCAAGTTGGCATTATTAATCCGGAAGAATTACGTAAATAAATTCAGTTTTCTTGCAGCAAATAATTGGGCTTTGGAATGTCTCTTCCAGAAAAAGTGAAATAAAATAGAAAATAAAAAATTAAAAAAACAAAAAATTAAAAAATAAAAAATTAAAAAATTAAAAATTAAAAAATAAAAAATTAAAAAATCAAAAAATTAAAAAATAAAAAAATTAAAAATTAAAAAATAATAGAATTAAAGAGATAATGAATAATAAAGAATAAGTTATCAATTATATCTAATTTAATTGTTAATGTTCAAATTGCATATTTATTACCAAATAATGAATAGTTGCGATAAAAAAATTACAACAAATTACAAATTGCGATTGTATTATAATTAGCCATTGATAATTTTGAATATTTCAGATGGCTTCAAATATGATATTTCTAAAATGGGAAAAAAAATGAAAACTAACTTTAACAGGCCATCCAGGTAGTTCAGCTAAGAAATTACTCGGATATGGATAATTAACCATAGCCATTGATTCAAATATATTTTCGAGATACTCTCTAAGCATTAACCAATCATCACTATTATTCAGGTATGACTTTTTGTCCAAACGAAATAAGCTATTTAAATAAGCTCGACCAGATACTAAAGTAATAAATGAATTAATTGGTTAACTTCAATTTTAAACATCGTTATTTCAGTGTTGGATAGCACAATATATATGTATTGATAAAATTAATCCTCTAAAAAGTTAATTAGGAAAAAATAAAATTGTATATATCTGAATAATCAGAAATATAAAAATTGGCGAATACAATACAACCAAACAGGTATGAACAAAGCGACGAAGCTATTTCTAATTAGTGAAAAAAATTGAAAACTCACCTGTTAGGGATAAATTTTCAAGTGCGCTCCATCCATTAAGTATATTTTTCTCATTGCAACCAGAATTCACAAATGATCGCTTAACAATATGATTATATGCATCTTCCGGGACAATCTTAGACATATCCGTAAACCAAAAAACCGGAGCACTTGCTGCTATCGATCTGAAAACTATCGCCATTTCTTTCCTTTTCGATCTTTTAAATAATATTATTATTGATCAAAATTCTAAAATTTGCAGGAATAAATTGCAATAACAAATAACATGAAGAATTTTAAGAAATATTTTGTTAATGATAATAAAAATAAAATTTGAATACAAATTAAAATTTGACAGTAAAATTAATACCCTTCCACTAAGTGCGGATATTTGATACGCATCCATGCAGCAAGCATTCCACCATATGAGCCACCAAATGCTATCACAGATGAATTTTGAGCGGTGAAAAGACGCTGAAATGATTTGAAATACAACAATTATAATAAATTCTTGCAATCAAATTGAATTCAAAAAATAAATTAAATTAAAAATAAGATGAAATGCATGCATATAAGCTATATAAATTATACAATACCTTAAATTACAAATTAAAAAAATAATTAAAAACATGTATTAAGTTTTATAATTAATTACAAAACATAAAAAAGAAGATCTATTGTGGATGGACACAACTTATCCATTTATACTAATTATTCACGTGTATTTGCTATTCATGTGTACTACTTTCTCACGTATACTTGCTATTTACTCACGTATTTACTTGTAGCTCACGTATTTACTTTTTTGTAACCAATTCTTTAATATGTTTGATAATAAATTTAATTTTAGCTAAAATTCAAAATTTAAAACGAAAAATTTAAAATTTACTTTATTTTTTAGATAGCGTATGAGAAGAGCAAAATCAGCTAATGCCTGTTCGGATGATAAATAACCGAGATTCTCAATTGTTGAGTAACTTTCATTGCCGAACGGTTGTGATTTCCCATAAAATCGATGTTCAGCAAATACGATGGCTGCATTAAATTCGGGCGCTAAATCCCACATCAAACCCTAAAGAAATTTCGGACGAATAATTAATTTAACGACTCTGAATGATAGCACTATCTAACATTTAATAAGAAATTAATGATAAATTAGAAATCAAATATTTTCATAAAATAAGTAATGAATAACGAAAAATGAATATTTGATCAAATTGTTTGATCGGAATAAAATATTTGATAAAACAAACAATTATATACGAAATAACTAACGAATGAAATGTGTTACTAAAAACTTTATAATATTTAATTTTTAAAATGAATAATCAAATTGATAAACAAATAACGAAATTTCATTATTTGAATAAAATGTTCAATGAATAAAATATATGATCAAATCAAACAAAAACAAATAAATAATGGAATTAAATAATTAGCAAAATGTAGTAAAAGTAATGGCAAAATTACTGCTAAACTACTAAACAAATGAAAACTTAACAATTGGATATTTAATGAATAATAGATAAATACCAGATAATTAAATAATAGATAAAATATTTAATGAATAATAGACAAATAATAGATAATTGAATAATAGATAAAATAATTAAATAATAGCTTAAGATAATTAAATAATAGATAAAATATTTAATGAATAATAGATAATTACATAATAGCTTAAATAATAGATAACTGAAATACTAATTATCTAATTTCACAAAAGAAACCGAATGATTTTAAAACAGTAATTAAACAAATTAAGAATTATTAAATTGGCAAAGTTTAAAATAATTAATTAAAAATTTCAAACTTACTGTATTTCGGGCAAATGATTCAATATTTCCTTCATTACCAGTGTAAAAAAAAATTGGTCCATTAGGAATAAAATTTTTGGTATTTATTAAATAACTAAAAATTACAATTATATAATCAAAAATTAATTAAAGAAAGAACAATGAAATATTAAAATTAATGAAATTATGAAATTAACAATTTTTTTATAATTTTACAAAATTTAACACAATTTTTTCTAAATTTTAATTTCTTGCAAAAATTTAGATTTATGAAATGGAAAATTGATAAAGTGAAAAATAGTAAGGAACCAACCGTAAAGGAAAAGTTTGATTATTATGAAATGAGAAATGATCGATGGGAACATTTTCCAACCATTCTTCCAACCATTTATAATCATTTTCCTTCGAAGAGAGATAAGAGGTAAGAAAAAATAAATAAATTATTTACAGACAAAACATAAAAAATTTTTTTTGTTAAATTTGAAAACAAAAGAAAATAGAAACTTAAAAAATTTTTCTTTATAATTTAAGGACTGAAATTTAACACTTTCATAATTTAAGGCCTGAAATTTAACACGTTGTTGTTGTTGTTGTTGTTATTGTTGTTGTTGTTGTTGCTGTTGTTGTTGTTGTTCTAATGCAATATTTTGGACAGTTTAGCACAAATATTAAAATAAGCAAAAAAAATTTTTTAATTAAATGAATTAAATTTTTTACCCATATTTGATATTGTTTTCCATATAGCCGTTGTTGTTGTTGCTGTTGTAATGAAGTATGAATTACAGGATCATGTAATTGCAATGATTTTCCATTTCCAATTAATAGTATTGCAATAATTATTATAATTTTAGTTAACATCGAAAAATATTACCAATAATTATTCGTAAATAAATAAATATTTTTTTACCTAAAAATTTGATGAGAAAAATGATTGAAAGAATAAAAGAATTTGAAAGAAATAAATAAATAACAAAAAAGAAATTAACGTTAAATCATAAAAGAAATTAATCTAAAAATTAAAATTTCAATTTATTGGTAAGATTTGAAGCTTTTTAAATAAATAAAATGATAATTTAGGACGATCGGATACGAGGAAGAAGAGGAAATGATGTGGAAAAAAATGGATCGAATAAAACTCAGTACAACAAGTGTATCTGCTTAAATAATCTGGAAGCGCATATTTTTTGAGCAAATGTTAGCTAAGAGAGGGAGGGAGAGAGAGAGAGTGATAGAGAGTGAGTAGAAACAGAGCAATGAAAGAATCGAAAGGTCAAAGTTCATGCGGCACTTTGTAACATTTTATGAAACAGCTGCTTCCATTGTAAATTTTCACACTTAACTGAAAAATTCTTTTGAAATTAAACTTTTAGGAAGTTTGCAAAAGATACATAAGTCATCTGATATAGCAATTTTAATTATCTATTTGCAATAATTTATATTATAAATTGTAAACAATAATGATTTACCAAAAATACATTAACGTTTCAATTTAAAAATTAAATTTAAGTTTTTCAAATTTTCATAGCTAATATAAAAATTAAATGCTGTGGAAGTATTAAAGAAAGATTTTTATAACTGAACAATGTTTAAGAAATTTGCGACAAATTTGCGACAGAAACAATTTATTTGATAAATTGATTATTAATAATAATAATACGATGTCAGGATTGATAAATCATAATAAAGAATTTATATTTTTAGTGACGAATAATTTCGAAGATATATTTTGATACTTTTTAGACGACCACGAGTAGCAATATCTTCACTGGAACAAGATAAAATTACCTGAAATTTCAATAAAGATTTGCAATGATAATCATAGTCATCTGAGAGTTTTGTGAATAATGATAATGATAATGATAATGAAGCATAGTAATGATAGTATGACAATTATTTCAAGCTAATAAATCATGAATATAGAAGTAAAATTTGGAACTTTTTGAATATATTTCATAGTAGATAGATTTTCGGATTTAACGTTTAAAATCCTCAACATGATATTTGAACTAATTAGATAAACCAATTTCATTTCCGGATATTATGTGAAATATTCCGATTTCAGTTCAATTAATACTGTTTCTCATTAAATGAATGTGTTTAACGGATTTGCATAAAATAATGGACAAAAGTCATTCAAGCAATAAACAAAAGTAATTAGCGGAAAACAAAAGATATCCTAATCATTTCTGATTAAAATCTGTGTAACTAAAATGGCTAAAATTTTAAAATTTAATTCATTCCGGATGATATGATACGATTTGAGTCATTAATCCATTGTATCTTTCGTTTATTTGCATAATTAATTAATTAATTCTTATAAATTACTTAAATAAGAAAAAAAAAATGATATTTAAGCTAAGCTAACTAACATTACGAATTTCATTGGGAACTAATTCCGGCTCAATATATAATGGATTTTCTATACGATAACGACGATTTCGAATATTAGCCGCAGGTTCATCTTCAAATGGTAATGCGCCACCGTGAAACATTGACCAAAGTATTATTCCGAATGAATAAATCATTCCTGATGTATTATAAGGAGCGGTGATGGTACCATCTGAATTTGGTAAACATTCAGGTGGTAGCCATCTGAAATTCATTTCAATATTTAATTTGATAAAATTTCAAAATAACTTATATTTTGTTTCACCTAAATATTTAATTAAAAAAAATGAATGAGATAATATCCAATAAAATTTACTTCCGAAATTTTCTTTTTTAAAAAAATGATAGCAATAATAATAAAGTTAAGTAATGAAAAAATTTATGGATTTCTTCTAATTTTATTATTAATCAAATATAATTAGCGTAGATATAATTAGCATAAATTTAAAAAGGAAATAATTAGCATAGATTTAAAAAGAAAATGCTGTTATTAAAGGAAAAATGAAATTTAATAAATCGAATATTTAAATTATAATTTCAAATCAACCTGCATTGATCAATATCATCAAGATCAATATATGTTGGATATAATTCACCTGCGGTTAATCCATAAATTGCAATTTTTACATTATAGTTATAGGTAAGCAAACAGACATCAATTGATAAACGATAATGTATAAAGCTATATTTTTCAAGATTTCGTAAACCATCCACTATTTGCATAGCAAATTTACATTGCTTAAAAGATAAAAAATTAAATGAAAAATTAAAAGTTAAAAGTTAAAAGTTAAAAGTTAAAGGTTAAAAGTTAAAAGTTGAAAGCTAAAGGTTAAAAGTTGAAGGTTAAAAGTTAAAAGTTAAAGGTTAAAAGTTAAAAGTTAAAAGCTAAAGGTTAAAAGCTAAAGGTTAAAAGTTGAAGGTTAAAAATTAAAAGTTAAAAGTTAAAGGTTAAAAGTTAAAAGTTAAAGGTTAAAAGTTAAAAGTTAAAAACTAAAGGTTAAAAGTTGAAGGTTAAAAGTTGAAGGTTAAAAGTTAAAAGTTAAAAGCTAAAGGTTAAAAGCTAAAGGTTAAAAGTTGAAGGTTAAAAGTTAAAAGTTAAAAGTTAAAAGTTAAAGGTTAAAAGTTAAAAGTTAAAAGCTAAAGGTTAAAAGTTGAAGGTTAAGTTAAAGGTTAAAAGTTAAAAGTTAAAAGCTAAAGGTTAAAAGTTGAAGGTTAAGTTAAAGGTTAAAAGTTAGAAGTTAAAAGTTAAAAGTTAAAAGTTGAAAGTTAAAGGTTAAAGGTTAAAAGTTAGAGGTTAAAAGTTAAAGGTTAAAAGTTAAAAGTTAAAAGTTAAAATTTAAAAGTTAAAAGTTAAAGGTTGAAAGTTAAAGGTTAAAAGTTAAAAAGTTAAATTATCATTAAAAGTTATTATTAGTAATTTATAAATTTATTCGAAAATTGTCCTAATCATAAATGAATAATTCCTGCAATTAATTAATTAACGTTTTATGCTAATATTGTTTCAAGTGTTAAGCTGGAAAGTTTTAAAGGGAAACAATTAAAGGTTAAAAGTTAATCGAAATTGCAGGAATTATTCATAAAGTTATTAAATTTTTATTTTCTTTGAAGTACTATACATAGTAAAATGAATTAATTTTCGAGCAATAGTTTTAATCAATTTGTTGGTTATTTTTATGAATGAATATTTCATAAGAAATAGATATCAGTGATATAATTATCATAGGCAGATATCATAGATGATTTAATTTAGTTCAGAATTCCTACCCGGGGTGTAATAGCATATATAAATGCTTGGCCTTATTTTGGCTTTAGCCAAATTTTTCTTAATACCACAAAATATTGCTTATTTAGTTTTTCATTTATTAATTTCAAGCAATTGAACTTTTTCATAACTTTCCCAATTCTTACTTCCTTTTTTTGCTATAAGAAAGAAGTTTCACATTTATTACCTGATCCTGTGACCTAGGACTTGTTCGAACAAAATCAGCAACTGAACCATAAATAATATCTTCAAGAATTAATGATACATTTCCCGGTTCATATTTACATATACCCCATAATCGCCAAATTCTTCTAAACATAAGAATAAATCATAATTTTTGAAATTTACAATTCCGTAGCATAATTTTTGAACTGATTTTATTTCTCATACAATTATTGATATGCAAATTTAAATAAATTTGCATAATATAGAAATGATTAGTTTTCTAAAAATTTCATGGATAACGTATTCATGGATAACGCAATTCGGTCATTGATTTTTATGTTCATTTACTACGATTATATATAAGAATTAATTAGTATTTATAAGAATTAATTAATTATTTATATATATATATATATATTATGTATATTTCAATAATAAAATATTCTTATCTGAATTTATAAAAAAATCGATAAAAATTATTTTTATATATTTAATAAAATTGATAATGAAAATATTTTACTAAAATGAATTTTACGAATATTAATAACAAACATTGATCCAAATCGTCGTCGTTTTTCCGCTCCACTAATTAAATATTCCAATTCATTAATGCTACAATCAGTTATGTTCAATTCAGTTACCGGAATCCAACGTTTACTATCAAAGTTTAATGTTTTCTGTGAAAGTGTACCCAATGGAAAAATTGCATCATTAATTGGAAATGCATGCTGAGGTATACTGGCCATCTTTTTGGTTAACTATAATTTAAATAATTATTTAAGACACACTAATTAGTTTATTGATTAAGATGCGTTTGCATAGCAAAAAAAACAATTAAAAACTTATTGATCTTCAAATTTTTAATTTACTGTAATATTTTAATTTTATTCAATTCTTCCGTTTTTTCAAATTTGCTACAAAATGTGAAATTTTTGAATGTTTCATTTAAATCCATTATATTTGCATTTGATGAAACTAATTATTTTTATCAGTATTTATATGCTAATTAAACATTTACCTTATATTGTTAATATTATCATTACTATCAATACTATATTACACCTATGGTTTAATTTAAATCATAATAAATTCTTGAAAAATTTTGAAAACCTGTTGTGGAATAATTATCCATGGTCGTTCAATTGTTTTTAATGAATGCGTCTTGATATATTGATATAATGTAGCATTCTTATCATTCGGAATTTTTAATGTTTTATCACGATATGTTACCTAAAATATGATTAGTTATTTTGTTATTGCTATTATTATTATTATCTATTACAAACTATTACAAATTTTATCACCATGCTTATTTCACAAAGAAATTCATTAAATTTTAAATGCTAATAATTAAATGCTAAAAAAAAAAAACCACGTCCAAAAAAAATATTTCAAATTTTGAAAAAATATTACAAAATAAGAAATAAGAAGAAAATATGAAAGTTACCTTAACTTTTAAAATAGTTTCATTTGTTTCCAATATAATCAAGTACCAATTTGATTCTGGATTCATTTCTTCTTTTAATTTTGGACATGATATTAAAAAGCAATCACCTAACATTAAATAAATACTTTACTTCTAAGATGAAAATTTTAAAATAAATTAAAATGATTAATTTACTGCGAAAAGATAATTAAAATGGACTAATTTACTAAGACAAGAAATTTTCATATTATTATTTTTATTCATATATTATTTTCTTCCATTCAATATTATTAATATTTGATACTTTTTGAATAGAATAAAAATTTAATTCATTTATTCTATCATATTAATTAATATTTTGTTTTTATTTAATTATTCGAAAAGAAAAATCTAAAATTCGAAATTTTTTAAAAATCAAAAAAAGAAAATTAAATATTGATATAGGAAATGAATTAACCTAATTCAACAAGTAAACGTCTTTGTAAATTATTATCATCAAGCATACTATTGAAGAAATATGGTATTGAATCTAAAATTTCTTCAATACGACGCATTCGTTGATTAACACTTGTTGATGGTACTATCCAATCCATTAAATTACTCGCATTACTTTCATTCTTATCAGTATCAATTATCACTTCATTTAATAATGTATCATTCTTAATGATATTGTCTGATTTACTGCAAAAAAAATTATTACTTTACAGTATTTACAACAAATGTTAGTATTAGATACTATCCAATCCATTAAATTATTCACACTACTTTCACTCTTATCAGTATCAATTATCACTTCATTTTGATATTATTTGATTTACTGCAAAACAAAAATTTGTATAAACTATTACTTTACAATATTTACAGTAAATGTTAGAATTATTCTTATTGGTATTTGTAGGAATTCAGAAATTATATAAAATATTATTATTTTACAGTATCTAAAAAAATTGTTCCTTCAAAATATTGTTCCTTCAATAAAAAACTGAATGAAAAAAATGATTAAATTATATTTATTATAACAAAATCATTCTTAAAATATAATTCTTAAAACAAAGAAAAATTTGAAATCAAGTTTACTTAAGCATACTGTACTAGAAAACGTGAAATGATTACAATGTAAGAGAATTTTAAAAAATAAGGAATTTTAAAATATTTGATTACAAAGTGGCACAAAGTAAGGTAACTGTTAAGAATATCAAAATTTCTAGAATTTAATTGCACGAAATCACAGGTGATTATAAAGCATTAATTTCAATAATGAATTATAACTAATCAATCTTTTTTAATCATTTACTTTGATAAATTAACCTTTCAGTTACCAATCATTTATTTTGATAAATTAATCTTGCAGTTATCAGTGGAAAAAAAAAATATTTCAGGTATTTGAAAATTATTTAATAAAATCTATTCAATCACTAATTTCATCGAAATTTCAGACAAAATAATATCTTTAAAAAAAGGAAGCAAATTTTAAAATTAATTAATATATATATATATATACGAAATCTACAATATATAAAAATTTCTTATATATTTGAAATTGAGAAATAATTAATTTAACTTTACAAAGCAAATGGACTAAAAAAGATGTGGAGGAGAGAGATAGAATATAAGCAATTTAAGCTAATCACTAATTAGTTTAATCACTGATTTTTTTAAAATTAATCAGTGATTAGTTAAATGAATAAAAAGATTAAAATTTTTTTTTTCAAATTACTAATTAGTTTAATCACTGATTTTTTTAACTAATCAGTGATTAGTTAAATGAATAAAAAGAATCAAAATTTATTTTTAAATTCCACAATTAGAAATGAATTAATTTAAGATAAAATAATTTAATATCAAATAAACGAACACTATATTTTCCATTAAATTATTCAATCTTTTATTTGAAAATTTTATATAGCAAATAAAATCGCCGAAAATATGCAACCAAACCGCTTGCTTTTAATCGTTGAAATTACAATTGAAAAGGATTGCTGTGATCCTCAACAAATTTTAATTCAAGCATTAATTATTTTGGATGAAATTTTTGAATTTTACTACTTATTGAAATTATACGAAATTTAAAATATTCTAATTTAAAGTATCAAAGAGTTTATAAAAAAATTTCCATCCCAGTTTACAATGATATTATTATTATGCCAATTTGAATGCTCGACGTCTTAATCTCATTGGTTAACAATCTTTACATTCCAAATATGAAAATTTAAATATTCAAGTTGCAATTTAAGTTCGATCCTATTATCACGTTCATTATCAGTCTAAGTTATGCCAATTTCACTATAATCGATAATATCGCTTACTTCATATGGATTTAAATTTTCCTAAATTCCTCATTATCATCTTCGCGCCTCATTCTAATCATCTTAATTAAATTCCATTTAAATTAAATCGATTTTACTTCTACTTAACCAAAAAATTTTTGAAATCTTTGAATCATACTCTTCAATAATTAAGGCTAATTACAACAATAACATCATTTAACCTCATTCGAGGAAGCTATAACTAAAATCCATAATAACATATCTCTTAAAACCACTTTCTTCATTTATTGCCATCAATAGCCATTATATATAAACATCGATATGTATAAAATATATAAACACAAAATGCTTTATTTAAACTAAAAGAAAACATTGTTAAAAGCGTCGTAAAAGTGTACGTACATTAAATTATCAACAATACATATTTAACTAAAAGCGGATAAAAACGAACAATAAAAGATGTAACAAAAAATAATTCAATCTAATAAGCTGTCAAGTATGAGTAGAGAGAAATAAGATATTCCGCTGATAAATTAGCAAATTTTGAATATCAAAATTATCTGTTGAAATTTTGTCCTCATCTCTCTTCTTCTTTTAATGAAATAAAAAACGATGATAACAAAACGTAAGCACAAATTTAATAACATTAACAATTAATAAGGCATCAGATAGCATAAAACTCGTAAATTGATACCTTATCATATTGATTAAATAAATATAAACAAGGACAAAATTTCTACCAAATAATCTATTTGCTACTTTTTGGCTACAAATCATCAAATAAACGAGTTATTTATGTCCAGGCAAATTGGTAAATTTATTTATGGATGAATGATTGTTTCTATCTTTCATCTTTTAAAAGTAAGATCTCTTAAATTTTCCATTTTTTTAAACAGCCAATGATTTAATTATTGGTTTTTTTGAGATAAGATAAATTTAAGCTGAAAGTAAAACCTGCTCAAACCCAACAAACTAAAACTAACGAATAAATAGAAGATTATCAGGAAACAGAAAGTAAGTAGACGAAACATACAACAAGCAAATCAACTGATCTTCAAATCATCAAATCAAATCAGATCAAATTAGATCAAGTCAGTAAATCAATTTCGTGAATCTTTTTGAGTCAACATCTGATTAACTCAAATATCCGAACATGTTCATCGTTCACCTATTGCAAATAATCGCGATACAAAATCTTTTATGTTCAAAATCAATAGTGTGATGAAGAAACACTAGTACGATATGATAAAATTGCAACACAACCAAAACTTGTAAGGAAATCGTGAAAATTTTCTTTAAAAGGAAAATTTAAAACCGCTTAACATTGAATTATAAATCATTGTAATTCAATTAACTCAAATGATGATATCTAGAAAGAAAATATATTCCGAAAATCGAAAAAATCAATCAATAGTACTTTACATCGAGGAACGTATTCTATTCTATAATATACCATTTATACAAAGACGAAGATCCCGCAATACTTGAAAATTTTACGATACCAGTAAACGATTAAATTTAAAAAATACGATCACATATTACAGAATTTAAAATCCGGAATGGAAGGACAGAAGAAAAAAATTCAGACGTAGCTTAAAAATAACTATGATAACTGATATGGTTTAATGGATTAATAAAAAATTGAATAGAATTCCAAAAAACTAAGTGAACTATTTTTTGAAATTTCCAAAACAAATTATTTAAATCGATTTTCGCGCTACTCAATTACTCAATTAGATTTATTGCAAATCATTCTAAAATTTTGAGAAAAGTTAGGGAACAAAGATAAAAAGGAAAAGAACTGATGAACACTAGATGTACGCCAAAAAAAACAATTTTCATAAAATGAACCAAAATCACGCTAATAGCAGCTTTACCATTATGAGTTATTCTTCTGAGCTAATTCCGAACATGTAATGCAAATACGCTCAACACCATCTGATGTAAATACCATACAACGACGGCAATGAATTTTACCACACCTATAGCAATGTAGACGACGCTCACCGCGCGTGATGAATTCCGCACTGCATTCAACATTGGCGCATTCATCTGCCGAACGAATAGATTGCCAACGTAAAGCAGGCAATGGACTATTATTTTCCTAAAATATCGATTTCATAAAATTGATCCACAGAATTTTGCTACAAATGGCCAATAACAGTAGCTATATGTTATGATAATGAATGAAAACCAAACAGCAAAAGTAGAAAAACATATCACTAAATTAAATATCAATGTAACTTCAGCTGCATATTCTATAGCGAAAAATTTTATATTCTTATTGGAAAAGCCAATATGAAAAATAAATAATAAAAAAACGAACGCTATATGGGAATGAAGCGTCGTATATGCCACTTTCTTGGATATTTTGCCCACCATCCCACGAGCGTTTCTTCCCTTTTTCGTCCATTGCACAACTATGAATTAATGAGACAATATCTGAAAGTCGCTTTACATTATATCAAAGCACCCTCAAGGAAAAAATTCAAGCATAAGCAGAAAAATCCAAGCACTGCAAGATAATCTAAGATGTTCTTCCTTTTTTCTGATATTAATGAATTTGCTGCGTATTAACCTAATAAAATGAAATAAAGAATTTTTGTTTTAAAAGACCTGGAACATTAGAAGCTTCAGGTGTGAGAGTCCTAGAAATACAACTAGAATGACCACTATCGCTCATCACTTCATTTCCCGGCGTTTGTTTTCCTACCAAAAGTTTTAATTCTGCCAATTTCTGCAAAAAATTTTTAATATTTTTCGCAAAAAAACATTACCGCATAGAAAATCTCGTAAGAAAATACAAATTTCTCTCGATCTTTCACAATAGCCTAACAATGTTAACTGTCATATTACTTATTTTAATTAACTATTAATCAGACTATTATTCGCTGAAACAAATTCGGTATGAAACTTTGAATTTTTCGATAAAAAGAAACACAAACTGATTGCAATGAAGCCAAATGTGCCTCCAAGATGCCAACATGTTCCATCGTGGACAGTGTTACATCGTTTGTATTTTCTCGTGGTAAAAGTCCGGTATCGAAACGATTGTACATAGCTGTCCAGACAGCAAGTGCCGATGGGTGCAAATTTATTTTCCCCAGAAAACCATACTTATTCGCCTACGGGAAAAACGCAATATAAAAACTTTGACTTTGAAGTGACGTTTTTAACATGAACTTTTTTTTAACATGAACTTATTAATACTTACATCAACCCCATTAAACCACGCTATACGGTATCTTGTTTATTTAGGAAGATAGAAAACCTGAACCATTGAAAATTAATCTAGAAAGCTAAATGTGTAAAACTGCAATGATCTACCAACGCCTTTTATTAAAATTAATCTAAAATCTAACAAATTGTCAGAAAAATTAAGTCAAGAAAATAACCACTTCTAATTCCAAAAAATTTCAAGAATTTCGAAAATGGAACTTTAGCTCATAAAATTTTCGGAAATGGAACTTTTGTTCCATAAAAGCTAAAATATCCTACATCTTTTAATCAAGATAATCAAAAACGAAAAAAAACTAACTTCATATAAAGGATTAATGTAATCGTCATGGCGGTCATCCAGAAATGCCCACAAAGACTGCGTTCGTTTCGCTAGATTGAGATCCTAAAAACAAATATGAAAAAAACTTCTAAGCTACATCATATTAACCAAAATATGATAAGTACTATGAAAATTTCCAAAAAGTAAATTTTTCCACTAGATTTTGATATCTAAACATACCTTTCGGTCTTTATCACAATTCCCGAGAAATGTGCCATATTGACAAGAGTATGCGTGCTCGTGCATATGGATCAAATAACGTTCGTTGAATTGGAAAGCAGATGGATACTGTCTCATAATTTGAAATGTCGCATCCAGAAATTGAGTGAAAATCGGTGATATCTAAAAATATATGCAAAGTTTCAAAGAAAGCTTATAATCCGTCCAATAAAATATATTCCAAATAAATTACAATCCAATAAAATAAAACAAATTATAAAATTACAAATTACATCCAAATAAAATAATTTACAGCAAAAAACCACTTCTCTGAATTCTAAAAAAATGTGATATCCAAATAATCAAAGTATCTGAGGCAAATATCATGAGAAGCATTGAGACACAAGAATTACTGAAATGTTCAAACCACTAACAGTCTGGATAGTTCAGATATTTAGAACTATAATAGAAGTGCTCTATCCAATCAAAGGTTAGTAAAGTTTGGTACCTAAACCTTATTTGCAAGTATCATAATTCTAATCCTTTTTTTGCAGTCTTCCCGCAAATTACCTCTCTAGCTGCTTCTTCATTAAAAGCACCAATATGACCACATCGATCGTCGAATTTATGACCGAAACCAAGCCAATCTTTTTCGATCAATATCTACAATACGTTCTATGAAATATATTACAAAATTTAAATGGACTTCATTTTCAGTCCTCTATCATCAATCTAACTCTAATTACATTCCACTTTAAGCATCACGGGATTTAAACTGTTCAAATTATAAGCATCGCTAGAGTCTTCCAAGACTTCCAAGACTTCGCAATTTTAAGCATTAATAACATTCATAAAAATATGAGACAGATTTCAATATATCACAGTACTACCGTATTTCTCTAACCAATTAGTAAATTTTATAATATTTGAAAAATTTCTGATCACAAACTCTAAGCAATACTGTATTTCGATTTCAGAAAAGACCTTATTGCAAAACCTGAGAATCCTTTATCATCCAGAAGAATGGATCCATACCTGAAAACCCTTTATCGTCCGGAAAAACGGATCCAGTAAGAGTTGCGCAATACTGACCGATTGTGCCGTACGGTCCCAACCATCGGAACAGTGCACAACACATGAAATTCCGCGTGCTACTGAAGTGGCCAAAAAATTACCACATTCCAACAGGGCAAGAACATGTTTTAACCAACCGGATGTTTCTAACTGTTTATAATAATCCGTAACCGTTCTCGCACGATGACATGCTGGAATTCAACCGAACACGATAAGTTTAACAGTATTGATGAATCACTTCATGAAACTACATATATATATATATATATAGCAATTACGATATATCCAATTACTGATACACTACTGTATTCTTGTTCTACACTCTAATGTAGTTTACTTAGCATCATTCTGCACATACAAAACAAATTTCAAATTTTAATTAGATAGTATCAACTTATTCGTTTATTTGACCAGTTCTTTTTGTTCAACTTTATTCTGATTAAACCTATTTATCAAAATTAGTATTATAGCTAACTGATAACATCCTGTGTTTTCGTAAAAACTTTATCAATAAAAATGGAAAGAAATTTTTCTTAAATTGAAAAAAAGTCTACCTTCCAATAATTTGCTTAGGCTCGATCTCATAATGTGTATATTATCGATATCAAAGAAATGGAACCGTAAATTCGTATAATTCCGAACATTTTCAAATCCTTTACCTTGCATTTTATTAACCATAGCATTCATCTGAAGAAAAAAAATCAATCATTTTTCAAGTAAAAATCATTCGAAAAAGTTTACTAATTCCAAAAAAATAAATTTCCAAAAACGGCGAGGAATGCAGTTATCAAACTTTCGAGGAATTCCTTTTAATGTCTCTGAAACCTTATTACGTATCTAGGCTCCTTACTGCTTGATTGCTTAGGCCTCCTTATTGCTTGATATAGATTTTTTGTTTTCATTATCTTGTTCCTTTCCTTGCCTTATCATTACTATTAATTTGCTTAAAATAGGAAAGAAATGAAATAAAATTAAAGAACAAAAACGAATAGGAGAAAAAACGTACCTTTGGCCGGGTATCAATTAAATAAAGTATTGGACTGGAAGGATTCGTTTTCGCTATTGCATTCATCAACATTTCATCTTCGACGCAACGAGCACTAAAACCCGTTAAGGGCTGAGCACATCTGGAAAATAAACGTATTCGCAGCGAAATTTAGATTTATCATTACCTGTTTCGCCTTTATCTCACTTCAAAATATTCATTTTACAATTCGTAAGTTATTATTCCTAATATTTTGTTTTACAGAAACAACTGAAATCGAGGAAGTACTAGCCATAACTAAATAAACCGCCCAAAAATGATAGGGCAAAACTTATAAGCAAATTCTTACAACAATTTAACCTGAATTAATCAACTTTTTAACTGCAGCAGCCTAAATTCGAAAAATACATCTCAGCGAAATAATGGACAAAAAACGATTTCATAAAATTTTACGAAACAAAAAAAAGAAACAAGCCTCGAGATGGTAGCTGCATTTGGCCGATGAAAATACGTGAGCACAGGTAGGCGTGCACGGCTACGAAACTTGCATGATCCTATAAGGGTTTGAGTGGTAGTCGTGGATGGAACACATAAACATTCTGGATAAGTGTCACAATACTGAAATAAGCCGATTATATAATTACATGATAATATGGAATATTAATATCACGGAATAAGATTTTACTTTTGTCTTAAATTATCCGGAACCAAAACATTATTATAAAATATTTTGTAAACTGGTTGAAGGTGTCGGCTGAAAATTTTAATCACCACTATTTAGCTTCAGTTGGTAATAATTGTCCGGAAACTCCTAATAACTGTCTCTTAGTTTAATGTCACATTCCTTTTGGTTTCAAGCTAATATTTTCACCTTTTTGTAAAGAAAACTGTACCAGCAACTAATTCAGTTACTTAGTTATTAACCTGTATTAAATAAATCCATTAAAAAGCATGTGAATAACGACAATTGAAACCTTATATCCCGTATTAAAATCTGTAATTTTCCATTTTTGATCATCCGCTATACCAATTCCCTGACGAGTAAATTCAACAACCCAATCGAATAGATCCCAACCTCGTTTTTTCACATTGAAACGAATATCACCATTTCTTTCTTTATTTTCAAATGCAAATACATCCGTTATATTTACTGAAATAAATGCAAGAGTTGGCTCTTTCCAAATATCCATCACTACCTTTGAAAATCTTTAACCAAACGGGTTTGCAATGTTGCCGTCAATTGATATCAGTGAATGAATCCATCCAGGCTAAATCTTATCTAAAAGTCATCATAAATGTACTGCTGTTGCAATTCACATTACTATTTCTACTATGGTGAAATCAATTCGACAAAAATAAAACATATTTTCAAGATAAACTTTATCATCCAGAGGTTACGATCTACATTATATTTTCTTATCATTTGCTAACATTCACTAAATTTCATCCTTTGCAGTAATTTTTTGCATCCATATATCATTTTAACATAATTTTAAACAAACGAACCAGGTTTGCCACATCTATTCAATGTCTCCACGAGATCCTGACACTCTTTGTCACGTGTTATTAAAAACGTTAAGGTTAAAAAATGTTTACATTTCACTACTAGTGGTGTCCCTAGTGCTGAAAGCGTTCCTTTTTCCACCGTTCCGATTAGTCCGTTTGGAACCTGCAAAAAAGATAAGACTATTCTGTTTTATTCCAATTTTCATCGTCTGCTTAGAGAAGTTCCTTCAGGAAATCATTTATCATGGATAATTTTGCTTGATCCATTGATCAGTTAAAATATTAATAATTAGATCCTACTAGTATTAACAAATCTATAACATAAGCAACTACATCTTTTTAGCTTGAAAAAATTGACGGTTATTTTTTTCTTTTTAAATATTGGCTCAACTGCCCTCTTTATGTTTGCACAATTCCTGTTTACTTCAAGTGCTATTTATCTTATAGCGAAAATTCATAATAATAGCTAATTATGCTAAAACAATGCTTAATTCTAACAACTCATTAGTTAGGGTACTATTTATTGAAATAATGCTTATGAAGGATTTAGTAAATAAAAAATTAAAAATGATCAAATATACATTCCTTTAAAAAAAAAGAATAACTTGATGCAGCAATTCTATTGGTGAAAATTACTTCGTGAAAATGAAATTATTAAGCAATCTTACGAAAATGACTCAATTTTATAGAATTAAACATTAAAAAAAATGAAACAAACCCATATTTCTTTAACACTATCTTCAGCCTTGAAAATAACATGAGAAGTGGTTACATGTATCGAACCAACAATGTTTGGCTCCGATCCTAACCGGTCAACCAACTGTACTTTGTTGACCTGAAATAGTTTCATGAAATCACAGTAAGCTTTTGCTTTTCGCAGATTGTTATAGTTTCATCTCATCTTTACACTAATCATCGAACTTTACCTGGACCAAAGATTGGTGTTTGTGAAAGGTCTCTTGAAAACATGGAGAAAGTAATTTCGTGATTAAAAAGGAAAAAACATTTAACAAATAATAGCTGACAACAGAGAATGGATGGGAGAATTCAACTGCCTGATTTCCAATTAAAATATTGAAACACATTTTTGATTGGATGAAAAGAGAACTTCAATGTTTAAGAAAAAGTTTCAAAAAATATATTTCCAAAAAAGAAAAAACATTTTGATGATTGTCTTTCTCGTCGTCCTTCTAGAAGCTTTCAGATAATGGTTCCTCATTAAATTAAATTATATTATACAAAATTATAATTATATTAAATTATATTATACAAAAAAACACATTTTCCGGATGTTAATCACCAATACATCCTGTTTGAAACATTAATGTTTCATTTATGTCAACATGCTTGTATTGTACCTTCGTTTTTTAAAATAAAAATAACTACTCTGTATTAATTCGTATATTTTGAATCAACTTTTGAAAGTAATAATTATGAATAACGAAAAATACAAGCAGTTTAATCGTTTACACGTATACGTACAAACAACAAAAAACCCACATATGACGCACAAATAGATAATATTTAATTTTAGATTTTTTAAATGAAATGTCTCTAGTTCAATAAAACATTTTCTATGTTTTATCTTCTCTTAAAAAGCTTGGAATTCATTTTTTAAAATAATAAAAAAGAAAAAACTTAGCCCATTATAAATTTTCTCCATTAAACTTCGGTCCATTCTCATCCATTCTCCTTCAGAAGCGGAAAGGAAAGAGCTTTGGCAAAAAATTTTACATTCAACAAATTAAAGTCTTATAAAACCGCACACCGTTTGCAACAATCCACAATATAATATTAAATCGTCATCCCGTAACGACTCATGGCCCATTATCGTTTCATACAAACGTTTGAATCCATCAATCAATAGCAATCGAGCAATTTCAAATTCATCGGGTGGCGAGAGTACCATCGGTAAGCTCACTGGCAATTTACCTGATAACCACTAGATGAATTTTAATTAAAAAAAAAATTGTCGAAAATTCACACCACTCTATGATTAAATATAATAAGAGAACATGAAATTTTTAGAACATGAAATAAAAGCAGAATATGGGAGACATGAATTTGCAACGATGAGAAGTGTTTGCCAATAACTATCGATCCTAGGCTAAGTGAAAATGGATCGATATATAAAGACAGTTCTTTCTAAAAAAATATTGGCATAATTTCATAATAAACCGAATGTAGCCTTAGTTGGCCATTATACAGAAATGTAATAGGTCAAAAGTAATAGCTGAAAATTGGATCAAAACTAAAATGTCTCCTATTAGTGAAAGATATGTACAATATAAATTAAAAAAAAAAACCATAAAATTTATGAAGAAACCTAATTATGCTAAGAGAAAAACCTGAATTCAAAAACGGACTACGACAAAAAAATCTTTGAGTCTTCAAAAAATCTGACTACAAACGATCGATCTCAAGCATAAATAAGAAATGATCGAACGCAAGCGATAAAATATAAAAATTTTCATCATTGAAGGAAATAATTAATCTTATAAGCATATCAGGATCACTTAAAAGGTTATGATAACTTATAAACCCAGTAAACAGAGAAAATAAGATAAATGAAAGTGTATATAAATTCAACAAAAATCTGAGAAAAGTTGATCAAAATAGACAATATTTATAATGCTAATGGAGAATAAAATCTTCCTTCATTTGATATGAAATAATTTAATTTAACTAAACTAAAAAAAAGAATTTCGATAAATAATTCTATTTGAAGAAAATATTTTATAGAAAAAGAAAACATAATTATAATTATTCATAATTATAACATAATTATAAAATTATAATTATAATTTTATTAGCAAAAGAAAATTTTGAAATATTTTATGAAAGAAAAAAACTGTTTAAAGAAATGCTAACGAAAAATAGAGTTCAGAAAGAAAAAAAAGGCTCCTAAAAGTCTAAAAGCTGTCAATAAATTTTTAACAATTGAACTAAAAAGAAAAGGAAAGAAGGAAAAATTTTTTCGTTTGAAAAATGAAAGAAAATTTTTTGGTCTAAAAAAAAGGAATGCTTTTTGTTTGAAGTAAATGAAAAAAAGTAAAATCAATTTAACAACGCCAATAACTAACCTAATATATCCCCGTTGCAAATTTAATTTTTATTCCTTTTTTTATCCCTTTTCTATTCCTGTATTCCTTCTTCTTCTTGCAATCGTAATTTATACGATACCTCTTTCGAATTCATTTATTTGTCATATGCATTAAATAAACTTGGCAATCAAACTTATGCAATATCTCTCATATGTCATACATATAGTTAATACTCGTCATTAACTATTAAATTGAATTAAAGTGAAATTTCAGTGTGAAGCTAATATATTAAATGCCTTATTTATAATATGAATTCAATCACATGCAAACATATTCATTCACTCTTACTTTTACTGCATCTTCTATAAATTTCAACAATTTTTATGCGAAAATTTCCATATTTTTCCAGCACAAAATTATGTTAAATTAGAAAAACTTACGGGATTTATGATGCAAAACATGAATTCAATCAATTCTAACGAAATAAATCAATCGAAAATATAGCAATATAAAGTAGACTTAACGAGAATTTTTACAGAAATCCAAGCTCTTCTCTTTATATTACGATTAAGCAAATCCACTTATGCTGCAATAATATCTATCAGAAAATTTAACCATCCAATTAAAAAAAACATCTCAGAAAAAAAGTAATTTAATTTTCAGTAAGCTATGGCTAAAAATTTCCTCCATCATTTAAGGGTTACTTTCAAATCTTGTCAAATTTTCTATGAAAATCTCGTTTTTTCATCAATTTAAATTGTATTAATTTCCAAATAATCACACCATTTATAAACATTTTCATTCCTAAAAATCTTATTACTTTCTCGCTGTAGTATCATTGCATATGTGAATAAACTTACAACACAGCTGAATCAAAGGATGCTCATAAAATTGTAATATCATTCTATCCAACTAATAAATTTGCCATGATTCAGTAATTGATCAATCAGCTTTTTTAGGTATTATCATTTTAGCTTATAAGGACATGCACCACCCAACTACTGTCATCTTCATACAATTATAAATTATTCGAAATGAATTTCAGAGAAAAGAGACAAGTAATCATCAAATCATTATTCTCCCATAATGTCATACATCCTACACATTACAAGTATTGAATTGTCCATAAGTAAATAAAATACGAAAATTTAGGCTTAAAATACGTTTCGCAAACACTATTAAATATGTGCCATAGAAGATTTTTTTTGCATCATGCCACTTAACGATATGCATTCCATCCCATATTAAGTAGAGCTTCATGAAGATTGACATAATTATATGTCATAAGTTATGTTCATTGAAATCATTTCAAATAAACCTTTTAGGAAATTCATTTAAGCCATAACTTATTTTGAAAAACATTAAGCCAAAATAGTTTAGAGGAAAAAGATGAATATGGTTCAAAAATAGTGTAAATAATGAAAAAGAAATAAATATTCTCGACATTATTTGTCAACAATCAAGATATAATTTAAAAACAAATTTAAATTGAACAGGATTCAAACAAATTTAAAAATTGAATAAACTGGCAACAGAGTTTTATGATTTTTAAACTGCTCTATGTTAATGCCCTATTTCTTTTCCTCTTATAATTGATTGACACAGAATGGAGAAAACGTAAATAAATAGCAAGTATAAATCAATAAAAAAATGTTCTGAAATATTTAGCATATAATATGCTGCGTTTGCTCTCTTCTCTTCCAAATTTTTAAACATCTTCCAATTACAACTTTTTTTTTACGTTATTTGGATTATATATGATAGTTGACTGTAAGCTTGACCTACGAAATCGAAATCTTGATCCACGTAAAAAAATGTATGATACACAAAACAAAGTGACATAATAATAAACCCTTAAATACGGCGATTAAAGCATTGAAATTATTAATCCTTTCCTCATTATTACCACCTATTCCTTTAATATTACTTCCATACCTATAGCTTTACATTACTTTATATTTGCTATCCATTATTTTCTTCCACCTTTTACTACGTATAAAAAACGGATATTCAAAATGAGAAAAAATTACAGGATTTTTTATATATACATCTTTGTTCATTATTTTTTATATCTTAAAAATTACTAAATACATCTTATGAAGTTAATAAAATAATGTCAACTGAATAAACAAAAGAGAGGAAAAATTAAAGCCAACAAAATTCTGTTAAATTCCAACCAATGCCTTTAATTAATTTTACAAATCACTGATACATTTTATTCCTCTTCGAATTATTAAATTCCTTCGCTTCAGTTTTTACTCTTTTTTGCTTCCTTTTTTGCAGCTTTCATGAGAGAAAGAGAAAAAAAGGAAGAGAGAAAGAAAGAAAAACATGATCAACCTTCGGAATGATAATATCGTCAAAGCGCATTTCGAATTATTTCCATTTTGATTTCAACACATCAGTAGATGAATTGCTGTTTACCATATACATCTTGGTGATTCCTAAAAAATCATCAATTATACATTTGATTTTTCTAATAGCTTTGATAGCTTTCAGCAGTTGAATATTTTTGTAAGCTACAAACTATTACAAACAAATAACAAATAAAGAAATGTTGGTAAAAAGAACTCAAAGGTTCGTGGAATAAAATTTTTTATGCAATTTATTTAGCTGTTAGAGAACACAAAAAGTTACTGGTTGCTATGAAATTACAGCTAATAAACACACGTGAATAAGTCTAATATCACACAAAACACATCACAAAGACACTTATATAAATTATGTTACGTATGTACGTAAATATACGTGAGTGAACATTTCATCCAATTTCTGAAATTGATGCAACAAAAATATATGATATAATCAACAGGAAATTATGATAGCCATAAGAAACTGAAACTTTTCCCGTTAAAACTATCATCAATGATTTTAACAATAGTGTAAAAAAATTGGATGTGATCATATATATATTTAATATATTATAAAATTAATAAATATGCAGATTTCACACAACTAACTTAGTATAAGTAATCAAATCCTTCACCAGATAATCTTGAAACATATTACACGAAGAAATCTACTAAAACCAGACTATTAAAAAAACCAGAGTAGACCAGATAATCTTGAAACATATTACACGAAGAAATCTACTAAAACCAGCCGGAAAGAAAAATTCAGCATGTTACAATCAGGAAGTAAAAAATCTACATCATCGATTTTCGGCTTTTCATCTCCTGAACCTGTGGTGGGATAACGAAGTTTCACACGGAATACATGGTACGTGGTTGCAATGATGGTAAAAAGTGGTTGCAATGATGGTAAAAAGTGCTTACCCGGTTGCGGTTTCATATTCAGCTGAAAATCTTGTCTTTGTTTTACATGTATATAACATAACGGATCGTCTTTATTAAAAACATGGGATTACTTTAGGATTATAGGATTAATTTTTCGATAATTGAATATCGAGATTACAGAATTATTCTAATCAAAATGAGTAGCTTTCTGATATATCATTTGTAATTTTAAGCCAACTATTTTGGTCTTCCATAAACCCCATGTTACCAGTTGTTTTAATATTTTAAGTTGTTGTTTAATTGTTGGTAACAATAATAATAACAAGGATGAAAGATTGTTAAGGTTTGTGAAGATGCAAATTTGAAATAATATTTTCATTATTAAATGAATAGAAATAAATAATATGTTCTAAATTAATAGATGGCACAGATTGATAATATTGGCTATAATGAGTGTTACAAATGTGCTATTTTGGAAGTTTTATATTGCGAAATCAAATTAGGAATTCAGAAATAGGAATGCGAAGAGCTAAGATTGTTCATATCATATATTGAAATCTTTTGGCTTATTTGTAGCGCGGCGAAGAAAGATGCTACATATAGTCTGTACCATTAAGTGGCACAAATAACCTATCATTGCTTGCAATTTCAAACGATTTATTTCGTGCAGTTTTTCAATTCTCCGAATAGGGTAGTGTTTTTTAGAAAATTTGAATTTCGGGTAGCGGAAGAAGAAAATGGGTAAGAAGACAAAAATTGGAAAGCAGCGTCGAGATAAATATTATCATCTTGCAAAGGAAGCAGGTTTCGCTAGTTCTATTCTTTCTAATGGCATTTTTATGAAATTAAGTTCCTAGGCTTGCCATATCCAGGAAGGCAGAAGGCTATTAATTTATTTATGTAACACCAGGGTAATCCACCGGATGATTAAAATAGTGATATAATCAATGGACCTTTATGTGTAAGGGATTGAAAACGAGGAGAGGAGGGATTTGCCTATTTCAGGATATCGATCTCGTGCTGCATTCAAATTGTTGCAACTTAATAAGCGATTCGAGTTTTTGCAAAGATCCAGAGCAATTGTTGATTTATGCGCAGCGCCAGGTGGATGGCTTCAAGTGGCCACACAAAATATGCCCGTTTCATCGCTTTGCATAGGTAAGGCTTCTATACAAAAGTTGCAGAGTATTAGAAAAAAGTGTAATGTAAAAGAAGCTCACATAATTAAGTTTACATTATTAAAATTTCTATAAAATCAGCACATATTTATCGGTCATTTTTGGGCGGAAGTTATTTTCAGGAGTTGATTTGGTGCCGATCAAACCGATCAACAGATGTATAACTTTACAAGGTGATATAACCACCGAAAAAACCAGACAGATGATCCGGAAGGAGCTGCATGGCTGGGAGGTGTGTTTTTATAATTTAATCAAGAAGTTTAAGGTATTGGGTGATACTGAGAAAAAAATGGGATACTACAATATCTCTTAACTATTTTATTGGTAGTACTATTGATAATGTCAAATTTTACAATAGAGGGCTCTTCTGTTATTTTCACTGGGTATTTAAAACATAACGCTATTCATTACCTCATTTTTCAATAAACTTTCCAACTTTTTAAATCAATTTTTCTGCAAAATACCCTGATATTTACAAGTGAAATGACTATTACCTTGCAGGCTGATTGTGTGTTGCACGACGGCGCACCTAACATTGGGCGTAATTGGATTCAGGATGCGTTCCAGCAAAACTGTCTAACGCTATCAGCTTTGAAACTTGCGGTACAAATATTGGCAAAAAATGGTGTCTTTGTGACGAAAGTCTTTCGCTCAAGTGATTATCATCATCTGATATCAGTATTTGAGAAACTATTCAAGCAAGTAGGTTACAATTATAATGAAATTTTGAATATACTAAATTGATTGGGAATATTTGGAAATTTTTTCTATATGTTCATATTATTGCAGTATGACTAACTTTGGCAATAATTATGTGATATTAATATGGTCCAAACACATAAATGTTTTGATGCCCTTGTGTTGATCGCAGCCGTCCTTTTGCAGGTGCACGTTTGGAAACCAGCGGCATCACGTCTAGAGTCCGCAGAGATCTTTGTAGTCTGTGAGAAGTATCTAAAACCAGAAAAACTTAGTCCTGATCTCTTAGATTCCAAAAAAGTGTTTGCTGAGTCGACAGAACAATCAATCACGTCAAATCCGTAAGTAAAATCTTCCATAAATTTTCAATAAATTTCATTCGTAATTAATTCTGATTTTTACGATGACTTAGTTCTGTTAAATTAGATTTTCTTTTTCATTTTTCTATTTTCAGACAATTAATGTTGCAACCACGCATGAAGCTGAAGAAAGTATCGGCAGATGGTTATGAAAACGAATCTGTTCTACTCCATAAAGCAATAAATGCTACAGATTTTATTCAAAGTAGCGATTATTTAGAATTGCTGGCTTCTGCATATAAAGTGAATCGATTTTCTGAATCCTTTTCATGGAAATTTAATCTTCGAGAGTAAACTAGTAGAAGTGATTTGAAGTATATAGGACACGTTAGGATGACATTTCTTAGTCCTATAACAAGATAAGAAAAGAAAGTAAAATAAATTTGTAAATTTAATAATTTTTTAGATGCTTGCACAATAATTGCACTGATTAATTTTAGTCGCGTTCAAATAATTGATGTGGTTCTAATGTACACTTCAATTTTTTTTGTTTGAATTCAAAATTATCAATTACAGATTGTTCTCAATGATGAAAGATGGTTAAATGACGAATCGACAACTAATGAAGTGAAATGTTGTCTTGACGATGTTAAGGTGTGCGGTCCGAGAGAGTTACGATTGATATTGAAGTGGAGGCGTAATATTATCAAAAAAATCAATGAAGAAATGGCTGGGGATGAAACTGAAAATTTAACAAAAGATGCTGTAGTGGTGGCCAATCCTGAGTAAGTTGAATCATTATTTTCAAAATCAAATATTTTTATCTGCATTTGTAAGGATTTTCATGATTTCAGGGATGAACGAATGGTAGAAATCGAACAGCAATTGCGGACAGCAAAAGCAGAAGAAAAAGTGTTTCCTTTTCTTTCTTATTGCATTGTTTTTATTTCTAGTTATTGCATTGTTTTTATTTCTAGAGATCTAAAATATTGATATAATAATTGGAAAGTAATTTTTGCAGGCAGCATTAAAGAAAAAGAAACGAAAATTATTAAAAGACAAAGCTAATCACGAAAAAAGAAAAAAGCTTAAAATGCTCGTAGAAGGAGATACTTATGAAATACCCAATGAACAAGAATTGTTTTCATTAAAAAAAGTTGCGAGAGCTAATAATCGACGAAATATTGATATTAATAAGGTTGCGGAACCAGCTACCAGTGATAATAATAACGATGATTCAGAGTACGAAAATATTTTCTTTATAATATGATTTCTTTTATCTCCTACTTGATCTGTGCAGAAAATATCTGTTTGAAATGCATTTAGTTAAGACAGCTAGTTTGTTGGAGTGCAAATTTTTTTTTCGAATTCGCTGTAAGCGGCTAAATTGATAGAATTAACGATGACATTTGTATTTGTTACTTTTGAGCAGCTACACGAATCATGTAAATAAATAAGTAGTGGTATTCTATCTTAGTTGGATCTCAAATTGATTTCAGTTTGGCGCTCTAATGTTGAAGATTGTTGAACATAATTGATATTTCAGCATAGATGATAATGCAGAAGAATTTCATCATGAGGAAGATCCAAGTATGTCAAAAGCAGAAAAAGTTGAAGCTCAAAAGGCAGAATGGTTTGGCCGTGTTAGTTTTTGTATTTAGTACTGTTGCTTTTTTTTCTTAGCATCGTTTCGTATGATCAAGGAAAATATTACAGAAACTCTATTCAGTTTGAAATAAGTGAATTGAATTTTTTGACTAATTTTTGAAAAGTCAAAAATTTTTCTAGAAGATTACAGAATGGTTGTGCAATAAATTTTATTTTTTGGAGTGACTATCATTTTACATTTATATTTGAAAACATTTCTAATTTTTATGCAATATCTATTTCAGCATCAAGTTGCTGAACTGATGGATGATGAAGAAGGCACTCTAAGAGCCGTTGAGAACTTCATAAAAAAATTTAAAAATGCCTCACAAGGTTCTTTCAGTCAGTTTTTATTAGTTTGATTATCCAGCAGGAGTTTGATAACTTTCTAACTATGTTTTATTTCTGGCGTTTGCAATGGTATTTACGTTGTACCGCTACTACTTCATTCAGTTTATAGGCGGCAGTAGAAAGGAAAATAACGAAGAAAATGATAACCAGAAATCAAACACCGAAAAATGGTCAGGTGAAAGAAATAATGAAGATAGCCAAAAACTCAGTGGCGAAGCAAGGACAAGTGCAGGAACTACTGTCTTCGTAGATGATGATGATGAAAGCGACGAGGAATATCATGATATAGATGAAACTGATTCGAAATGTTCCTCATATGATCTGACGCGGACAAAAAAACTAAGTTTGATATTTGTAAATATTTTAGCTAATTTTGACCAGAATCACAGAACAATATCGACTTATGTATATAATAAATTTTAGGTGAAGTGGAAAAATTATCCCCTGAGCTACTTGCACTTGGAGAACAACTAATATATTCGTCAAAAACAAGACGAGATCTTGAAGATTGGGGATGGAACAGGTGATCTTGGCTTATATGTTTTAAATTTGACTGCTTTGCCATTGCTTTAATTCAGAATTATCTGGTAGTTTTATCTGACTGTCGCTCATATCGATAATCCTGTGGCGCATACCTTATTACTGATTTGGGTCTTCCAGAAATGGAAAGCCCTCTCTCGAACATCCCAAAATATTTGCGGTGTGTACTGTTTACAAATGTCCCAGAGATGGTTAAGATTTAACTCTTTATATAGCTTTAATTCAGGTGGGGCCTATATTTTTGTATTTCTGTTTCAAGATCTATTCTTCTACTTACGACTAAACATTTTAAGGTATACAAACAATGATGAGGGACTTCCTGATTGGTTCGTGGAAGACGAAAAAAAGCATTTCAAAAAGGAACTTCCAGTCTCAAAAGTTAGTTTTTTAAACAGGATAGAATTTTGTATTTTTAGCAGCTGTTCAAGGAATGCATAAGGTCATGGAATTCATCATGATGCATGCATTTTTTTAATGTCAAGTTTAGGATCGAGTGGAATTCTACAAAAATCGTATGCGTGATATCAATACACGAACAATCAAAAAAGTTGCTGAGGCAAAAGCACGGAAGAAGAAACGACGGGAGCGGAAATTGCAGTCAGCAAAGAAAAGAGCGGAAGGTATTATTGAAAGTGATAATATGGAGCAAGCAGAAAAAATTCGCGAAATTCGCAAGTAAGCCCAAGCTCATTACTTTTTGCATTTGAAATGCTTTTCATTCCTTAGTGCTATTTTTTAATGGTTATTTGCTTCGAAAAAAGTAGCCAAGAATTGAAATCTAAACATGCGTGTTGAAGATTATATGAAAAAGCAGCGTCATCAATGAAGGAAAAGAAAAAGATAACATATACAGTAATGACAAAGGCCAAACGAGGAAGCCTAATCAGGCCAAAAGGGCCATATAAAGTAAGTTGTTTCTGAAGGTGAATGATTTGTGTATGGTAAGAATTTGTCTTTATTAATAACAAAGTTTTCAACTGATTTCGTAATATAAGTAGCAGCTTCTTTAAAAAAAGGAAATAAATTCGCTATCTTAGAAAATTTTCAAGTCTTGCTCATTAATTTCATTTTGGATATTTAAAAAAAGAATTTTATATTTTCTCATTTGTTGTTTTGGAGGTGTGAACAAAATAGTTGGATAAATAAGTTTTCATTTAAGGTAGTGGATGCTCGGTTGAAAAAAGATAGTCGTCGTCAAAAGCAAATGAACCAGAGGAAAGGAGGCAAAACCAGTGGTAGAGATCGTGGACGTCGCAACAGAAGATCTAATTGATTATAATTCTTTTAGGTTATTTGTTGTCTTATTATGTCCTTGCTAATGTTTTTGTAAAAGATCGGAAATGATGCAATAAAACCGGGATGTGATAGCTTTCTTTATTAAGAAATCAACATTTCAAGTTGCAAGAACTATTGATCTCACTAGCTTATAAATTCACTTTAACTTCATTTCCTTTCCTGTCGAATCCAATGTAGTGTCACATAATATTGAGATTGAAGTTCATTTGATAAAGCAGTGGTTATATTGGATTAATAAAAGCAAGAAATTAGTAATGGTAATCGAAGTCTATTGTCATCTCGTTGCCGAAAAGGTCTCTTCTGATTGTTGTTAAAAGCTAGTGTTCTAGGCGTTATCATATCATATCAATGGACAGGAATCGAAAATGATAATGGTATCGTTGAATTTCATATTGCTGCAGATATATACAGCTTCTGTTTGTTATAAAATTTGATACTTTAATTTCTCATTCTCTTTAATGGAACGTCCAAAACAATACTTCGCCGAAAATATATATATATATAAACAATTGACCATCCCTGAATGTGAATACTGATTCTGAAACCATCATTTTACCTTTAAACGATTTCTAAATCAGTAATAATTGTTTGAATCACAAGCAATTGTGTAGGCGTGCAATAGTTCCTATGTTTGTGTTGTAATTGCCTAAATTTTAAAACAGATTTTTAACGATCTCTGAATCCATAACAATTTCACATTTAGCGATAATTTCCCATATATAGTGATTTCGCAAATCGATGACAAATATTTAAATCTTCAGCAACCTGAGACTCTTCATCAGATATGCCTTATTTTTATTATTTGAAATAAATTTTTGATAAATTCTATAAATTTCATTCTTAGTTGTGATTGTTAAATTATTCCAAATAGTAGCATACAAAAAACGCATTTATTCTAAAAACAAGTATTCTCCATATCGTCATATTGATATATCACTGTATCATATCTTAGTTATCATTACTGCAAGTTACAATATGCTTCCTTACTTTCCAAGCTTAGTATATATTTTGTTTATAATAATAAACAATTAGACAGTCACTAATATATTTCTAAATATTGTATTACATATTAAATAATAGCATTATTAGTATTTTAAAGTAATTGTATTGCAGTAAATATATTATTGTTAATATCAATAAGCAAATATATATATATATTAGATAAGCAAAATATCTTACCAATTTATTAAATATCCCTTCATTTATTTAACATAATGATCTAATTCATTTTATCATTATTTGAATTCATTTTTTTTGGTAAACAAATTAAACTTAAAATCGTTTAAAAATAGTAATACATTAATGATAATGGTGTAATTGACACAATGGTGATGAATTCACCATTGTGTCAATTGTTGAATGACATTGAAGTTTGTTCAAATCTATATATAACATATATGGTATGTGCGTAGATGTGTTGTTCATTATTTCGAAATTTCGATGAACCGAGAAGTGTCCTTGATTGAATGACATTGGTTTAATGGAATTGATGTATTTCTCTTATTTATCTTTTTTTGTTGTATTTATCGAAGTAGTTGTAAGGTAAGATGAATTTCTTTCTTTTCTTAATCTTCATTTTTTATTTCGTTTTGTTTTATTTCTTTTTTTAATTTTCAAAGTTTAGCATTTTACACATTGCAATTTAAGTCTATTATTTTTATAAGCAATTAATGCAAAATGAAAATGGTAGAATTTGTCTTATGGAAAAATTTATTTAGAAAAATGCTGTGATAGTAGTATAAAGATGGATTGGTGATAATACCTTTTAATTAATTCTTTAGTTCTAGTTAGAGCGTAGAAATTATACGATGATGATGGGATAAAATCTCAATTATTCAATTTTGCGAATAAAAGCTGAAATTGTTATCCGGAATATCTGATAGGAGACAAAATTATTATTCGGAACATCTGATTCATTGTTACCTATTTTTTATTGTTTTTATTTCCATTTGTGCTTCTTCCGGTCGTCACCAAATTATTTGTCCGTTAAACGAATCTTTACTGAAGTTTACAGATTCAATAATTAATTTAGAAAGTGTAAGTTGTGAGTATTATGATTTATGATGAAAAATCTCTATATGTCAATTTAAGACATCTAAAGAGACTTTTAGATTTAATGACAAGGTTTCGAAATAGTGAATCTCAATACTTCGTCGGGCAGGCTGTGTAAATTATTTGTTTAACCTTCAATAAATTTTTCATCCGTAAATTTCTTTAAACTTCTTCTACGATCATTGAAAAAATTTTGAACTCAATTATAGAAATTAGTTAAATTTAATAATTTAAATCAAATGATTTTGAGTTAAGAACTAAATTAATTACTTTTGATTAATATATGGAATTATGCTTGTAATGGTAAATTTGGAATAACAGAACACTTTTATTTTCATTAATAATAAAAATTATCGAATAGAAATTAATAGAAATGAATTTAAATGATTATTCCAAGCATTACTCAAATTTAGAATAATGTTACAATTTAACGTTGAATGTTAAATTATGACATTATTCTTTTGATTAATATGCAAACAATTTAGGTCATTTTAGGTCATTTTCATTTTACGCTTTATTAAAGCATTTGCATAAATTATTTAAATTATATACAATAGGCATAATTTAAAAAATAACCAAGCAAAAATAATTGTAAAAATTTATTATTAATTTCTAGAGCTGAATGTCCAAGGAAAAATGGAGGATTTAGTGATGAAAATGAAGCGATTGAATTGGTACAAGCTCCCGGTTTAGTACCATCAGAAACCCGGATAAGCTGTACCTACATGTATAATGGTAAATCAGGTTAGTAAATTAGGAAACAGGAATTGAAGTGATCCTTCTTTAGAAGTGGATCAATTTTTCAGTGATGATATGATAATTGTGCTCGACGAAATTATTCGACGATTGAAACGTGAAGTGCGAGTTAATTTAATAGTTAAAACGGTTTGATTTTAATTGTAAAACAAAGATAGATTAAATTATTGAGTTTCAAAATTCTAAATTCAATTATTCACTAATTTATCCATACAGATGTATAAAATTATTCTGTCATCAATAAAACAAGGAAAAAATATCAGTTATTTTGATAAACTAATCGATATGACATAATAAGCTGAAGAAATCTCTTATCCGGAATTTTTATGTAAACTTTTAATTTGATTACATTCTAATTATAATCAGAAATATACGCTATTGTTTTTGACTTGAATTGGAAAATGGTTTTCAGAAGTTAATTGGTTAAAATTTACAGGTTGAAATTAAATTTATGAAGGTTGAACAAGTTAACAGTTAAGAAAATTTCAATTTTTACTATTATTTTTGTGAAACTTTTTCATTTCTCTTTTTTACAGATAAATTGTGCGGATGAAGATCAACCGAAATGTTTGCAATATTTGCTGGAAGAATCATTCCATTGGCTAATTGTCAATGATCCGTAATTCTTATAACCTTTTTATTCTTCTCCTTTACTAAAAATTCTTCAGCAATTCTGTTGCAAAGGAATTTTCAATAAGAAATAATTAATTACGCAGCAAAAATACTTTGGATTTTTTTAAATCAATTATTGTAGTTCACATATAATAATATGTGAACTAAAATAATTGATTATTACTAATATCATGCCTTTAGCAAGATTACTAATATCATGCCTTTAGCAAGATTTTCATTAATTTTCGACGTAATGCGAAATACTTTTTTGCTAAAAATTGAAGCATAATTTTTTGAAAAGTGGAAAATTATTGCTTAATCTAATCTAATCTTTTATTTTGAAATATTCATTCAACCTTAATAGTATTTTTGAATTTCAGGAAAGAGGGAGACATAGTATATGAAATTAACACGAAGCTTAACCGTAAGAAAGCAGTTATTGAAGCATCACTTCTAAAGTTTGCTTTTTTTAAAATTTATTTTGCTTCTAATTGAGTGCGAATTAATTTATTAGTTAAAACGGTCTGATTTCAATTGTGGTTGATTTTAACTTATTCGATTTCAATTTTGCTAATGCAAAGATTATACTTTTTTGCAATCTTACAGATAAATTTACACAAAACGGTAATACTAATATTGTTCGTATTGATTCATTTTATGAAAAAATTGCACAATTTAAAGAGTTAAATTTCTGCTTTACATTTCATTACTTTGTACTAAATTCTACTTATTAATACTATCTTACGTTCTGGGATGGCATTATAATACTTATATGTTCGTAGTAAACATATAATTTAACTTACACATTTGTAGTGAACATATAATTTAACTTAGACGTTTGTAATGAGCTATATTTTAACTTACACATTTGTAGTGAACATATAATTTAACTTATACGTTTATAGTGAACATATAATTTAACTTACACGTTTATAGTGAACATATAATTTAACTTATACGTTTATAGTGAACATATAATTTAACTTATACGTTTATAGTGAACATATAATTTAACTTACACGTTTATAGTGAACATATAATTTAACTTATACGTTTATAGTGAACATATAATTTAACTTACACGTTTGTAATAAATGCAAAATTTAAGCCATAAACATGTGAGTTATATGTTACGTAATTCGATTATGTTTTTCTTTCATATAATACATTATATTATTATTTGCTGAGCCTTTTTTTTGTTGTAATAATTGAAAAAGAAATTATTACAGTATACTCTCACAACATAGTGTACATGATCTAACGATATACTGTAGTAAAGAAGCAGATAAAGAAGTTGGTTTTGTACGGCGATTATCGGATGAGGTAAATTTTGAAATTATAAATAAAATTAAATTTAAATTTTGCAAAATTTTTATAATTATGAACAAATTTTTGCAATTACAAGATTTTGTATAAGATTCTTTTAATTTATAGGAGCTAGTGGCGAAGCAGCGTAAATCAAAAGTAATGAAATTTAAAAATACAATTGTACGCTCTCCATTAGAACTTAATCTTATCGAACCATTGCTATTAGAACGACGATCCTTTGAAAAACCATTGCATTGGCATCAATTACAACATATGAATGAAAGCACATTATATGATAGTATAAGTAGCGATCAGCTAACATTTATCCTATTTTGGAATATCGGTAATTTATATTATATTTAAATTATTCTATCGATTCTTAAGTACAAAGCGGTTGAAAAAAGAAAAGATGAAAATTTATCACCTTTTTTTAACAAAATAAACAATCCTTTTTTTAAACAACACTTTTACAACAAAAGTAAATTTATTAAATTTAAGAAGTTTAAGAAGTAAATTTATTCATTTTTTGGACATTACCGTATCATTCATTCGATATCATATTCTTTCTCTTTATTAATCACAATGAAAATGAATACGATATTGGTTGAAAATATTACATTATTACATATATGACTACATTAATATACAAAAAAAAGAGAGAAAATAAATTATACATTACGGTAAAATTTATTGAATCAGTTAATCAAAAAAACTGTTCAATATTTAAAGGATTTCTGTACTTTTGAAATGTTCAGAATTGAAAATTAAATTTAATTTTTTTTAGAAAATATCATAAGTAAGCATACATTCTATTTATGGGCAGAAGCTTCAAAATCATTAGTTTCACGTCATCCAACAGTACAGTTCAGTGCATTAGCATGTCATGAATTTGATGATTTATGTGATGATTATATTACAAAACCGAATGATTATCATACTGTATTTGCATATAGAAGGAATAATATTTTTGGAAAGACTAAAGAATTGCGTGATGCGATGTATTACATTGATTGGGTTCAACTGTACGTTTATTATTATTATTATTATTATTACAATCAAATATAATTGAATCTAATTAAATACTTCAAATTTTTTAATTAACTATGAATTAATTACTTTAATGATAAGTTTAATATTTCGGTTAGATTTATTATAGGTTTATTATTGCCATTATGCAATCGGATAATTAAATACTTCAAATTTTCTAATTAACTATGAATTAATTTAATGATGAGTTAATATTTTGTTTATCAAATAGTTTGATGATGGATAATAACGTAAATAATAGTAATGATAAGTGAAGTGTTGGTAATAACGAAATTATTATTATTCGATTAGAGGAAATTATTATTCGATTAGAGCTATAACACTACATTGATTGTAAGCTATGATTGTAGTATTAATAATAATCAGAAAATGGATCGATCGTTTTTTTATTGTTCAGACAAAATGATTGTAGTGTTACATCATTTGAATTAGTTATATCTACGAATATGATTTGCATACTTATTATTGATAGCAATGACAGCTTAAAATCGAAAAAAAACACCAGTAAAATGATCTTCAGATGTTCCGACGATTGAAAGATTCTGAATTCTTATCAGTGAGATTATAATAATTATCGGATAAAGACAATTATAGTCTTTCTCTCATCCGAATTCTCTTATAGCAAATAATAGCAATCGTAGTGATAGTAACTTGCAAAAAATGGTAATGGTAACATGTGACACGTAAACAGTGATAGCCTGACAAATGTAGTGTTATTAATGATAATGATAATACAGTGCAATAGAATCAACCATGTTAATTTTATATCCCAAATTTATTTTATTATGCTTCTTTAATAAATTTGTCTTGCAGTTTGATTTTATCACCAGCACAAGAAATTCATTCGGATGATGAATTGAAGCAAATTAAAATGGGTATTTTACTAATAATTGAAGTCTACTGATAAGAAAACTTCTGCTTTTTTAATTATTGGATCTGTAACAAAATTCTTAATTATTATAAGTTAGTAATGTAACCTTTCGTCAAAGGAACTCCAAATATTTGAAAATATTTAGCGTCAGATTTTACATCTCTACCTGTAATAGGCACAAAAACTTGGTTGCTAATTTATCTGAAAATGTTTAGTGAAAGATTTTGAAAAAAAAAACCATACTTGATAAATTTCAAATTTTTAAGGTAAATTGGAATCATTCGATGGAATCAGACCTGCAATAACAATTGGCATTTTTGATGATCGTAACGGTAATGAAGCAAACACTTTTATGAAAATGGCTGAAAATTTGAAAGGAAGATATCATTTCATGTATTTAATTAAGCAAAGGTATTCAATTTGGAAATTTCAATGATAAAATTGAGTTAACGAAAATGCAAATTTACTTCAAATAACTTAGTGTATTAAGAAAAAATAGGTAGTTTAAATGCTACCATTTAATACCTTTGATTTTCAATTTAAAGATTTTTTATTTTTGTAATTCTTCTATTCGTCTCCTATAATATTCACCCATCAATTTTCCATGTAATTACTAGTGAATTAATTACAACTATTATGAAATCGTTATTTAAAAAATTCGAAATCAAATTAAAAAAGTATAATAAAATGAGGACCGAATGATAATGAAAATCGTTATTTAAAATATTCGAAATCAAATTAAAAAAGTATAATAAAGTGAGGACCGTAATGATAAAAAACAAAAATAACGATTTCATAATGATATAATAATGAGTATTCTAATTTTAGTCATCCTAATACTGTTTACACTGTTCGAGTATTGGAAAAACGAAAACGAATTGATTTCACAGGAATTTATGAAATTCAAGAATTGATCAATTTTGTTATACGTTCATCTTTGCCATCTGTAGTAAGTATCATTTTGGAAATCTTTTTTAATTGCTATTTTTTGTTTTGGATATTTCTTTTTTGAATGATTTAATGAGGGAATTTTAATTTTTTTTAATTAGTGAAAGAGGAAATTGATGTTAATTAAAATATAACCACTTTTAAGCTGAGATTTTGACAATATTTCGGATAGTATTTTCTTTTATTAATCATTTCAAATATTTCATAGTAAATTTTTACTTTATATAATACATAAAATTTTAAGTTAAACTTACAGATAGATATAAGTAATGGGTTTACATCGGATATTTTAACTCATCAAATGCAACCAATAATTTTATTTATTGATGATGGAAACGAAGATGAAAAGTTAAAATTTGCGGAATTATGCTCAAAATCATCGTATATAATTTGTACAATTATAATTAACAGGTAATTTTTTTTTCATTCGTTTATAATAATTTTACGTTTGATAATGTTGTAAGGTTTTCTAAAATTTGTATTTATTTAACAGAAATTTAATCATAATTATCTTTAGAAATAATAATTCTATGATTGTTCGAAGTTATAAATTAATGATCTTTTAATTATTATTACTATTTTTGATTTATTTATTAACACCATCTATTATTTTATCTTACAAATTGTTTGTATTGTCGATTTATATTTTAAATTATCATTATTATTTTAAATGTTCAATGCACTTATTACATGTTGCAATAAATGCGTTAAATTCGTTAAATAATTTGTAAAGATTTCGAAAAATCATGGGAAGGTTTATTTTGCAATGTCCCTTATTTATTAGTATATATGTGTAAAATGCTATAGTATGGTATAATATATATTATATTACTATAATATATTATATAATACATATGTATATATTGTATTACATTAAAAAGGTATATACATATATCTTCTAAAAAATTTTAGTTCGAAATCAAAAGCAATGAATGAAATAATTCGTAGCAAACTCTTCCAAGCCAGTGATCATTCCAAAAGATTAATCATTTTCCTAAAGGTATGTTTCTGTAAATACGCCATCCTTTTATTTGAACTTAAATCATTTATTTGAGATAAAATTTTTTTTGTTTTTCTTTGGATCTCAAAATTTCATAAATTAGCAGTTAATATGCGACGACACAAAGCCTTAAAAATGAATTCGAATTTTGATTAAAATATATTGAAAAATATGTTATTAATTCAATCCAAAAATCAAAAATGCTAAAAATGAAGTGAAAATATCCGAGCATTAATTTCAATATAATAATCTATCGTATTTCAGGAGAAAATTTATGCGTTAGATGTTAAAAATATGGCAGAAAATGAGAATATTCTACAACTTATTACCCTTACAACTATTGATGAACCGATAAGTTTGAATTTAAATATTTGAATATTTCATTTAATTATTACAAAAGGAAAAATTTAATAATGGCAACATTTTAATGCTATTAATTATGTACAAATCAATATGTCAACTATCGTTTCATTAAATTTTCATTTCCATTCAATAAGTTTATTCTATAGAATTCTTTTTTTATCTATCAAAAATTATTCTAGCAAAAGGTTCATTGGTTCATTTATGACATAAGGTAGCAAAAATATTTGAATGAATAATTTAAATTGGAAAATTTGTTGGAAACTTCTAGAATTCTCGAAGTTTAAAATGATGATGAATTTTCAAGAAAAAGAGGAAAAATTTTCAGATATATTAAGTATCAACGATATCCATCCACTTCGTTATATACAAATGTTACAAATAAATCAAAGCTTTGGTGAACAATTGGTTGAAATTCCTGCTGAAGTACAAATTATTCAACGATCATATTGGGTGGATAATTTTTCCTAAAACTATATATTTTATCATTGAAATATGTTATTTTAAATTTTCCGAAGTAATGAAAAAGGAAATATTTCAGGATAAAGGTAATAAAATGGATAATAATGTTGATTATGGTGGTTGTCCGGTGATGGCAAAGGCACAGCAAGTTGCAACAAAGGATGAACTATAATATTGTTCATTTATGTATTAGATAAAATATGATTCAATTAGTTGATTTTTAAAAAATGAATTTTCGAAAACTTCTTATTTCGAATTCAATAAATCTTTTAAAATTGGAAAAAATGATATTTGAATTTCTTTTTTTGTAAATTGAACTTTCTGAATTATTATAATGCAATATTATAATAATGAAATGTTACTATAATGAAATAATGAAATATTACTATAATACTATAATGAATATTACTAAAATGAAATAGTGAATTATTACAATGAAATATTACTGAATATGATAATAACAATTAAATGATAAAAGTATTTTTAGCTTATAAGGCAATTTTTATTTTCTTGTGCCATTTTTAGCTGAATTTTCAAATTATTTAGTCGTAAATTAAAAATTTGTTATAATTTATTTTAGTGATTTGAAATCTTTCATATTTATTATCTTCTTTGTTTAAATCTTAATGACTGTGTTATCTTATCCATTTTTAAATTATCAGTTATATTATTCCATGAAATGAGCAATAATAATTTATTAGCTAATTTTTCGATGTGAAAATTTTCAACATAAAAATTGACTGATCTAACAACTGTGTTATCTTCGGTATTGATTAAAAGTTTAGTTGACTGATAACAAACTGAAATTTGTTTAATAGAATTATTCAGTAGAAATATATCTTAAATTGCAGATTTTGATTATATTGAAATATTCAGCTGATAAGATAAGATTTTTTCATAATTTTTTAAATCCCACATCTTCCTATATATATATATGATTACTTGCTTTATCAGTGTGTTGTTACTAAAATAAGCAAATCATAATGGCAATTTCTTTTTCGTCACATTTGACAATTAATCAATAAATGATAATTTTAAAAATTTTAGTAAAAATTAACTAAATTAATAAAAAATTAAATTTTAGTAAAAATGAAATTAATTCAATTTCATTTATAAGGGATTTAATTTCTAACAAGAATTTCTTATTTGAAAATTTTTATTTTCAAAATTAATGAGAAAAACAATAGAATTTCTTGAATGAACAATAAGGCACGGTGATAATACAATGGAAGAAATATTTTTATAAAACGAAGAAAAAGGTACATCGCCTTGTTGTAACGGTAAAATGAAATTTACATGACGCTTAATGAGACAAATTTTTTGTGCCAGCATCATTGTTGCTATACAAGAAACATCATTGTAGTTGGAATAATTATTACAATTAGCAAAATCCATAAGCCTGATGAAGTGCCACACATTTGTCCTGATCCTGAAAAAAATGAAGGAATATTTTTATTTTTATTTGTAATCTTTTTTTTAAAAAAAATTGTATTAAAATTTACGATGAAGTTTTTGATGTTAATTATAGAGAAAGCGAAGAGTTTATTTTATAGTATGTTTTTATTGATGAGGATTTTTTGTTTTAGTAAAGGAAACTATAATAAAATAAATTATGAACAGGATTATAATCGTGTGCGTATGTCCTAATCTATTAAACCTATAATAAAGAAATAATTAAGAATACATCTTAATTTTAGATATAAAATATAAAATAAGAAATTAATGAGGATAATTTTTAAAGAGAAAAATCTGAAAATGAATGCGGAAAATATATAGATGTAAGGCTGAGGAAAAAGAAATATGTTGTGAAAAGGAAAAGAAAGTAAATATGAAAAAGTGAGAGAACAAAGAATTAAATTTTAATTCAATTATTAGAGAGAAAGGAAATTACGGATAATGAGGATAAAACTATAATTTCACTCAATTTATCTTATAGTTTTTTTGTTTGAATTTCTTAATTATCCTAATTAAAATTTGATATAGAAAAAAGAAATAAAATTTTGAAATTGCGGCGAAATTTTCAGAGTCAAAGAAATGAAGAAATATCAAAAGATTGGGATTGTTAAGAAAATTCTTTTTAAAAAATAAAATTTAGATTGTTCAAAAAACAATTGAAAAATTTGAAGGGAACAGTACCTTGCATTTTTGATTTTTTAGCATTGGTTGCAGCATTAGATTCAGATTTCGATGTTGCGTTAGAGGATGGTTGCATAGATGGAGCAGAATCATTTTCTGTATTTGTTGATTCTGGAACTGATGATACTGTTGATGACATACCTGTTTTCCAATCAGGTACAAATTCGGTATTAAATGTTGAAGTTGGTTCTGGTTGTGGTTTAGTTGGAAGTTCGAATTCTGGTAAATGAATGTTACTAGTAGTTACTTCCGGTAAGCTATTAGATGCTTCTAAATTAGCATCAGATTCCGGATTTGGTGATGTAGAAGTTGTAATAATGAAAAGAGAGCTAGATTGTGATACAGTTTGATCAATTGAGATATGTGTTGGCCTAGAATCAAGTGACAAATCTTCTTCCGGTTTTGGCTCTTTAATCCTGTCGTATCCGAAAATTGAACAGCTTGGATCAAACTTTTGTACCCATATAAGAAGCATGTTTGCAACATGCTTTAAAGCTTCTTCGGTACATTGCGAAGACAATTCGGATGCTGCACAAGAAAGCATATTTTCTAGGCTAAAATATAAGTTAAATTTATTTTTAAATTAAAATTTTAATCTTAATTTTATCTTTGCTCTAAAGCCATACGCATAAATGTTCACATAATTACCGATATTTTAATTAATTTAAATTATTGATATTATAATATCACAATTACTAATATTAAAAGTTATATTATATATTTTAAAATTACAAAAGCGAAAAATTTCCAACCTTGGTTAGGTTTAATCTTTCAAAATGATTCATATTTGATCAGTGTTATAATGAAAATTATCATTTTGTTATCATAAATATGATAAGAATGATTTCCATAAACTCAAAAAATTTTTAGAGAAAAATAAATTTAATTTAAACTATGTCTTGATTTAAACAAAATCTTTAATAAACACATTTTGCTAACAATTAAATTAATTCAATTAATTAATCAAATAATCGTAATTAATTAATTAATATCAAACTAACGTTGAACAAATTTTTTGCGAACTATCTTTATTCAATAAATCCAATTCAAGAAATGGTTCATTGCATCTAATGCCACTGTCACTATTAATAAATTTGATAAGACATGGTAAGTAATATTTCGTCGTTGATTCTTCCTTTCCACAAATTGTTCGAAACAATGCAATATTTGCTGATGAAATAGGCTCCACACGACATGACATATTTGTTAAGCAATTTTCATAATCATTAATTGCTTCACAAAATTCATTCCATTGTGAACTATTCCTAAAATTACGGTAATAAAATGATTCTTATATAATAGTAAAAAAAAATATTTTATTTCATTAATAATAATTTTACAATATTATTTTCATTTATAAATTAATTTGTTTAAAAATTTAAAATATAAAATTTATAGAAAAAAAACTCTTTTTAAATCAATTTCGAATTACTTTGTTTATTAATTATGTTAATGAATTTAAAAAAATATATAAAATATCCTTCATGAATAATATATATTTACATATTGTTTTTAGGTTAATATAATAAACTGATTAATTGATATTAATTTTCCCTGAAAATTTCGACAATGTCGTCGAATTCGGTATAATTTGTTTATCCGAAATTAACGAATATAATTAAATTATCCCTCATATATCTGCATATTATTTTCACTTATTATAATGAAACTTGAACAAATAAATATTATAATCTTCTTATCCTAGAAAAGTTGAGAATTTGATGAATGGAATGAAGGAATTTCATAGTGATGGAAAACCGGTATCATTTCTTTAATGCATAGTGTAATTTGGTCCTTCCTATGGGAAATCTTCCGCGCTTCCCCGAACTAATTGTGATTTTAACAAATTCTTTATAATATCTAACAAAGGATGTAATAAATGAAGTACAAGTTAGTAACAATTAATTATTCAATAATTATTACTACCTGATAAATGAAAATGGTGTAAAGGTAAAATGATCAATGAAATTTTCGCATTGTAAATATTCGACAATATCGGATTCGGTACAACTTGTTTTTACTGATGCTACAGGAATTTGTATATTGCATGATTTATTTAACTGTAATAATATAATTAACTTATAATAGTTAGAAAAAAGCAATGGAAAAGGAAGTTTATAAAGCAAAAAATTTTCATTGTTTTCATTTCGAAAACAAAAACAAATTTGTTACGGAACTTTTTCCGGACACTTAATTATTTTATTCAAAAATTAATAATTTAAATTAATTGAATTAATTATATCTTACTTCATTAGCAAATACATTCATTCCTTCAAATGATAAGGTTAATGCTTCATATCCGCAAGTATTGTGAATATGTGGCGCAGCACAATTAGCAACATTTGTCAGGAATAAGCATTGCTGTTCCGATGCCATCGGTAGAAATGATGCTAAGCATTTTGATCCCTGTAATAATTCTTTTAATTATTAATGAAAAAAAAGGAGTGAAAATTATTTGTTCATTTTTCATCTAACTTAGTCTTTACTACTTTTAAATTAAATTAACGCTTTTTAAAAAAAAATTTAAGAAATTCCAAGAACAAAAAATATGTACTATAAAATAATGAATTTGAAAAAGAAGAGAATTTTTCTTTCTAAACGTAATTAAACAAATTTCATTATATTATTTTTCTTCATCATAAATTAAAATTTTGGAATATTTTTTTTTTTGCTAAAACAATTTCGAAGAAAAAAATTACAATTAATTTTTAAGCATTGTTTTAAAACATACCTCTGATGAGGTGATAACAGATGTAAGACACATGGAATGCTTTTTATACATATCATGCCGCATGCAAATAAATTCAGCTAATGCATTTAGCGCTTTTTCCTTATACGTTTGACATATCGGATATAAACAATTTGCCAATTTCGATGCATCCGTACATAACTGTTTGAAAAAATTTATTTTTTCAACATTTTGTTTTTTTCATTTAAGTTAAAATTTCTGCAATATATTCAATTTATTTCGTTTTCTTTTTCAGATAAATAAGCATAATAATATGTATATAATATAAAATACTTTATTTAATGTAAAAAAATATATTCATAAATTTCAAAATTATTTTATTAGCGAAGGAATTTTCAAAAGTCATTATTATTCATAAATTTCTAAATTTTTCCAAATTAAATATTATAAAAAGATAAGGAAAAATATGAGAACTTTTCACATATTATATTTTTATTTATAATATTTGATTATATAATTTTTTCAAATTTAAAATTTTAAAATTAAAATGTTTTAGAGCATTTTGAAATTAATTAATTTGAATGCAAAAAAGAAATATATATTACCATATCAATACTTGACGGATCTCTTAATAATGCAATTGGTAACATTCGATAATTTTGATAGAAATTTCCCGCACATTCCATATGTTTCTGTTGCATTTCTGCATGACATCTTTGTGATATATCATAATTCGTTGGCTTTAATTGATAATTAAACGAAATTGGGCACGTATCAGTTAAGCTAATTGCACGTAATATATTTATAGATATTTGACCACAACGTTGCACAACAATATGCTCAACACATTTAATAAATTGTGGTAAAATACCACGTAATGCAATAAGATTAAATTGTTTCAACGCTGCTATCGTTGATCGCAAACATTTACCAAATTCCGGTACTGATGCCTATAAAATATATTAGCAAGAAAAATTCATCTATATATATATATATATATATTGAAATAGTTTAATGAAATATAATATTTACCGATTCTTTCTTATATGATAATATTGAAAAAAGAAAATTGATATTTGAATCATTTACTACATATCTAAGAAGATGATACGATTAAGGCTGCAATTGAATCATCAATTCTCAAATTAATTTCGAATTGTAATTTCGTGCTATAATTTATTTCAAATTATAAAATATTTCGTTTAATTTTAAATTACTACCATAACTATTTTTATTAGGATCACTTTTATTTGTATTATTATTTGAAAATTTTAAAATTTAATTTTGGAATAATTTTAAAATCACATGAAATCACTTATTCTCATAATTTTTCGAATTGCAATTTCGTGCTATAATTTATTTCAAACTATAAAATATTTAATTGAAACTAATTGTTACCTTTGAAATAATTGTTATCTTTAGCAATTGTTAAAATTGAAAAAAGAAAGAGAAAGATAATACAGGAGTTGACGAAGAAAAATTTCAATCACTAAATTATAATTAAAATCAAAAAAGGTTGGAAACAAAAATATAATATTAGAAAAAAATAAATTGACCTGCTTAAAAACGCAAGCCAAATTATCATCAATAGCTTTAGCAGTATCAGGTTGATTACATATTCCATCGGCAGCCTGAATTAGACAGCTCGAAATAACACATTGTTGTTCGGATTGCTTTTCTAACAATGGCCTCAAACAATCTCTGAATTCATTCGTCAAATTACAACCTTTTGAAAATACGAATCCCAAATTTTTGACATTAGCCAAAAATTGTTGCAATCCACCCTATAAAATATAAATATAATAATTATGACTATATTTTATTGCTATTCCATTATTTCAATTATTTTTATTATCTCTAAGATTAATTGGTAAAATTAATTAATTCATTATTTATTATCAAATTAATTTATTACATATAATTATAATATGATGAAGAATAAAATTAAAATAATTTGCTCACTTCAAATAATTCGTCAATTGTTGAAGTTAATTCATTAATTGGTGCAGCACACTGATCGATGCGAGCATTTTGCTCATTCGTACAATTATAAACCATAATTGATTTATCTTCAAATATAAAAATCATTATTTTTTAAATTTATATGAAAAAGAAATTTCATTAAATTCCGGTCAACAAATTATAATTAAAAGAAAATTAATTATTGAAACTATTTTAATGAAGAAAATCATTTTATCATATAAAATATTGTCATTGAAAAATATCTAAAAGTTATCGTTAGGTAAATTATTATTAGAATGAGATATTAAATGAAGAAATAATTAATCAAAAATTGAAACTAAAAACTGAGTGTAAAAATAGATAAGCTATACATTTAAATAATATTATATTAAGCAAAAATTTAACAATTTACTTTTGTAAATAAAAATGTATTTTAATTTAATTATTAAATAAAATAAATAGATTAGTAGGTGAGTGAAGAAATAATTAAATGTATAAATAAACATTCATGAAACTGAGTAACTGGATAAGTAATAAGTAAGTAGATAAGTGATAAGTAAGTAGATAAGTGATAAGTAAGTAGATAAGTGAGTTGAGTAAGAAAGTAAAAGTTAACAAATTGCAAATAGTAAGGAAAATAAATCAGTAAAAAATTAGATTGTAAGTGATATTAAAATCTATTAGAATTTAATAATCTATTTAATTGCTTATCAAATGAATAATCATGCAGTTCAAAGAAATTTATCAATTTTATTTGTGATAAGCAATTTTAAGTAAGCAAATTAAATTTGTGGGAAAAAATTAATTTTCGGATTTGTCAAAAAATTTGATTGATTTTGTATTTTAAACTTTTATTATAACACTTACTAGTACTTTGTCGCATTCCAATTTTACATGTCGGATCAACGACATTTACAAATTTATCAATGTAATCGATGACAAATTGCGCTCCAAGTTGATCACATTTCTCACTAATTGCAGGTATTGAGCATGCAAGCAATTTCTTCGAACTTTGACAAGCTATTTGCGGTGAACTACGTGAAAATTCAGCTACACATTCACGTATATGCTTACGTGTGGTTATTTTACGGATACATTGTCGCACCTAAAATAATTTCCTAATTTTTTATCTTATCAATAAATATTTTTTTCCTGTTGATAACAATTTCAGTCAACTAATTACTTTCTATCAATCGATTTCATCAAATTGAATTTTTCTTTTTTCAAACGAGTAATTAATAATTTCATCAACATATTATTTGTTTCAATATCAATCTCTTTTTTCTTGCTCCGATTTCATTTTCATCATTCTTCTTAATTCCGTTTTCATTTTTCTTTCTCGAAAATTTCTCTATTCCGGCTTATATCTTACTTGTATATATGTATTGTATCCGGAACCGCAAGCAAAATCGAACATAGCTATCATTCCTTTTGCCCATAATGGAAGACAGGTAATATTAGCTTTGCATTTTTTAAATTCGATAAACTGCTTGCAAGCTTTATCAATTTGCTTTGGTTGTTTAATGACAGCTAAGGGATGTGGCTGGAAGGTGGTAATAGTTTGAATGCATGATGCGAATTTTTTCTGTTCCGCAAGTTCACAGCTTACAACAGATTGTGGTATTGGGTGAACTTAAAAAAGAAACGTACAGAATAAATTAAACAGAAGGACTATATTTCCTCAGGCTATGCTTGATATTAATAATTCCAAGCAGAAAATAATGATTATTCTAAAATATGATTAATCAAAAATTCATCTGAAAAAATAATGATTAATTTAAAATATAAAATATAAATATTAATTTCATATTTATTCCATATATCCTTTTCTTTATATTCATAGTAGCATCTGGCTTTAATTAATTAAAATTTAAATTGGTAGCAAAATAAATTGAGCATATTTAAATTATTAAATGTTTTGGCTAAAATTTTAAGTCGATTTTTATAAATAAATTTGACATTAAAATAAAATCCAATTAAAATTTCATTCATTAATTATTTTTATTAAGTAATTTATCATCATCATAATTTTACAACAAAAATAGAACAAGAAAAATTAATGAATTTAAAATTATTATTTTTTTCATGAATGAATAAAGAGAAGAACTTATCATTGGGATAGTGATAGGTGCGGTGGTTATTGGACGTGACATAATTTCATCTAAATTATTTGGACGTTTTTCAGGGCAGCCTTCTTCAGATCCTAACTCTATCATCTGTAATTTAAATATTTCATCATATTCATAACATTAATTATTCGATAATTTCAGTCATTTTTTTTTCTTCAATCACAAAAATGATAACAAATACCATCTGTCGTAATTGTTGTAAATTTTGGATAGCTTCTGATGAACACATTTCGCTGGAAATCTTTTCACCACATTCAAATGCACTTCGAATGAGATAGTATGAATTGCAAAGATGTGCTTCGCCATGAATTCCCTAAAATTATATCAAAGATTTTAAATTATTTGATAAAGGATTCAAATTAATGCTTTGATTATTTTCCTTAAAAAATTTGAGGTAAACAAATTACCAATAAAGAAATTTGGGAAAATGTTTTATACTGTAATTCCAATGGCACCAAAAAACAACAAATAAATAAATGATATTAAAAAATTTGCATAAATATAAAAAAATGACTAAAGAAAAAGAGCAAAAGAAAAAAACGAAACTTAATTGTTAATTAATTAATTGAGTAAAATAGTGAAAATTTTAAGATTTTTTTATGTAAAAATGATAAATGTGTTATTAACAATATTTGATATTAATGTAAAAATTGAAAAGAAAAATTCGAATTTAAAATAATTTACCGCAATATTTAATTTTACAAATGGTTAATATTTTTAATTAATATATTCGATAATTTTAGATAACAAATTTAAATAAATTTAAAATTTTGGATAGCTATTAGTAAGCTTCTAATAGCTCTAAATGCTTTTCGTTGGATATATTTGAAATCATATCAGAATTTATATAATATATTACTTTAACAAATAAATGATAATATATTATTGATTTCAAATATATGTATATTTCATTATGATAAATTCAATTTCAGGCGAACTAATTAGTAAAATAAGTAAAGAAAATTACAGCAAAAGAATAAATATATAAAAAGATGAAAATATGCTATTTTTGAATTCGAAATTTTTGCATAATAATAATTCGATTTTCTTGATTATATATTATTGTTAAAAACAATAAATAAATAAGCAAATAAATTAATTAATGAACAAAGTATCATATTAAGTTGAAATTTGTTGAAAAACTTTTCTTAAATAAACAAACAAATATATAAATTATATATTAATCTTTTGTTTCCCTTATTTATCATAATAAGCAAAATAAAATAAAATAAATATGGTAAAAAAAATAACCTGTAAAATATTTTGTATTGTTAAGCCAAGGGTATTTAATCCGGATTGACATATTCCGGTATGTTGTTCAATCTTTTGAATACATTCGTAGTTATTTTGCAGTATCATACGCGAACGCTTACTGCAAATGGGCGATAATCCAATCCTTAAATAATTTCAATTTATTATATATTATAATTGCAGTACAATCATTGTTTCTTCTGTGTATTACAAATAAAATACATTAATTAAATTAATTAAAAATTGAATAATAATAAAAATACTCACAAATTTGTTTACATATTTATTTGATAGTTTAAATATAAATCAAAAATTTTTTCCTTCCATAAAATTATTCGCTAAAATTCTCAGAAATAAAATTTATATAGAAAATTTTGAAAAAAAAAAACAATTAAAATAAAAAATGCAAATTTTGGAGATCCTTTTGTTTTATAAACAAATTATTTTTATTTTTTTAATTATAATAATTATGATTTTAATTTAATTTTATATATTAAATTTAATTTTATTATATATCATTTCTTGAAGATATAATCATAGCAATACCTTGGAAGTGTATTTAATGGTGAATTAAAAGCGCATCGTTTTCCATTTAAATGATTAAATACCGTATTATTGATACAACTATCATATTTATTATATAAATAGCATATTTCCGATATGATGGTTGAATTTTGTTGACTTATTTCATGAAAGAAATTAAGATTATTTAATTCGGCCACTTTTCGATTAACTTCAACAAGTTCCACCAAACATGCTAGCGCCAAATTTTCCTTAAAATTATTATTTTTCTTAATTAGATTAATTCATTAATATTCCTTAAAATTATTATTTTTCTTAATTAGATTAATTCATTAATAGTAATAGAGTTTAAATTTGAAATTTTGAAATTTTAAAAAATTAGCATTAAATAAATAATTTGTTTAATAATCTTTTTTTTCTTCCGAAATTAACTATTCAAATGTTAAAAATTACTATATGATGAAATTAATTTCTTAACTATACATATATATGTATCAATTAATATTCATAATATCATTCATACCTGTTCTGAGCTACATCGTTCATTCTTTGGATTTAATTTAAATTCATCATTATCATTTGATATTGTATCGATAATTGTTTCTGTATAGCAATGATGTATAATTAAATCATCATTTAATGCATTTTGCACTGCTACAGCAACATTTTGCGCTTCAATTGTGCATGCATCAAGCATTACACGTAGTGCACAATCGATATTATTACTAAATTGTTCTAATCCATTACAGATTGTTTTATTTTTTGGCTGAAATGTTAGCATTTGTTTAAAATTAATGAAAAAATGAGAAAATGAAAAAATGAAATTTTACATTAAAAATGCTAATATATCATTAAATTATTTTAATTAATTTAATTATTAAAATTTTATGCGTAATGGCTTAATTATTAAGTAATTTTTGTGTATAATAATAGTATTTCTTACGTGTAAAAATGACGTTATCAAAAGTATTACGCGTATTAATACCATTAATATTAATAACGCATAAGAATATCGTTACTATTAATTAATACTCACGTAGCTATTATCAGTGTTACAGGTAGAGATGGCATTGCTATAGAGATTATTATTATTAATCTTATGTTTATCATTATTATTAATTACTATTACTATTAGTCTTACATTTTTCATTATTATTAATCGTGACGAATATTACTGTCGTGATCTTATATATGGGAGTACCACGGAACATCGAACGACATGCATACTTATGGGAAGTAACGAGAAATGCGGAATGGATTCTGTCAGATCCCGCACCACCATATAATGGACGAATGATGTATACGAGAGTGGCGAGAACAC